ATCTCAAATTTAAATATTTATATTATTTAATATGTTTTTAATAAAACATGAGATTAACCAAGAAAAATTCAATACCCTCGGTAGATACATGTTCATTTAAGTGTCTGTTTACTTAAAATAAAAAAATTATTTTCATATAGTTTAATAAAACTAAGCATTTTAGTACAAAATATATAATTTAAATTAGTTTAGATCAATACTTTAATTATATTTAGTAATTTAAAATTATTAATATCAAAATAAATTATACCAAACTCCTGAACCAAATGGACATTAAGATGTAAGATTTATATCTATTTAATAGTATTTGTTCTGAAATAACTTTTGTAATGTATTAATTTCATTAATTTTTGTAGGATTAATACTAAATTATTAACATAATTGAGATGTGTTTTTAAATTTATCACAACACATTAAATATTGAAACGTGTGCACAATAAGAGAAATTCATTCTGGAGCTAAAGCATACAAGCCTTTAATTAACATTTATGTACAATTAAAAAACGTGTGATTTATATGTAAAAAATAAAATGCATATTTTGATTTCTCTCGATGTTCAGCAAATTTTCATCCCACCATATGGGGAGATCATTTTATTCAATATACTTTGGAGCCTACGGTAATGATACTTTCTTCTTATTAGTTATTAAGCTTTGCATGAGCGACATGTACATAATCCTATTGCACATTATCTAATGGACAAAATCATAATGATTAAAAAACATTTCATATTTTAATGGCAAAATATTTTAGATGTTGAAATTATTTTTGTTAATATAACATTTATTTAATAAAATTTATCTATTTATATGATGTATCTTATTATTATATAGACCCATAACATTATACTAGCAAATTAATAAATGACATTTTTTGTAGTGTATATTTTCAGTCAATTAAACTTTGTGTATGTATCCCCCGAGAATTTTACACCTCTTGCATTTATTTAGTATCTGTGAAAGAGGTTCAATGCATTATATATGTACTCATTCCCTCTATTTTCGGAAACTTTAATCATGTTACTAACATGACAAAAGCCAATTTAACGTGCAGGAAGTGGATGAAATAAAGGAGGAGCATATTAGAATATTAAAAGAAAAAGTAAGAAAGATGTTAGTTCTAGTAAATGATAGGGCCTTAACGCCTAAGGACGCTAACCTGATTGATTCAATCCAACGCTTGGGATTATACTATCAGTTTGAACACGAGATTGATGATGTGTTGCAACATATTCACAGAAACTATGTAGAAAATGGCATAATAACCTTCAATGGAGATCTCCATTCTATTGCTCTTGTCTTTAGATTACTGAGGCAACAAGGATATAACATTTCGTCCGGTACGATCACCCTATCTAATTCTTTCTAAATTTAATTGTGTTGGAATACATAATGAATAAGAGAACACACAAAAAATTACTAGAATTTTGAGTATTTGCTTCGTCGAAACGTGTAGGGAGAGACTAAACTCAAGATTAAATAGTCTATTTGTCTAAAAAATTTCTTAACTACTTAAATTTACAGTAATTCTCTTGCTTGTATATCATTTAATTTGTTAATGTTAGATTTTTATCATCGAACAAAATCTACTAAAAATGAGAAATAGGTCCATGCCTTAAACATAATTTACATATCCATTTAACGTTGTTGATAAATCTCAGATGTTTATAAGAAGTTCAAGAATGAACAAGGAAAATTCAATGACAGACTTGTTGCTGATGTGGAGGGAATGTTGAGCTTGTACGAAGCTGCCCATCTCAGGATTCACGGAGAAGATATATTGGAAGAAGCTCTTGCATTCACTTCTTCACACCTTGAGCTCATGATGACCACCCAATTGTGTCCCTCTCTTGCCACACGAATTAATCATAGCTTAAAGAGGCCACTTCGCAAGAACCTGCCAAGGCTAGTGGCGAGGCATTACATTTCTACTTACGAAAACGACCCTTCTCATGATAAAAATTTGCTATTACTTGCCAAGTTAGATTTTAATATGCTTCAAAGGCAACATCACAAGGAAATTAGCGACATTACAAAGTAAGTTTGTTAACCAAATCCCTCAATAAATAATTAAAAAGCATTAAGTTCTTCCACATGCATGTCACCATGTCTTGGTTATAAAATTTGGCTGTTTTTTTATAATGAATTAGGTGGTGGAAAGATTTGGATTTTGCAACAAAATTGCCTTTTGCACGCGATAGGATGGTAGAAGCTTACTTTTGGATATTAGGAGTGTATTTTGAGCCCCAGTACTCCCTTGGTAGAAGGTTAATGACCAAGGTGATATCCGTGACATCAATAATTGATGATATATACGATGTTTATGGTACATTAGAAGAGCTACAACTTTTCACGGAAGCAATCAAAAGGTTTGATGTTTAAATTAATTATAAAAGGCTTAAATATGTAGTTGTCTCTTATAATATGACTAAATTCTATTTTAAAATTATTTTTTCCACTACTTTTGGTCTTCATGAATCTTAAAATTTTAAAAATGGTCGCTATCATTACTTATTGACCTAACATGCATCTATCAAATCCATATCAATAACTATTCTTAGATAACATGTAACTAGACATACTTATAATTAGATGCATGCCATTGCTATGTTATTAGTAAGTGATAACGTGATTTATTTTCAAAATTTTTAAAATTTACATAGAACAAAATTAACAAAATAAAATTAGAAACATAAAACTAAACTTAGTTATATTTCATATAAGAAGTAAAAAGATATATATTATCTATTGTCAAATGTTCAATTTTCTAGTATGAAAAAAACATAGAGAGATATTTCTTAGCTTAACAATAACCTTTGAGATAATTAATGAATATTTTAGGTGGGATATTAGCTGCATGGATTTTTTACCAGAGTACATGAAAAGTTGTTATGAAGCTCTCATGGATGTATATAAGGAAATTGAGCAAGAAATGAGCAAAGAAGGAAGAGCATCTTTCGTGACCTATGCCAAAAATGAAGTAAGATTTTATCTCTATCTGTCGTTTTTCAATTCTTTTCTTCACTTGGGTTTGACTACGATTAGTCTCAATTTCAGTGTCTAAAATAAAATTTTGAATTAGTTACTAAAATCAGTCACAAAATTTAGTCCTTAAATATTTCAATCACTAATTGATTGCTAATAATCAGCGACTAAGCGATTAGCAATTCAACAAAATCAATCCCACACTTAGTCCTCATTGTGTTTAGAGTTTGATTTCTTTGTTTTAGTGATTGATTTTTTTAGTTGTTATTAGACAGTTTTCTTGTAATGTTATAGTACAAGTGTTTGTCTCCAAATGTCTTTAGCTTCATTTAATCTTGTAAATTATTGTGGTGACCATACTAGATGAAAAGATTGGTCGAGGCCTACTTGGCTGAGGCAATATGGTTTAATAGCAATTATATACCAACAATGGAAGAATACATGGATGTTGCACTAGTGACTTCAGCTTACCGTATGCTCATAGCAACAACCTTCCTTGGGATGGGTAGTATTGCTACAGAAAAGGCCTTCCAATGGTTAATTAATTACCCTAAAATTGTGAAGGCTTCAACAATTATTTGCAGACTCATGGATGATATAGTTTCCAATGAGGTAATCAAGTAAATGAATCGATTTCCTCAAACATTAATTTATATTCTCTACTACATATTTGATATTATATATGTCTTCATTTGGATTAGTTTGAGCAGAAGAGAGGGCATGTTGCTTCGGCTCTAGAGTGTATTCTATACTACATATTTGATATTATATATGTCTTCATTTGGATTAGTTTGAGCAGAAGAGAGGGCATGTTGCTTCGGCCCTTGAGTGCTACATGAAGCAACATAGTGTCACAAAGCAAGAAGCCAATGATGAATTTAATAGACAAGTGACAAGTGCTTGGAAGGATATCAACGAGGAATGCCTTGACCCTACTGAAGTGCCAAAGCCTCTCCTCATGCGAGTCCTCAATTTATCTCGTGTGATTGATGTTCTTTATAAAGATGGAGATTGCTACACCAACTCCAAAGGATCAACAAAAGATGACGTTGAAGCCCTCCTCTTGAATCCATGGCCAGTATGAGAATAAGGGTTTTCCTTTTTGAACTGCCTTAATACACAATATTGCCATATATGTTCACTTTGTTGTAAAAGTAATAATAAAAACACAAATGATCAAAAGTGTGGTTTCCTATGACACAAGTTGGAGTTTCTTCGGAACAAATGTGAGGTAGTTAAAACCAAATCAAATTCTAATTGGATGAAATTTCCCAAAACAAATTATAAATCATGTAAAAGTTTCTTGATTATGAAATTCCAATTAAATTAGGATAAAATATGTTGTGAATACCCATTTTAAATAAATACTTATTACACTTTCCTTGGAGTTTTATTGGATATGCGTTTTTCAAACCTTATTAATTAGAAGAAATCAATGGAATCAATTGCTAATTCATACTAATAATGATGTCTTATTCGATTTTATTTTTCTTTGGAAAATCCCAAGAAAAAAATATGATTAACGAAAAAAGAGTATAGTTATATTAACTTGCCATGTTAGAAATTAACATCGTTTAAGACCTTAAATTGATGCATTATTCCAATCTTCTGAACTACTAGAATGAGGATGTGGGCAATATGACCTTGAAAATTTTGCTAGCTAAAGTCATTCTATGGATTCCTCTTCTTTTAAGATTCTGAAAGTTTCTTTTTCTTTTTTCAAAATCACCATAAAGTAATCTAATTAAACTATGTGAAACTTTTTTTTTTCAAAATTCTATTTAGACTAATTAAACATATTAAATATAATAGTGTTGTAATAATCGCAAAATATTGTAAAATATAACAAAATAATTTCTTTATTGAAATAATATTGTAATAAAAATTATAAATTGTTGATCATACAAATAAAATGATCAAACAAATTAATCAACATCAAGCATTGTTACCTGAAAAAATTGAAAGAAAATAAAGAATACCTAAAAATATTGTTAAACAATCTGAAAACTCGCCATCAAGCCTCACAAACTCTCTCTCTCTCTCTCTCTGTCTGGGAAACATTATCGTTTGTCTCGTATGACAAATAATTCTTCTCAAATGTGTGGCCATGGGTTGAAATCGAGAGATGGAAGCACATCCACATTAAATAAGCTCATGATTCACATCCATTTTAACTTCTGTTGTTACTTGTAAATTGAGGAGTCGATAAGTAGCGTGCCCACACATCTCAACGCGAAGCTGCAATATTGGATCAACCAAATCGTCATTCTTTAAAACAAACAATGTCAAATGTTGCAGCCACACCATCACTTCCGATTTTGGTGCAGAATGCAAAACCCACCTCAGAAAACACTCGCCGTTGTGCAAATTTTCACCCTACCATTTGGGGGGATTATTTCCTTGACCATGTTCCTGCCCTTATGGTACGTGCATATCCCTATCTCAAATTTAAATATTTATATTATTTAATATGTTTTTAATAAAACATGAGATTAACCAAGAAAAATTCAATACCCTCGGTAGATACATGTTCATTTAAGTGTCTGTTTACTTAAAATAAAAAAATTATTTTCATATAGTTTAATAAAACTAAGCATTTTAGTACAAAATATATAATTTAAATTAGTTTAGATCAATACTTTAATTATATTTAGTAATTTAAAATTATTAATATCAAAATAAATTATACCAAACTCCTGAACCAAATGGACATTAAGATGTAAGATTTATATCTATTTAATAGTATTTGTTCTGAAATAACTTTTGTAATGTATTAATTTCATTAATTTTTGTAGGATTAATACTAAATTATTAACATAATTGAGATGTGTTTTTAAATTTATCACAACACATTAAATATTGAAACGTGTGCACAATAAGAGAAATTCATTCTGGAGCTAAAGCATACAAGCCTTTAATTAACATTTATGTACAATTAAAAAACGTGTGATTTATATGTAAAAAATAAAATGCATATTTTGATTTCTCTCGATGTTCAGCAAATTTTCATCCCACCATATGGGGAGATCATTTTATTCAATATACTTTGGAGCCTACGGTAATGATACTTTCTTCTTATTAGTTATTAAGCTTTGCATGAGCGACATGTACATAATCCTATTGCACATTATCTAATGGACAAAATCATAATGATTAAAAAACATTTCATATTTTAATGGCAAAATATTTTAGATGTTGAAATTATTTTTGTTAATATAACATTTATTTAATAAAATTTATCTATTTATATGATGTATCTTATTATTATATAGACCCATAACATTATACTAGCAAATTAATAAATGACATTTTTTGTAGTGTATATTTTCAGTCAATTAAACTTTGTGTATGTATCCCCCGAGAATTTTACACCTCTTGCATTTATTTAGTATCTGTGAAAGAGGTTCAATGCATTATATATGTACTCATTCCCTCTATTTTCGGAAACTTTAATCATGTTACTAACATGACAAAAGCCAATTTAACGTGCAGGAAGTGGATGAAATAAAGGAGGAGCATATTAGAATATTAAAAGAAAAAGTAAGAAAGATGTTAGTTCTAGTAAATGATAGGGCCTTAACGCCTAAGGACGCTAACCTGATTGATTCAATCCAACGCTTGGGATTATACTATCAGTTTGAACACGAGATTGATGATGTGTTGCAACATATTCACAGAAACTATGTAGAAAATGGCATAATAACCTTCAATGGAGATCTCCATTCTATTGCTCTTGTCTTTAGATTACTGAGGCAACAAGGATATAACATTTCGTCCGGTACGATCACCCTATCTAATTCTTTCTAAATTTAATTGTGTTGGAATACATAATGAATAAGAGAACACACAAAAAATTACTAGAATTTTGAGTATTTGCTTCGTCGAAACGTGTAGGGAGAGACTAAACTCAAGATTAAATAGTCTATTTGTCTAAAAAATTTCTTAACTACTTAAATTTACAGTAATTCTCTTGCTTGTATATCATTTAATTTGTTAATGTTAGATTTTTATCATCGAACAAAATCTACTAAAAATGAGAAATAGGTCCATGCCTTAAACATAATTTACATATCCATTTAACGTTGTTGATAAATCTCAGATGTTTATAAGAAGTTCAAGAATGAACAAGGAAAATTCAATGACAGACTTGTTGCTGATGTGGAGGGAATGTTGAGCTTGTACGAAGCTGCCCATCTCAGGATTCACGGAGAAGATATATTGGAAGAAGCTCTTGCATTCACTTCTTCACACCTTGAGCTCATGATGACCACCCAATTGTGTCCCTCTCTTGCCACACGAATTAATCATAGCTTAAAGAGGCCACTTCGCAAGAACCTGCCAAGGCTAGTGGCGAGGCATTACATTTCTACTTACGAAAACGACCCTTCTCATGATAAAAATTTGCTATTACTTGCCAAGTTAGATTTTAATATGCTTCAAAGGCAACATCACAAGGAAATTAGCGACATTACAAAGTAAGTTTGTTAACCAAATCCCTCAATAAATAATTAAAAAGCATTAAGTTCTTCCACATGCATGTCACCATGTCTTGGTTATAAAATTTGGCTGTTTTTTTATAATGAATTAGGTGGTGGAAAGATTTGGATTTTGCAACAAAATTGCCTTTTGCACGCGATAGGATGGTAGAAGCTTACTTTTGGATATTAGGAGTGTATTTTGAGCCCCAGTACTCCCTTGGTAGAAGGTTAATGACCAAGGTGATATCCGTGACATCAATAATTGATGATATATACGATGTTTATGGTACATTAGAAGAGCTACAACTTTTCACGGAAGCAATCAAAAGGTTTGATGTTTAAATTAATTATAAAAGGCTTAAATATGTAGTTGTCTCTTATAATATGACTAAATTCTATTTTAAAATTATTTTTTCCACTACTTTTGGTCTTCATGAATCTTAAAATTTTAAAAATGGTCGCTATCATTACTTATTGACCTAACATGCATCTATCAAATCCATATCAATAACTATTCTAAGATATCATGTAACTAGACATACTTATAATTAGATGTATGCCAATGCTATGTTATTAGTAAGTGATAAAGTGATTTATTTTCAAAATTTTTAAAATTTACATAGAACAAAATTAACAAAATAAAATTAGAAACATAAAACTAAACTTAGTTATATTTCATATAGGAAGTAAAAAGATATACGTTATCTATTGTCAAATGTTCAATTTTCTAGTATGAAAAAAAATTAGAGAGATATTTCTTAGCTTAACAATAACCTTTGAGATAATTAATGAATATTTTAGGTGGGATATTAGCTGCATGGATTTTTTACCAGAGTACATGAGAAGTTGTTATCAAGCTCTCATGGATGTATATAAGGAAATTGAGCAAGAAATGAGCAAAGAAGGAAGAGCACTTTTCGTGACCTATGCCAAAAATGAAGTAAGATTTTATCTCTATCTGTCATTTTTCAATTCTTTTCTTCACTTGGGTTTGATTACGATTAGTCTCAATTTCAGTGTCTAAAATCAAATTTTGAATTAGTTACTAAAATCAGTCACAAAAATTAGTCCTTAAATATTTCAATCACTAATTGATTGCTAATAATCAGCGACTAAGCGATTAGCAATTCAACAAAATCAATCCCACACTTAGTCCTCATTGTGTTTAGAGTTTGATTTCTTTGTTTTAGTGATTGATTTTTTTAGTTGTTATTAGACAGTTTTCTTGTAATGTTATAGTACAAGTGTTTGTCTCCAAGTGTCTTTAGCTTCATTTAATCTTGTAAGTTATTGTGGTGACCATACTAGATGAAAAGATTGGTCGAGGCCTACTTGGCTGAGGCAATATGGTTTAATAGCAATTATATACCAACAATGGAAGAATACATGGATGTTGCACTAGTGACTTCAGCTTACCGTATGCTCATAGCAACAGCCTTCCTTGGGATGGGTAGTATTGCTACAGAAAAGGCCTTCCAATGGTTAACTAATGACCCTAAAATTGTGAAGGCTTCAACAATTATTGGCAGACTCATGGATGATATAGTTTCCAATGAGGTAATCAAGTAAATGAATCGATTTCCTTAAACATTAATTTATATTCTATACTACGTATTTGATATTATATTTGTCTTTATTTGGATTAGTTTGAGCAGAAGAGAGGGCATGTTGCTTCGGCCCTTGAGTGCTACATGAAGCAACATAGTGTCACAAAGCAAGAAGCCAATCATGAATTTTATAGACAAGTGACAAGTGCTTGGAAGGATATCAACGAGGAATGCCTTGACCCTACTGAAGTGCCAAAGCCTCTCCTTATGCGAGTCCTCAATTTATCTCGTGTGATTGATGTTCTTTATAAAGATGGAGACTGCTACACCAACTCCAAAGGATCAACAAAAGATGACGTTGAAGCCCTCCTCTTGAATCCATGGCCAGTATGAGAATAAGGGCTTTCCTTTTTGAACTGCCTTAATACACAATATTGCCATATATGTTCACTTTGTTGTAAAAGTAATAATAAAACACAAATGATCAAAAGTGTGGTTTCCTATGACACTAGTTGGAGTTTCTTCGGAACAAATGTGAGGTAGTTAAAACCAAATCAAATTCTAATTGGATGGAATTACCCAAAACAAATTATAAATCATGTAAAACTCGCCATCAAGCCTCACAAACTCTCTCTCTCTCTCTCTCTCTCTCGCTGGGAAACATTATCGTTTGTCTCGTATGACAAATAATTCTTCTCAAATGTGTGGCCATGGGTTGAAATCGAGAGATGGAAGCACATCCACAGTAAATAAGCTCATGATTCACATCCATTTTAACTTCTGTTGTTGCTTGTAAATTGAGGAGTCGATAAGTAGCGTGCCCACACATCTCAACGCGAAGCTGCAATATTGGATCAACCAAATCGTCATTCTTTAAAACAAACAATGTCAAATGTTGCAGCCGCATCATCACTTCCGATTTTGGTGCAGAATGCAAAACCCACCTCAGACATCACTCGCCGTTGTGCAAATTTTCACCCTACCATTTGGGGCGATTATTTCCTTGACCATGTTCCTGCCCTTATGGTACGTGCATATCCCTATCTCAAATTTATATATTTATATTATTTAATATTTTTTAATAAAACATGAGATTAACCAATAAAATTAAATGCCCTCGGTAGATGCATGTTCTCTTCCATAATCTAGAACCTGACAAACACTTTCCACCTTTTATCCTGTTGTTTAAGTCCAATATTTGTCTGACAACCTTTGTTTTTAGTTAAAAGTCAATGTCGTCGCACAATTTTGTTTAACACAAATTGTCATAAATTACGACTTTCTCTAACAATTGAGTGTTCAATATATTTGTCTTTATTCCTTGTACACTTTGTTCGCTTTAGACAAAAATTGATTCAATTCTTTACTCAGTTTTCATCAACTCTGACTTCAAAATATCTCTGATTGATATGAACTAAGTAAAGAGGGGCAACTGTAAATACCAATTTTTATATCTCTGGGATGACCTTCAATTTTTTATTTTTTATTTTTTTTAATTTATAAAAATAAAATAAAATCTTTTACAAAAAATGGAAATTTTTTAAAGAAAGAGATCGATTCCGGAAATGAAAATCCTGCACTATACAGGCTTATACCTCTACATCAAAAATCGTTCTTAAACACAAGAAAGGCAAAATCAGAACTTTTGACATTTTGTAAAAAATCCTAAACGAACCAGTATAAAGACGCAAGTAAGGGATCCACTCGAGAGAGCTTTCGGAGGAGAGAAAGAGAACAAAATTTTAGAAGAAGAGATCTAACGATCTAGAGAAAAAAGAAAAAAACTTTAAAAATAAAATATAGAGAAAATGAAATAAAAAAGAGAACCGTCTTGTTTATCACTGCTAGATTTATCACAGTCGCTCATCGTTTCTTCCCTTTCGCCATTTTTGACCTATCCCAGGTATTCTTCTTCTTCGAATATAAAATCTGTATGTTTGTGTTGTGTGTGTTGAAATAGAAATTAAAAAAAACCAATGCGAACATACACTGAAAACTTCAGAAACTTTTGAATGTTTATGTTTTTTATTAATATTATAAGATTATAAGCTGACATAGTGATAGTGTGCACGCAACCAAATGCACGAATGAAAAAGGGCACATTTCAAATGCATCTTTTACACTTTTTCTTTCATTATTACATATAGATTTTATTTTATTTTTTTGTGATATCACATGAAAATCTTTAAAAACAAATCCCGTAGATGGGATATACAAATTGGAAATACACTCTTTACTCTTCGCACCGAACCTGTATGGCAATTTTATTTTTATTTTTTATTTTGTTATTATTTTCATTAGGTAAATTATTTCATTTTGTTCTTAATTTCACATTATGATTATAATAATAAAAGAAGTTAAAACATAATGTTAATTTTTATTGTATCATATTTTAATTTAATTTTCACTTGTTAAATTTATCTCTTCATCAAAATTATTTTTCAGATTATATGTTCATATCTAGTTTACTTATTTTATTTTTCAGATTATATGTTCTTTAGTATTATTAATTTATTTTGTTGCGTTGCACAATTTTATAATGTTAATATAATTTAGTGTCACGTTTAATAATCTCTTGTCTATTATTTAACGAAATACTCTTATAAATAGAAAACACAATAATAACATCAATTTATGATACTAACTTGTAGCTTCTCTATCATCTTGTATCATAAATTGATAAAGCTTATGTATACTTACGTTACCGAGGCTTTAAGTAATATTAATTTATTATAGGTTATCTTTAATTAATTAGAAAAATTATTTTAATAACTAATCAAAATGTATTCCCTATAATCATTATTTTACTAATCAAACAAAAAAATTATTTTATTAACATAATAATTTATAATGTTAATGTATAGCAACTCTACCTTTACATGTTATAAATTATTAGAACCTATGTGTACCTAACCTATGTATACCAACGTCACATTAGGTTTTATACAACATAAATTTATCAAACAAAGTTTTAATTTTTTTATTATTATTAAATATTTTTAATCAATTCAAATTTATTTATTCATTTCATTAAATGAAATTAATTTAATATTTTAAAATTTCTTGAATCATATTTCTAATTTTGATAAATTAAATAACAAATCATTTCTCTATTTTTATTATATTATACAATTTTTATAACATCGATGTGTGATTTACATTACCTTCGATTGTCCAAAAATTATAAGAGATTAACGTATAGCTTACGCTATCTTTAATTCTCTTTTAACATTGTTCATAATAAAAATTCAAATTCAAATACTTGATTTACTAATAAAATATTTTTAAAGATTTGTAATATAGTTGTGTGATCTTCCTTCACTTTCTGTATTGTTTCTCGTAGGGTACATGTATAACCGCGTTATCTTGTATTCTAAATATTATAATTTTACAAAATAATTTTAATTTTAAAATAAATTTTCTTTTACTAAACCTAATTTTAATAAACTAATTTCATAATTTTTAGATAGAACTATGTGACTTTGAGTTCTCCATTGCACCCGGGGATACGTAGGAGCTGGAACCAAAGTCAAAATAATTTTTAAAATAACCCAAATAATATTTCAATAAATAATATTTCTTCTTCTAAAAATAAAATAATTAATGTTTAGGGTTAAATAAATATTTTTCAAAATTAGAATGAATTTGCACAATTAATTTAGGTAACCATTTTTAAACGACATTGTAAGGTGTTAATACCTTCCTACACGTAAATGACTCCCGAACTCATTTTTGGTTTCAAAGATCATATTATATTTAAGTTTTTCCAAGGTTTTTCTTAAAATAAACTTTGGTGGCGACTCCTCTAATATTTTTAAAAACGTTTTCGCCATACCGTTGTGACTGCCCGATTGCCACAGCTTAGAACAATTACATCGCAAGGGAATGCCTAGGTTGGAGGCAAGATATTATATATCTTTCTATCAAGAAGATCCTTCCCATGATGAAAATTTGTTAACCTTTGCAAAATTAGATATTAATATCCTGCAGAAGCTACATCAAAAAGAAGTCAACAGTCTCACCAAGTAAGATCTTTCACAAAAATTAAATCTTTCATTAAATGAAATAATATTAAATATAAATAGACAAGTGCTAGATCAATAGAGAAGTGCTAGATATACACACTCTAATACGTTTGTTTTTTAATACATAGCATTTCTCATATAAATAAATCCAGATCTATGACCTTGCTTTAGAAATTAATATGGTGATCAGGTGGTGGACTAAGGATTTAAATGTCTCGGCAAAATTTCCTTTTGCACGGGATAGGGTTGTGGAAGGTTGCTTTTGGGTTTTGGGGATCTACTTTGAGCCGCAGTATTCTCTTGCTAGAAGGATAATGATGAAAATAATGGCCATATCATCCATCATTGATGACATCTATGACGCCTATGGAACCATTGACGAGCTAGAGCTTTTCACCAAAGTAATAGAGAGGTTGGCCATATTCAAATATCATCATTATTTCTTGCTAATTCATCATAATAATAATGATGGTGATACTTTCAGGTGGGATATATGTTGCCTGAATGATCTCCCAGATTACATGAGATTATGTTATACGGCACTTTTGGATATTTTTGAAGAAATAGAGCAAGAGATGAGACAGAAAGGAAAAGCATATTGCATCGAGTATGCCAAGAAAGAAGTACGGTCAAGCGTAACAAAAATCTCCTTACAAGATACTTTCGCCTGTTAAAAATAAAAAGCAAAGTATCTACATTCTTTGATCCATTGAAAAGTTGTTATTATGGCTTCAACTTAAAGTCATTGACCTAGATCTGAAATTTTCTCTTTTCCTAAATACGCATATATGGCAAAAACTTATTATAATCAATCAAAAGTAAATATGAAACACATATCTCAATATGGTATTTCTGTATTTTAATTGTAGATGAAAAGACTGATCCAAGCTTACATTACTGAGGCAAGATGGTTTCATTGCAACTACACACCAACAGTGGAGGAGTACATGAAAGTCGGAACATTATCATGTGGTTACGCTATGCTGACAACCGTCTCTTTCATCGGCATGGAAGACTCAACAGAGGAGGCTTTCAGATGGGCAACGAGTGACCCAATAGTTATCGTTGCTGCTTCAACTCTTTGTAGGCTCATGGATGACATTGTTGGACACGAGGTACATACTAGACACATATTAATGTACAATATTTTCAAATCATTATTCTTGAACTTTAAATAAGTTTTATAAGTGTTTCACTTGAAAGATAGTGAATCCAAATATTACATTCGACTAACATGAAACTTATCCAAATGGTTGCTCTATAAGGCTATATGACGGACCATTTGTTAAAAGAGCTAATAATTTTTAAAAAAATTTAAAGAGCTAATTAAGAGAGGAGAACTACTAAAAAAATTTACCATCCTATTAGCAATTTTTATTTTCATCGTTGATTATTTGAATCTGTTAGAATTCATTTTTCTCTTCAATTATGTGATCAGTTTGAGCAGAAAAGAGGACACGTAGCCTCAAGCCTTGAATGCTATATGAAACAACACAATACCTCAAGGCAAGAGGCCATTGAAGAACTACTTAAGGTAATTGAGAGTGCTTGGAAGGATATTAATGACGCATGCCTTGATCCTATTCCATTACCATTGGCCTTGCGCGAATGATGGATGTGCTTTACAAGGAAGAAGATATCTATACAAATTCCGGAGGAATAATGAAAGATTACATCGAAGCTTTGCTAATAAATAAGATGCCTGTATAAGGAAGAATCGTAAATCTATTTTTTATTACTTGTATAAAGAAAACAAATCAACAAGCAACAAAAACAACAGCAGGTTGAGCTGCTTTTGCTTCAGAGTAGACTAAGTAATGTACAAAATATAGAGTAGTATCCCAAATTATAAACTTATTATTATCCGATTTCTCATTTTTGCATGTCTATATATCAGCAATGGAGTTAACCTAACGTGTAACATGATTTAACGATACATTGGGTTTAAAATATTCTGAAAATTATATTAAAAAAAACTACGTAATATAATCTTAAAGTTCTATTATTACATAACAATTAACTGATTCTGCAATCGGAAATGAATAATAATAATTAATACGATGCCTATATAAGCAAGAAAACTAGATATTATGATTGAGCGATCGCGCGTATATATATATATATATATATATATATCAAATTTTATAAATTCTCCAACTAAAAAAAATTAATCAAAACAAAAAATGCTTTGGATTTTTTGTGATTTTCTTTTTTTTTCGATTTTTTGTAATTTTTGTTTCTTACTTTTTATAACAACTTATTTTAAGATTACGAAAATTTGATCTCTCCACTTGTTTTTTCATCTAATTTTTCAAATTCTTATCTTGCACTCAAAATATTTATAAATTGAATTGATTAACTTATTTTAATTTTATTATTCTTAATTTGCCAACCAAAATATTATATTTTATTCCGCAAAATTTCAACATTTTTTCTTCAAACTCTAACATGAATCTCATGCCGTATGAGATCCTTTAAGTTTTGTCTAATTCTTACTGAATTCTTAACATTTTCACTTTTAAAACAATTTTATACCAGAAATTCTTCATAAATCTCCTAAATATTTGAACAATAAAATTGAACTTAAGGATTTTATAATAAGAAAATAATGAAATTAAGAATCAAATTTATTTAATTCCAAAAATAAAAAACAATAAATAAAAACTATGCATAATTAAAATTTGAAAAATTGCAATTAATATTTTTGTTATATTCAGGGGGACATTTCAAGGTGTTTTCTTCATAATATAGGATTTATAATTTGGGAGAGAGAGACACGTATAATACGAGTTGACTATAATAATGCCGACATACATGGTTTCAAAATTAATTATATTTACAGAAAAATTAATTATTCAAATGCTATTATATATACAGAGAGAGAAAAATCTTTTGTGAAAGTTTAAAAAGTAATCAGATACTGAATCTTTTATTTAATTTAAATTTAATAATTAATAAAATAATAAATTATAATTTATTAAATTTAAATTAAATAAAAGATTTAAATTAAATATAAAATTTTTTAAACTTTTATATAGGAATCACTTGTACGACCTGTGCTAAATGATTTTTGAAAACGTGTGGCTAAGAGTATGAATAGGTTAAAGCTGATCGACAATAATTGCGAAGGTAATGACATAGGGGCCTACAAAACCTAATTAAATACGAAAAAATATCATGCTATAGACTATAGACTATTGTTGTGTAGATCACAAGTGTCACTGTTAAATAAAGGCCAAAAGAAAATGCATGCTATAATCAATATATTAAGTGGACATTTTTAACGTCATTCCACTCTTTCTTATTCACACCACTAATCGCTTCTCAGATCATGAATTGAGTTTCGGCCAATTAGAAAATAAACCTCTATAATAATAATTTCATTACACTAATCACCGTCTGCTGTTGTGAATTTTAGAAATTAAGTTCTGTTTTTATTACTCAATCAAATTTTTTTTCATTTTATTCACACAAATTTAATAACAATGCAATTATTTACGATGCAGATATATGATCTTTTAATATTTTATTTCTATTATTTATTATAACAACGCATGTATCTATAATCATGTGATTTTATTTAATATAAATTTAATTTAAAAATAAATTCTTTGTTAAAAAAATCTCTTTCAGAACATTTTCTATAAAAAAACTATGACTTTATTTTTTTATTGCAAACCAAAATAAGATAAAAATTAAGTTACAATCATTTTTAAAAATATTTTCTCCTTTATTTTTAAAAAGTATTTTTAATAAAGTCCGTTGAAAATATTTTTTCTTTTTTTGATAAAGAAAAATAAAAAAACAAACAAACAAAATTATACTATCAAATATAGAATTCTTCTAACATTAATTTAAAGAAATAATTTTAAAATTTTAAATTTGGAGGTAAGGCCCAATCTTTCAAATTAAATCTGAAAAAACTATCAATTTAACTACAAAATTTGAACTATATTATCTTCACTTAGGAGGTGTATGATAGTAATTTGTTTTAAAAAAATTTTTAAGATATTAGTATATTTATGAAAAGATAGAACAATTTTTATCATAAATTTATGACTTCTATTGCATTAAAGTAATATAAGAAATGTTTAATATTTATATTTTAAGTTTTTTTTAACTATTAAAATATAATTATAAGTTTAATATGAGTATTGGTAGAAATATTAATGAACTAAGACACCCTCGAAAGAAAATTTCCATCCTTATATTTAATAAGAGTGTCAAAACCAATTTTTTCTTGACTCTCTCAAGCAAATAAATTAAAAATTCTAATTAACATTCTAATGAATCAAGCATTTCAAGCAGATATAAAATCAGTGCACTTGTTCATTAGTTAAATAAAATAGCTAAAAAAAGTAAAAAATATTTTTTGTATAATTAAATAAATATTTTAAATTTATAATAAATTTGTACAACTAACTTGAAATAATTCATTTAAACTAATGTTATAGGCACTAATGATTATTTTACAAGTAGATTACTTTTGAATTTAAAATCTGTTCTAAAAAATATTTTTAAAAATTTTTTTCTAATAAAACTTTCTTTAATAAGCTTTAATAATGGCTTCTCTATTTTAAATACTTAATTTTATTTTAAATATATTCTTTTTATGATCGCAATTGCAACAACCAGCAATACTCAAATACAAATAAAGAAGAAATATAATACTGACATATTCATTTATTCCAACGAATAAAAGTACTGTGAAAACTAGCTAATTTAAAATAATTGTAAAATACACTTTGATGTGAATTGACCCCTCCCCCTCTTCATTTGCATTCTGTTTCTTCACGTGAAGATGTAAGAATTTCATAAATTAACTTTTTCACAATATATATATATATATATAATTGTGTCAATAATATTTTTTATGGTTTGTTGAAATTTATCGAAATACATAATTTCTTAAGTATCAAGTTATAAATAATGAAAATAAAAATTGTAAAAGAAGTATATAAAAACAATACACGTTAAATTAGAGAATCAATGAAAAGCAAAGTTCTATACATACGTAGGACCTTAGAAGTGTTTTCCGAGGAGAGATTCGTCTTCAATGGTTGTTTTGAGATCCATTTTGCATGCTAAATACCTCCTTAGGGCAAACAGTGCACCTCTGGGCCAGTTGCTGTGACAAAAATCTCTGTGAAACCAATGGTTGTCACTAGTAGACGTGGCTCCACCTCTACCATATTATATAAGACAAATTATTTTTCACAAATATCTAAATAAAACTGTTTTCTTTTAATTTTAAAAACACTAATATATTTTAATACAGTGGATTATAATCGAATTCACTTCAATATGTTCTAAATTTACCATCATGTTTTGGATTATTTGGTGGAGAGTTGTAAGTTTTCTTGAGTTAACTTTTTGAGAGAGTAGTCAATCGTGTTAAAATTTAAAGAGTTTTCGTCGTCCTAGCTGTCTCATCAGAATTTTGTGTCAAAGCACCAATAATTTTAAAATAAAAACTATGCAAACTTTTATTTAAAATAATACAAAGTTATGAATCAATCTCAAGATACATTTTTATTTTATTTTATGTACCTTTTAGTGTTATTTTTCTTAACAGTATTATTAATAAATTTACAATTTATAACATTTTATTATCAACTTTAAAATTTTATATAAAAAATGTATTTTATTTTTTAAAGTCCTCACGTCAATAATTGTTAATATTAAAATGATGTCGAGAATTTATAAAAAAATCTTTTTAAAAATTATTGTGATAAAATTGATTAAAATATAAATATATTGATAGAAAGTAAAGTATACTGAGACAGTAGAAATGATAATACTAAGGTTTTTTTACCGTGAAATGAGAATATTAATTAATATAAAATAAATATGCACAAAAACATGGATGCCGATCTGCTCTAATTAAATAAAAATACAAAAGATAACTAAAAAATTTATGTAAAATTAACTTAAATAAAATTTTTTAACTTAAGCGAAATTTGTACATTTGAAGAGATGGAGGCTAAGTATAGAAAAAATAAAGGACTAAGGATGGATGGATATAAGAAAAGTAATATAGGAGTGGTGGTGAAGGGAGAGAAGGGTGAAGAGTTAAATATGGAGGACAGAGGGAGAGATAGAATTGGGATAGCATTACATTGAAAAGAGAAAGAAAAGAATTGAATATAGGTCGAAAAAAAAAAGTGAGTTAGGTATGAGAGAAAAAAATGTTGACCACAAAAATTAAAGAAGGTTTAGTATAAAAGTTGAAAATTGAGTGTTAAGCATAAAAAAAGAAGACATAAATTTTGCTTAAACTAAAATAATTCATTTAAGTGAATCTATAAAATTTGTTTGTTAAAAAATTTGTTTAAGTTAATTTTACGTAAAAAAATTTTAAAAAATATTATTTTCTGTATATTCACTTTAAAAAATCCATTAACCTAAAGTACAATTCCTGTGTTAATTAAAGTGGATTTGCATCCTTAAAAACATAAGAATTCTTGTGTGTCAGCTGTATGAAAAGCTTTAAGTTAGATATATTAAATATTTTTCTAACTTAAAATAAAAATAAGTAATCTACTAGCAACATAAAATATTAAAAATCTTCTACTTTAGATGAAAAACAGTAAAATAAATATTATCAACCGCTAAAATAAGTAATTTTTATTATATATATGGACTCCAATTAAATTTACAAGGATAACAACATTTTTAAAATTTTGAAGTTAAAAAATATTCTGTAAATTAAATAGCCCATATGTAAAAGAAGTGAAGGAAACATTATCCTGGTCATTTTTCCTAAATGTGTGGCCAATCCATGAGTTGAAACCGTACAATGAAGTGGAAGGTGATCCACTATAATTGAAGTATTGAACACGTGAACAATGGAGCATACAATAATTATTCAGTGTTATAAGATTGGTTTTTCTTATAAATAAAGGAGTTGATGAGTAGAGTTATCAAACATTTGAGAGCTAAGCTACACACACAAATATCTAATATTACATCATCACTCTCAGGAAAAGGAAGCAAAGAATGTCAAACATGGCAGCCTCATCAGTTCCTGTTTTGGTGCAGAATGCAAAACCCACTTCAGATGTCACTCGCCGTTGCGCTAATTTTCATCCTTCCGTTTGGGGGGATTATTTCCTTACCATTCCTATCTCTTTGGTACTGTGCATATCTCACTTTTATGTAACTATCTATCTATAATTATAAGCTCTATATTGTATACATTCATCTTCATCTTCTTACTAAATATTATATATTTTAGTTCAAAACTATTTCTATCAAAGTAAATTCTATCAGACTTCATATCACATTGATATTCGTTAAGTGTGAGATTTACATCTATTTCATATTTATTAATCTCAACCATCTATTCTATATCAAAACATTTAGCTACAAAAGAAATTGAATTTGGAGGTAAACTGTACAAACCCTAAATACTTGTTTGACAAAACATAAAATATATAATTGAGATCAATTTAAACGAATATTTTAGTTAATAATTGAAACTTAATTCTATCAAAAATGATTGTTATGCTATATACATTCAAGCACTTAAATTTAATCCTTTTCTTCTCTTATAAAATTGTCTCTTAAAATTTTATCATTTCTTTCCGTATAAAATTGACTCATTCGTCAGGTTTTGAAGGTGTCTCTTTTGTTGTTTTTTAAAGAACATAGTACTAAAACTAACCATCAAGTATTGTCGGCAAGCTTCAACCGCATTCGACAATGCAAAAATATTCATGCATTCCTCTTAAAACAAAAAAGAACAAAATCAAAAGAAAAATATTAAAAGCTTCTAAATTGATAGGGAGAGCTATTTATATCCTCCATCTTTAAAAGTACTCATAAAAAAATAGTTATGTTTATTCTATGATTTTTAGTAATTTGTAATCTTTATAGTTGCTCTTATTGTAATTTTGGGTTGAATATCCCTTATACTCAATATCAATAGAATTTTTTGTGCTTTTAAAAAAATAAAATAAGTACTCATAAAAAAAGTCACAAATTTAATGTTTTGATATCTTTTATTTATACTATTACAATAAAATTATTTCATTTTTGACAATTTGTATTGAATAAAATTGAAATTTTTTTCAGATATAATTTTTATATAAACACAATTATAAACGTTTTTATGATATACTTACCTATAAATTTTTAGTACATTTAAAAGATTAAAATAATTATAATTAGAAAAACACATAATAAATTATTATTTTTATAATATTTCTTATAACTATTTCCGGTTCAAGGTTACACTAACCCAACATAAACCAATAACCTTTCCCCTCAACTAATGCGCGAGCCTTCAACACAAAAGCCATATTCACAACCTTAAATGCACAACTCAGAGATACCCCACTAACACATGCATATTACTGGATGTTCATGAGTTGGGTATATATATATATATATATATATATATATATATATATATATATTATTTTATTATTTTAATATATATTTTTAAATGTAAACTTTAATAAATAATTTATTATTTAAGGATAAATGAAAAAATTATATAAATATTGATAATATTTTAATTTAATAAGTTAATATCTAACAAACAGGGAGAGATTTGTAATTTATCTTAAAAAGACATAAACATTTTTTAATTTTTAAAATATATGAACAAATATAATCATTAATTTAAAAAATTATAAAATATTTCTTCAAATTTATAAACACGAGAGTAAGCACAGTAAACAGATATTTTTTTAAGCATAAACATGATAACTCAACTCGAATTAATCTGTTTGTAATTGGGTTAAATTAATTTGAGTCACATGTTAAAAAATTTAAAAAATAATAGTTCAATTTAACCTGTTATATCAAACTCAAATTGTAAACACCCTAAGTATTCCCTCTCTAACTTCGCTATAAAATTTTACCAAAATTAATCAAATGTTTCGTATATGCTTTACTCGACTTTTTCATAATTAATTGTTTTTTTTTTTTTTTGGCAGGAAGGGGATACCGACATGAAACAAATTCAAACATTAAAAGAGGAAGTGAGGAAGAAGCTTGTCTCTTCTATTGATAACAATTTCTCTTATATGTTAAACTTCATCGACTCAGTCCAACGCTTGGGTATTTCTTACCATTTTGGACATGAAATTGATGAAGCATTGCACCAAATTTACAGCACTTCAACGAAGGACAATAATATTACAACTCAGAATGATGATCTTCATCATCTGGCTCTACTCTTTCGGTTGCTTAGGCAACATGGATATCGCATTTCATCAAGTATGTCTTTATAAACATTGCGTCAAATTTACATTCTAACAACTTCAATTTGGCTCCGTTAGAAACTTTACATCCTAATCAAACTCAACCTTACATTGCGCCAAAATCAATTTAACCTGTCATATTTAGTGGGTTAACTTGTATATATTAATTCATTAATCTGTATAATTCGCTATTTGGGGTAAGTAAATAGCTAACAAAACGAGTTCATTCTTTTTATCACTACTTTTTTTATTTTATTATTTAGGTTGCTTGAAAGAAAGACTCATCATAAAATGAGTTTAATTGACAACTTTTGAACATCTCTGTTATATAAATATTTGTTAAGAATACATATACCGTATATTCATATTTATTATATTTCTTTATATTTTTTCTTTCTTTCTTTATATATATCACATTTAAGACTAAAAAAGTGCAGACACCTATGATTCTTTCAGGACAGGGAATATCAGAACAAGCACAAATTAACCACGCACATAGAAAATGGAGGTAGAGCACAGCAATAATGCGGATCATGATAGGTACCATATATGACGCATCATTACCGGGCTGAGAATGACACGATAAGAATCACAAATCGAATGTAAACATATATCGCCCAAACTAGTAAATCACAATTCCATATTTTGGGTAGGGTCATCAGGTTTCTTGGTTTTGCATTTTCTAAGAGTGACATCCCATCTAACAGAAATTGACTACCCTTAACCTCTCTTTAACTAAACCAATATTTTACCCTTAGTTAGGGTTAGGTTGATTAGCAACTCATAAGGTAACTTGACCCATTTATATCTCTCTTTTTTTTTCTTAATTTTATATGTGAATTATTAAAGTTAAATACGTGTTAACAACTGCACGAAATCATTATAATATTAAACAGACGCTACGGACTGAACACATGCCCTTGATAATTGATTAAACAGATGTATTTTACAAATTCAAGGACCAAACCGGACTCTTCATTGAAAGTGTAGCTGACGATATTAAAGGAATATTGAGTCTCTATGAAGCAGCCCAGCTAAGATTTCATGGAGAGGAGATACTTGATGAAGCACATGATTTCGCTCACGCTCAATTAACAAAGTCTCTAACCACCCAATTGAGCCCTTCTCTTGCTGCAAAAGTGCGCCACAGCTTAGAACAATCACATCGCAAGGGAATGCCTAGGTTGGAGGCAAGATATTATATATCTTTCTATCAGGAAGATCCTTCCCATGATGAAAATTTGTTAACCTTTGCAAAATTAGATTTTAATATCCTGCAGAAGCTACATCAAAAAGAAGTCAGCAGTCTCACCAAGTAAGATCTTTCACAAAAATTAAATCTTTCATTAAATGAAATAATATTAAATATTAATAGACAAGTGCTAGATATACACACTCTAATACGTTTGTTTTTTAATACATAGCATTTTTAATATAAATAAATCCAGATCTATGACCTTGCTTTAGAAATTAATATGGTGATCAGGTGGTGGAATAAGGATTTAAATGTCTCGGCAAAATTTCCTTTTGCACGGGATAGGATTGTGGAAGGTTGCTTTTGGGTTTTGGGGATCTACTTTGAGCCGCAGTATTCTCTTGCTAGAAGGATAATGATGAAAATAATGGCCATATCATCCATCATTGATGACATCTATGACGCCTATGGAACCATTGACGAGCTAGAGCTTTTCACCAAAGTAATAGAGAGGTTGGCCATATTCAAATATCATCATTATTTCTTGCTAATTCATCATAATAATAATGATGGTGATACTTTCAGGTGGGATATATGTTGCCTGAATGATCTCCCAGATTACATGAGATTATGTTATACGGCACTTTTGGATATTTTTGAAGAAATAGAGCAAGAGATGAGACAGAAAGGAAAAGCATATTGCATCGAGTATGCCAAGAAAGAAGTACGGTCAAGCGTAACAAAAATCTCCTTACAAGATACTTTCGCCTGTTAAAAATAAAAAGCAAAGTATCTACATTCTTTGATCCATTGAAAAGTTGTTATTATGGCTTCAACTTAAAGTCATTGACCTAGATCTGAAATTTTCTCTTTTCCTAAATACGCATATATGGCAAAAACTTATTATAATCAATCAAAAGTAAATATGAAACACATATCTCAATATGGTATTTCTGTATTTTAATTGTAGATGAAAAGACTGATCCAAGCTTACATTACTGAGGCAAGATGGTTTCATTGCAACTACACACCAACAGTGGAGGAGTACATGAAAGTCGGAACATTATCATGTGGTTACGCTATGCTGACAACCGTCTCTTTCATCGGCATGGAAGACTCAACAGAGGAGGCTTTCAGATGGGCAACGAGTGACCCAATAGTTATCGTTGCTGCTTCAACTCTTTGTAGGCTCATGGATGACATTGTTGGACACGAGGTACATACTAGACACATATTAATGTACAATATTTTCAAATCATTATTCTTGAACTTTAAATAAGTTTTATAAGTGTTTCACTTGAAAGATAGTGAATCCAAATATTACATTCGACTAACATGAAACTTATCCAAATGGTTGCTCTATAAGGCTATATGACGGACCATTTGTTAAAAGAGCTAATAATTTTTAAAAAAATTTAAAGAGCTAATTAAGAGAGGAGAACTACTAAAAAAATTTACCATCCTATTAGCAATTTTTATTTTCATCGTTGATTATTTGAATCTGTTAGAATTCATTTTTCTCTTCAATTATGTGATCAGTTTGAGCAGAAAAGAGGACACGTAGCCTCAAGCCTTGAATGCTATATGAAACAACACAATACCTCAAGGCAAGAGGCCATTGAAGAACTACTTAAGGTAATTGAGAGTGCTTGGAAGGATATTAATGACGCATGCCTTGATCCTATTCCATTACCATTGGCCTTTCTTATGCGAGTTGTCAACCTTGCGCGAATGATGTATGTGCTTTACAAGGAAGAAGATAGCTATACAAATTCTAGAGGAATAATGAAAGGTTACATCGAAGCTTTACTAATTAATAAGATGCTTGTATAAGGAAGAATCATTAATTATTAATCAATTACTTAACTCTATGTAATAGTATAATGCCCCAACGCTGCGCCCAGAATAAACAAATTAATAAACAATCAACAAATAAAATAAAGGCTGGTTGAACTATTTATGTTTCAGATCAAACTAAGGAATGCTCAGAATACGGACGAGTAACCCAAATTAAAAAGTTATCATTGATCTGAGGTCCCATTTTTGCATGCTTATCACCAATGCAATTAATTTCGCGTGTAACATGGTTTAACAATGAACGGGCTTAAAATATGTTTAAAATTACAACAATAAAAAGGAATAAGCATGTATAATAATCTTAAATTTATACTATTACCTAACATTTTATCTTAATCTGAAGTCACAGATGAATACCAATTATTAATAAGATGTCTACTTATATATAAGCAAGAATTTTCATAAATATTTTGCTATATGTTAGTTATTGATCGACTTCTTTCATTCGTGTAATATTATCTTCCCGTTTGTTTAATTATCTCAATTTTTAAAATTTTTAAATAAGAAATAATTAATCATAACAAGACAAATCTTTTATTATATTATTATCTTTTAATTTTAATTTGATTAAAAGCCAAAATCCGAACTCATTAAGAACATTAATCCAAAAGAAAGATGATACCATGTATACGGCCAACAAAAGCTTAATACCTTGTTAAAGCCTTGTCCAATCCCCCCTGTCCCCCCAATGAGAATTAGAAACCCAAAAGCAAAAAGCTAGAGACATAACACAACAGACAAGAGTCCTGTCAATTTAAAACCATGGCCCTGCCATTGACTTCCTTCTGTTTTCTTATTTCTTTGCTTTTCACAATTTTTTTGTTCCTCCCTTAATAATGTAATAGTAAGTTAGAGAGACATGATCCATAGAATGCAGAGTTCAAATCCTGTAATATAGAAAAATTATACCTGTCTCTGACCACTCTCTAAAAGAAGACAACTGAAATCAAATAAAATACAGAGAGGACATAATAATATGTTCACAATTATCTTTATGTTTTTCATGTTAGATAATCTCATAAATTATGGTTCACCATACTATTATCGTAAAATCGAGTAAGGATATTTGTCTTTATTTCGTTCAAGAACAAGAATGCTTGATTTTTAATTATTATTTTTTTGACAAGTAAAAATTCACTGAAAAAAGAAATTAAGAGAGTACAAGAAGTACTCATGAAGAAAACTGTTTCTACAAAGAAATTCCCCCAAGCCAAGAGTCATGCCAGAAAGGAATGTCTTGACCCATCTCCTACTTCTTTTATTACAGAATTTTACCAATTGGACAGAAAATCACCTCCTACAGAATCTGTAGAGACTAGGTCTATCCACCAACTTGATCAATTTCTGTTTTTAAATTTCTCATTTATTTTTCACACTCGATATTTAACTACTAACACTTTGAACCATAAGGTTTTTCTTTTCTTTTCTAACTTCTAATCTTTACATCTTTTCCATTAACAATGCAAAATATTTTGCCTTGATACTTTTTATTCTCAAAACTCCCTCTTCGTTGTTTTTATTATTACACACATTTTGTCTGTTACAATTATGGAAAAAAAAGTGTGTGTGTTTTGAATTAATCAAGTGCATCATAATATAATAATCAATGTTATCATAGACAGATTAATGACAGAATCGTCCTCTACGTGTCTGTTTCCCAGCATCAACACAGTGAAGCTGTGAACAGATAGAAGATTCGTATAGCACTTGTCCATTAATATCTGTCTACTACTGAGACCGCCGTTTCAAAATGAACTGCTGGAGATATAATTTAAATGTATAAATAAATAAACGTTTATAATTTAAGAGATTAAAATCGATGTTTATTCTTAAATTAAATTTATCATTCTAAATTAATTTAAACTACGACCGTTTCGTTATAAATAATTTAATTATACGTTTATTTTTTTTAAAATGTTAGTGAACTATTAGTTTAAAGATGTTTACACTGCCAAAAAAATGAAAATATATGATAAACATATTTTTTATATTCATTATTATAAAAGTTAGTCATTCTAATTTATATAATATTTTATAATTAAATAACATTATAAAAATTATGTTATCAATATCTTTAAATTAAATTCTTAATTAAATTTAAATACATACTATATCATAAGATAACTTTAGTAAACTCAAACCATAACGCACGTTTCATTTAAAACTTTAGTATACTATAAATATTTTATATAATAATGTTTTTTTTTTGCATAAATAATTAATTAAATTTATTTTTACTAAAACTCAACCAAACGATTAAATTACATAAATTTAAGAATTGAACGTTGCATGCTTGATAAATTGAGGTTATTTTTTTATAAACAAAAAATTGAGGTTAATTATAGTATATAATCTTTATAAATATATTTATATTATCAATCAATTAGAATATGTCATAATTTTATGTATAAAAATATTACATATTTAATTTCAAAGCATTGGTTAAAGGGTTAAAAGTGAAAGATTTTTATTAAAAATTATATTAAATAATATTAAAAATTACATAGAAAAGTACATTTATTATGTATTTGTTTAAAATAATTTATTGTTAGTTAAGTACCCCAGGCTAAGAGCACTGATTTACATTACATTTCCCTGAATTAACTTTTAACAAATTTTACTATATTTGTTTATATTTTAGAAAATATATTATTTTTAATGAGAAGGTTTCTCTGCATTTAAAGTGTAGATCGACGTAAAGATTACTCAGTGTCGTGTACGAGGAAAGTGAGCAAGAGGAACAAATGCCAACAGCGTCTTCCTCCGATTCCAATGATCGGGAAACAGAATTCCGGTCACCGTTCCTGCCGGCGGCGGAAAAACCTGGTGGAGAATCAGAACCGGAGAAGCTGTGCATCGACGTGATGCTTCAGAACTATTGCGGCGAGTTCGGGCGGTGGCAGTTTAAGCACTTCGTCCTAACGTGCCTCGCTTGGGCTTTGGAAGCGTTCCACACAATGGTTATGATATTCGCCGACCGCGAACCGGAGTGGAGGTGTCTGGATGGCGCGGCCGGTTTGGGTTGCGAACCGGGTGCGACGAGCGTGTGCCGGTTCGAACCGGGTTCGTGGGAGTGGGTGGGAGGGTCGGGTTCTTCCACCGTTGCTGAGTGGGGTTTGGTTTGTGGTGACAAGTTTAAGGTTGGGCTGGTTCAGGCCGTCTTCTTCGGCGGCTGTATGATCGGTTAGTCTCTCTCTCTCTCCCCCTTCTGCCTCATCTTATGTTATTTATTTAATCATTTCCTAAATGCTTATTAATTTTAAGATCAGTAATACGATTCCTAATTATTTTCACTACAGTTTTTATAACAAATTTCAAATGAGATCTAAAATAAAAGGAAATGCAATATGAAATTAATAATGTAATAAAAAAATTTGTGGGAACTTGGAATAAATAAATATTCATTTTAGTTTATCAAATTATAAACGTTGATTATTTTAATTTTTATATATAAATGATAAAAAAATATTTTTTATAACATTAAAGTAAATTTTTATAAAAATAAAATAAAATAAATTAATATTATACAATTTTAAGAATTAAAATAACTATTCACTCTCTTATTATTCTTTTCCAATGAGCTAGGAGTAATTCAGCAGTATTACTGTGTTCAGAGTCTTAAGAATATTTTTTATAATATACTATTTTCTAACACAGTTCACTCTCTCAGTTTTGGATCTGGGTACGAGTTAAGATTATAAAAGCCACGAATTAGATAATATTAGAAGTTAAAACAAGTTGAATTTAATTAAGTTGTACTAGCTAGCTGAGGTTATTTCCTAAATCAAGGTCAAATATTGTCTTGTTTATGATATATATAAGCCTCTCTAAATGTTTGTGTTGTCTTAAAAATTCATTTAAAACTTATTTAAAAATAAGACCTCCTAAAAATTCAAAAAAAAAATATTTTTAAACATATTAATAGTCCTAAACGATTTAATTACATTTGTAGTACTCTAATAAGAGATTAAAATAGCATATAATCAAATTAGAGATTAAAAAAATCCTAAAATTTGAATATTATATGGTTGCTCATCTAAAGTATATGCAACCAATGGCCCATTAACATTGCTCATCAAGTGCAACGGCAGCAACAATATGCAACGGCAGCAACGCTGCAAGACACTGAAATATAGACAAACATCAAGAACATCTGTACGCAACAGTTTTGAGGTTATCCAAACCCATGAAAAGCTTTAAGACTTAAGATCACACGTCCCTATATCTTCCATTTAGAAGTTGCCAACACACATCATCGTTCTCACACCTGCAACACCTTGCGCCATTTGTTTTTTTTATCGTTTGTTCACACTCTCTCTCCTCTGCATCTGCAGCGGTTATCAGATAGATGTATCGTGATACAAATCTTATTTTTGCATTCTCAATCCATCCAGTAACGTTGGAAAAAATCATAAATCTCTTTTTTCTCCTTTTACAAAACTTTTACACGCTGTTTATTTTAAATGAAGAGAGAAAATAAGGGAAATTTTAATGAAAGAAAAGGAAGGAGGAAGGGGAAATATAATGTAAAATAAATGAATTTATTATTATATATTGAAAATAGTTAAATATACTTCTTAAATGAAAGATAATTTTATCTAATTTATTTTTAAAAAAAATTCTAAATATTTCCTTATTTTTGGAGAGGAATTAAAGTTGAGTGAGAAAGAATATGTTTTATTATGATTTAGGTCTCTTTCTCATATACCAGGATATTGCATGTGTGTTGCATATATTTTATAAAAGATTGTGTTGCATGCAATGATGCTGCAAACCATCATTGGATGCAACACAGAAATTGAATTCACCTTCTTAATATTGAAATTTCAGGTGCTGGAATATTTGGGCACCTCTCAGACTCATTTCTTGGAAGAAAAGGTTCTCTCACAGTGGTTTGCATCCTAAACACAATCTTTGGCACCTTAACTGCATTTTCCCCTAACTATTCATCATACCTCATCCTCCGCCTCCTCACCGGTTGCAGCACCGGTGGCGTTGGCCTCTGCGCCTTCGTCCTCGCCACCGAACCCGTAGGCCCCAAATATCGCGGCATCGCCGGCATGTCCACCTTCTACTTCTTCTCATCTGGCATCACACTCCTCTCAGCCATCGCTTACATCTTCCCCACATGGCGCAAACTCTACATAGCTTCTTCCATTCCCTCTCTCCTCTTCCTCATCACCACCCTCCCCTTCATCTCTGAGTCCCCGAGATGGTACCTCATAAGAGGAAGAATCAACGAAGCCATCAAAATCATGTCCACAATCGCCACCACAAACGGTAACCACCTTCCACAACGAGTAATTCTTACCCTCGATGAGGAACCATCGCCGCCACCAATACCAACACCGCCGAATGCCTCGTGCAACGTGGCGAACAAAGACGCGGTGACGGGGTGTCTTATTGACGTTCTTCGCTCGCCGGTGACGCGCACGCGCTTGGTTCTGGCTGTGGTGATTAACTTTTTATGTTCGGTGGTGTACTACGGTTTGAGTTTAAACGTGGTGAACCTCGAAACGAATCTTTATCTCACCGTTATACTAAACGCCGTGGCGGAGATGCCGGCGTTTATGATAACTGCGATGTTGTTGGATAGGTTGGGAAGGAAGCCGTTAACGATAGGGACGTTATGGTGGAGTGGGTTGTTTTGTTTCCTTGGGAGTTTGGTTGGTAACGTTGGGGTGTGGAAAGGTGTCAAAATGATGTGTGGGATTTTGGGGATTTTTGGAATGGCGGGGACTTATAATTTGTTGTTTATTTACACCGCCGAGTTGTTTCCCACGGTGGTGAGGAACGCCGCACTCGGCTGCGCCACCCAAGCGGCGCAAATGGGGGCCATTTTGGCACCGGTTGTTGTCGTTTTGGGTGGCGCGTGGCCGTTTGCGGTGTTCGCTTTGTGTGGAATAAGTGGTGGCCTCTTTGCGTTTTATTTGCCAGAGACACTGAACCAACCTCTCTATGATACGTTGGCGGGATTGGAGGCCAAGGTTAATAACGTTGCCTCCATTATTGTATGACGCTGCTTTCAGTTTTTTCTTAAATAATGTTTTTTCTCTTTTTTTTTTTACAATATTTTTTCATTTATTTTTTAGGGAAATTTGGGATATGTGTATAAAAAAAATAAAATAATTATATATAATGTTAATTTCTAATTTCTAATTATTTTTTTCTTATTATGGGAATGTTATTTTTGGTACTGTGTGTGGTATTATAAATGTCTTTTTTCTTGTTCTTTGGTTGGAATTAATTTCTATTATTACAACTAATTGTAGTTATATGGCTTTACTATTTATTTATTTTTTAAATTTCACTGCGACGTTACAAATTAATCAAATCTATAAGCATGTAATTTTATTCTTAACTTTAGAGAATCCTGTCTCTGTGCATCATTATTCATGGTAATTTGATGTTCAGGCTCCATTGTTGAGGCTTGGGCTTGTTTCAGCTTTGCCTCTGGATATTATTATTATTAGCCTCTGGGCCTTCTTTTGTTGATTTAGAAAACCTATGGGCCTTCTTATGCATACATCATTCTCTTTTAACAAAAAGAAATGCATTTAATTTAAGATTGCTTGTTGAAGCATGACCAAAATACAAAAAGAGTACATCAGGCAATTTTATCATACATACATAATTTAATATTTGTCTAATGAACAGAATTATTAACATTCTTAAAGTTAAGTACTACGTGGTAGGAGAAGAGATTTAGCCCTTAAATTTTCTTAAGTAGCTAACCCGGGATATGTGTTTCATCACATCTTATTATGTTAAGTTTGTTTATGAACTTTGCTTACGATTTTTTGCATGAATATGAATGATTCTTATGTGTTGTTAGGAGCAAACATTATGATGATAACATTAGCGCAGAATATGAAAACTCACAACTCTTTACGGTAATATCCAAAAAATTTGTTCTGAGAAAATATTGCAACAGACACAGTGACGGAAGGCTACTTTCATTCACAATACAGAATGATCATTTTACAATCCTCTTTTTTTTAACCTCAATCCAAATGGTCGGTATATATATATATATATATACACACACATTTACTTTTATAGATTCAACGCTAATGTTTTAATTAAAACATAAATGGTGCCGGAGAAAATGCTGGCATACCTGTTGACATCGCAGATGCCCTGCAAATTTGAGTAAAAATTAAAGTTTATTAGTTACTAACATCCCCACGAACTGCAAGTTTCAAATAATTTACAAATTATGGAATAATATTCAGTGATTAAAATGGTCATGAAATATATGTTTATACACTATTACTAAATAATTAAATTTCGACCATTAATTTCTTAGCCCGTGACTACAGTTACATAATTGAAGAGGATGCAAGGTCCACCAGAGCATTCCAAAATGCGAATGGCCACGAAATGACAAGTGAAAACTCAGGACATGAACCAACTGTTTCACATGCAAGTCACATATGTAAACCACTGAAGTATCCAACTTTATAATGTGGGTAAATCTATACTTTGAAAATGTTTGAATTAAATATAAATATAATAAGATATACACTTTTCAATTATCCCATGAATTCGAGTTCAAGCTATCTTTCTTCTTTCTTCCCCTTACGTGTGAGTACTTGTTTTGTTCAAGCTAGGAAGCATCCAATTATTGCCATTTAAAATTATTTTGGCGAGGGAACATCTTCTCATCTTGTTGTTATCTAGGAATGAAAATTTATCAAATCTTTTGGTTGATTATGCTACATAATTAACCAGCAACAGTTGTCAAACATGTCAAATCAACAAGGAATTCGTCAATTCTTAATGTGCCAAATGGTCTATGATCAGTGGACAATCCCTATTCATATGCACATTTACAAATCGGATGATTAAAAGAAATCCTCAAAATTAATCTTGAGCTGTCAACTGATTTTTAAATTGCACGGTTGAGCTATTAGGATTGGACTTTGCCGTGGAATTTGGGTAACTCGAATAAAATTATAGGTTGAAACTTCGTTATCAACATTAATATTTCTAATGCATAAAACAAATTAATGCATGAAATTACATACGATATTAATACTCGAATGCATCACTCGGTTGGCAAGTGGCGACCACTTTTAATCAATATTAATAAAAAAATTCATATTATATTGAACAAGCCAACCGCATAAATATCAACTAATGACACCTTGAAGTAAAAGTGATATACCCACTTTTACAATAAATTTATTATTTAAATGCTTAAAAATTAACATTGTATATAACATTAGAAATAATTACTTTCATTTTTATTTATTATATTTAAAAAAAAGTACTTAAAACTTTTAACAGTCCCCAAAAATTGTTCGAAAATTATTTTTTTCTATAAATCAACTTTCAACATGGTTAGTGTTTAGTGCAAAAATAGCAGCCACTGGCTCATTAATATTATCTCAAAAATATTTTTTTTTCTTTCATAAATAGTTGTCGGTGTCGCAAAAGTACAAAATTATATTTTCTTTCACAGAACACTAAGTGACTAAAATTAGAATTAAGGTTGTGTATAGTTTTAAAACAAATGATTATTAACACCTCAGTTAATCGAACACCGTGAATGTATAATTTTCTTTTACTCAGTTTTTTGGGTGAAAAAAATTAACATCTTTCGCAGTTTTTAACTGTGGCGATTGTATCTATAATCCGTTAAATTCTGACCTAAAATGAAAATTTCCGTTAAATTAAACAGCGAACATGCGTTTATTTTAACTGACCCGTAATAACCGTCGCTGTAACTACGGTACCGAATCTTCGCGCCACCGCCGGCAGCGGAGGCACTCCTCTTCTTCCCATCTCTCCCGGCGGAGGCCACCGCACCGCTCCGGGGACTCTCCCTCGGTGGCACGACGCTGTCCTCCGAGATTGATCCGAGCGACGGCCTCCAATCCGCCGCGCCCGCTTTCTTCTGCCTCCGGCAATAGCGGCGAGAGGACGCGACGGTGACGGAGATGGTCGCCGGAACAAGTGAACTCTCTTCTTCGGGCGCCGGAGCAATGGGCTCGGACGCGCGTTTCGTGGGAGAGCCACAACAAGAAACAAATTCAAAGAAGAACTTCATCTCCCTCTTTTTGTTTATGTTTATGATTAAAATTTGGAAGGATAATGAAAGAAAGGAGTGCTAGGGAGAGGTTTGGTAGCGAAGGAAGAAGAGGTTGGGAATGAGATTCATTGTTTGAATGAAAATGAAGAGAAAAAAAATGGAGAATAAAAGTGCTTATTGGTGTGTGAATCACCGTTTTTCTCTTTCAACGCTCGCAGAACCAATCTTTTATAGGCAGAGAAAGCCACGCAATTGCAACAGAGTAACTCTCCATCAATCATTTGTCGTTATCCTTTTCTATGAAACTCTTTCTCCTCATCATTACACCTCTATTACAAATCATGCCATCGCTTTGCTTTTTTGCTATTTTTTTAATATTTATTACATCTTTCTGTTTAATTTTTTAATTAATTTATGAATAATACCAAACCAAGGCGGCTTTCAATTTGTGCAGTCATTTCGTCACTCTTTCGTCTTTGAAAAGGAAAACATGGTCTTTGAAAAGGAAAACATGGTTTAAAAGACTTGACTCGCTTGTCAAAATACTAATAAAGCACATTTTAGAATTATCAACTTTACAATAAAATAAAACTTAGATTGCTAATTAGTTTACAGAGTCTCTCTCTAATGAGACATTAATAATGTTAATATATTTTCTTTCAACACTAATCAACGTTACTTACGTTTACTCCTTCATTACTACGCCGGCGCATACATAAGTTACAATTATTTTTGTTAATTTTCACTTTTAACTTTAAGATTCAGTTTAAATACTTGAAATAATGTTTTTATTAAGAATTTTATTATACATAAATATAGTACACATTTTTATATTTTAATAATAATTTACTATATTAGTTGCAAAGTTTCAACTTCAATAATTAAAATTATGTTAGATCAGCAACTGATATCTTGTCCTCTGTATTATTCATGATTATGACAATAATAATAAATTATTTTTAAAATATTATTTAATATTATATTTTTCACAAATATTATAATTTTTTTTAAAATAGTTTAAATTGAAGCATTTTAAATTAAATTACATATACAATTTTGACTACTTTTTTCTTTTTAGTTTTTACTTTTTGAACCTTATTGTAACTGATTATATATTTATTTTCTTATAAATATCTTTTAAAAATCTTAAATTTAAAAAGGAACATCCATACAAGCAATTTATTAGCAATAATCACAATAATATTATATGAAAAATTTTAAATATTCTTTTAACTTATTTTTACTAATTTTCTCATGTACTAAATGAAAAACATTTGAAATATTTGATAATTTTTAGTTATTAAGTATATTTATTTTTTCAGTTAATATAAAAAGTAAATAAGGAAATGTTGTTGGAGAATATAACAATATTAATCTTGAAACCTTAATTCCATCGATCTAGACTCTATCTCTAGTATTTATTGTCAAAGTTGAGGCTTTGCTGCTCTCATTAGGACAAAACTACCACTTGTACGTTGCAGTTAAAACGAATGTGGATAACCTATTTTAAGGGTTATTAAATCATGAGAGTTCTCAACTCCTTCGATTTTAAGGTTTAAGGATAACGTCTCACTGATCTGCTAGTAGAACTTAAAGCTGTAAAATCAAATCTCAATTTTATTAAAAGTAAAAATAATATATATGTTTTAAGGTTTACAAAGTAATCTTTATCAGCATTTTTTTTTTCTTTCTTCTGTATGAAATGGAGAGGCTATGTAAGAGTTTTTGGTGGTTGTTCTCGAAGATGGAGTAGGGGTTTACAGAAGAATTGAAAATTACCGTAAAAATACATTTATAACATTCTTATATAAAAAAATTATGTTTAAGTTATTAAACAATATTTTTAAGAACACTTATTAGAATTTTTCTACACAAGCATTTACCTAGTTTGTTAATAATTCAGTGGCTTGAAAAGGGCAAACAAATATATAATTGAGATTTTATTCTTACTTGACTTCCTTCCTGTCCCTTACCTTTTGAGGAAGGGAGAAGAGATTCTGATCATACTTTAGATTCCATTCTCATACATTTGATTTGAAGTTCCTGACAAAGACGCAACAATAACTAAGACTAACCCTATTTCCCACCACAATATCTAAGTACACATGAACATATATATGCTGCAGCTTTCTTGGCCATGTAACCATTTTCCATAGAGAAAAATCCATCATTTTTTGTCGGTCCTCTTGAAGAGAATTGACATGTCTAGAACAAAGAAAGCCCACATAAATCTTGTGGAGAAAATTTTGTCATAAAATATTAGTAATACACTCTTCTGAACATATTCATCAATAAGAAAGTCAGCTAAATAAGAATGTATTTATCAGTAATACACTTCTTGTAATTATTTGTTTAAAAAAAATTGAAAATGAAAATTTTACAAGTTAAACGCTTTTTTTTATTTTTGAAAGATAATCACTCACATGAAATGTATTAGAAGATATATTTAAAAGAGTATGTTACTGACAAATTTTAAAAATTTGTCTTACACTTAGATAAGGTGGAAGCTGCTGAGAACCGAGAACGCATTTAATTTCATGATTTTTCAATTGCCTCTATGGAGATGGATGCACTTCAGCACATGGATTTTTCTGCACAAATATGGTGATAAAGCATTTGGATTGCAAAAATATCCACTGTTTGGTTACTCTCAAAGGCATATATTATTTATTCCTGTTGCTTTGGCAAGAGGGCATTACTCTATTACCATTGGTTCATTCTATAATTGCTTTCATGGGGCTCGGTTAATTTTGGTCCGTGTGTGATATAGTAATAATTGTGGGATTTAGAAGTTAGATGACGAAATTGCATGGGGTCGGTTCATAATGTGTGTGAATTTCATTATTTAGACGTTCAATCGAAGTCACAGTAAATGATGGCTACATAGCCAGGAATATCTAAGTAGCCAACATTTGAAAGCAACAACGAAAGTGTTTCTACCTGTATGAATTGAAAGTGGGAGTTTCAATTCAATTAATCCGACCCAACAGAAATCACGAATTATCAACACTTCTCTAATTGAGACGTTAATTTGCTTTTAGAATCTCATCTTCATACACCATTTTGCTCATTAATAATAATTAAATTATAGAGTTTAGAGAATTATGACTTTTCTGTACGACCTAGGGTCATCATAAACTTGTATCACAATGTTTTATATGTAAGGATTCTGCTAGATATGTCTGTACTTGCACACATTGCTTTACGTGACCACTTATATCAGAGAAGATTTTAGGCATAACAAATTGCAATCCCCCGCTTTTACGCGAAATTCAAACCTCAGACTTTTTAAGATGAATAATGATTTATCAAGTATACAACCCAAATACGGAAGTGTAATTGGGAGGAAATTTTGTACCAAGAATAATGTATACCCCACCCTTTCAATAGATTTAATTTTAATGCAGTGTAAAACAAAATTATAGTATTATTCTTATTTAATTTTTAACTTTTCTTTCACTTTTTGGTTTCAAATTCATACTTCAATTTACGCACTATATACCTAAAATATTAAAAATTTAAAAATTACCCTACGTTTTACCGCTAAACAGAGAGTTACTAAAATTAATATTAAAAATACTAAACTATATATTTAAGTCATGTTTGATCTAACAATTTTAATAATTTTATTTTTTAAAACAAAAAACTATTATTATTCTTGCTGGATGGATTTGTGCCAACTCGAATAGACAAGCCCATTTCTCAGCCCAAGACAATAGCAAACGCATAATGCGCCAACACGGAAGACCTACAGTTAGGACCCAAAACGGAACTCAAACCAAAGACCTGAATTGAGGACCCATGACAAAAATGATTTCATGATATTATACATGAATTTTTTGTTTTATCCTTTTATTTTAACGACGCCCATCTTGTGTTTGTATTTTGTGTAGCCCACACACTTTAAAAAAATGGCCAAAATCACCAGTACGTACCATGCCCAAATGTGTGGCCCACGCACTTCCTAATCACTGTATGCTCTTGTCTAGTGTTGAGAAAAAAGGAAGGAAGGAAGAAAATCACTGGCACACAAACCCATACCAGGGAAAAGAAGAAAACTTCTAATATTCACCTGGGAAAGATCAAATTATATTGATCTAAATTAACTTATACTCACTTTATCCTAAATTTTATTAAATAATTTTATCCTAAATTCAACTGTTAGATTAAGTACTTTCATTATATAAGGACTCACTATGCAGACATGAACATATTCAACATCACAATCAGGTGCAGGGCATAATGCGGTACACTGAGCAGACACTGCTCATGTATCAATATGAAATGCACTGTTTTGCAGTAAGCCTAAACTGTTTCGGAAAAAAAAAAAATCCCAGAAAATAATATGATAGCACATTTCACATATCAGAGCCAATAGCGATTTAATCTAGTTTTAAGCAATGAATATTGGACCAGAGTAACTCCAAACAGTCCAGACATAGCACCAATACTCCAGTACAAGAATGAAGCTACTAAGAAGTAACCATAGCCACAAGCAGTTCAGGGCTATCAAAGATAAATCTTGCATTACAACGTCGTAGAAGGTTATCCTTCCAATACAATAATCTAAAACTTTTATAGGTAATTTAAGATCACCCAAACATCCATACCTTTGTAACTCAAACTTTGTGAATAGCAATTGCTACTTGAAGGAAAAACCAGTTCAACGAGACACAAGAATGTTTCGGACAAAAAACAGGAATCACTGTCGGCCATATTGAGGATTATTGTTATTTACATAATCTCGCGGTGGTGGTCTTGGTCTTGCATACTCTGCAAATATAACCCAACCATCCAAAAACTGTATTGCATTGGGGAAATATCAGTCAGCATCATAGCAATAGGAACAGAAAGTTTGGGAAGAAAAGCCAAAATGTATGGGGCCATAAGTTTTGAGAAGAGTTTTGTTTTTATTTTTAATTACAAAAATATCCCCTTGCTTTTCCTTTGTTTTCTGCTTCTAAAAATTTGTAAGGAAAACAATTAAAATAATAAAGACTTGTTTTCATTACTTCTTGTACAATTCTCTGAAAATAGAAAACAAAATAAAAACAAGATAACATTTTGTAATTAAAAGTGAAAACAAGAACTAAAAGCAAAAAAACGTTTTCTTAAAGTAAAGAAGCCCTAAAGAAACCACAGCATCGTACTTGTAGATGAACAACACAGGAAAAGGTCTGCCAAACACACTAACTTGAACAAGTCAATAAAAAAATCATTAAATCAACAGACTTGTTACAGAAACTCATGTTCAGAGTTGCAATGTCAAACTGTGCATACTTATACAAGCTTAGCAATCCATACATGATATACAGATTAGGGGTGGATAAGAAGCAAATAATATAAAAATTGGAGAATTGAATAATCACTGATTTCCAAGTGAAGTAGGGGGAGATTTGGGAAAACTTGTGTTCTAACAATAATGATGGGATTTGTGCAAACTCAAGGAAAGTTGTAAGCAAAATTGTGCTTCAAGAATGCATTGTCAGCACCATCAAGCAATAATATTTTCATCTTCTAATGTGCATATATATAGCTGTATTGGTATTTAAGTATAATTAACTCAGGTTGTCATACTTTAGCCTTATTTTTAATTTATATACACAATCAGACACAAATCCAAGACAACAATGTTCTGAAAGAAAATTCTCAGTCTCTCCATATAGGTGTAAGCTTTGGGGTTCAATCTAGCTTACCTTGCCATCCATGCCTTCAATGCCCTTAGCAGCGTCTTCTATTGTAGCATATTTCACAAAACCAAACCCCTTAGAATAACCTGAGACTCGATCAGTTACCACCCTCGCTGAAAACAACAAACATGACACCATCGGGTTTTGGGGTATATTTTCAAGATGTACCAAAAAGTACAAAAGCATAAATATCTGAACAATTTCAACGTTAAAACATGCTTAGAGATGGCAAACAAACCATGGACAACTTCACCAAACTTCGAGAATTCTTCTCGTAGTCTTTCGGTAGTAGTACGCTTGCTAAGCCCTAAAAGTAAGATACATAAAAAAAAAAAAAAACAACATAGTCAACAAAACATTACGACTGAGTGACAGACAATAGTAAGCCAAACTGAAAACACAAATCATGAGAAAAAAACCCTTGATCGTAACAGTGCCATGAACAATTTTTTTTTTTTCTTTTGATAAAAATTGCAAGAGACAATTGTAAGATCTATGGCATTTCCAGAAAGCAAAAATGAAGGGGGAAATGTTAAAAATTAAAAGCTCCTTGATTAAGCCCTGCTTCAATAAGCTCTTTTTAAATGACGGCTTGTGATTTAAGCATGAAACTTATTGAAATAAGCTAAAAAAAAGCTTATAGAAGTAACAAGCTATTTCTGCGAGTTATTAAGAAGTTGTTCCAAACAGGCCCTTATTTGGAAACAGCAGTGCTTAACAGGGTTAATAAGAATTACACTCAAATTTATCCTTCTCCAAGAACGTTTCATACATTCACAACTATAACCAATGAGTGAATAAACAACCAAAACCCAAAACACGCATAATCACATCAAAGCACACAAATTCAATCCACAATTCACACTAACAAATTAACATGTAATTATTCAGTAGAAAACGACATGAAGTATGGAGCTTTATATTTGCGTTGAAGAAATAAACGAAAAATAAAAACAAGGATTAAAAATTAAGAGTGAAGGGAAATGACAGACCCGAGACAAAGAGGTTGGTGTTGGGTTCAGCCGTCTGTCTGGCGGGGGCGGGAGAGGCCCCTGACGGCGGCGAAGGAATGAAAGGGAAAGAGGCTGAATTTGTGCAGAATAGCCGCCGCAAACCACGGTGCGCCGCCGTTGTTGCCCTCATAGCCATGGCCGCGGGTTTAAGAAGCCTCAAGTAAAACCCTTGTGTGAGAGAGAGAGAGAGGCGAAAGAGAAAAAGAGTGCGAGTTCGATGGAGCCCTTGGGCCTTTTATAAGAAAAGTGGAGATTGGAGAATTAATTTATGGGCTTCGGTGGAATTACCCAGATGGGCTTGGGCTTTGGTTTTAACTTTAAGAATGAAATAGAACGGATTAGAGGGTTTGACTTAAACAACATGATGAGCTGACATAAAACAAAATTTCTATTCTCATTTATGTGTTTATTGTTGCTCTTACTTAAGTTTTGTATAAAAAAACCTCTATAAAAGAAAAACAAAAATACATTTAAATAAGAACTACAATAAACCCACAAGAATAATTGTTGGTAATCCATTTTATTTTAGAATTACATCTACTACCGTCCATTATTAATGTAATAATTTTGTTTTATGACAGATTATTTCTTTCCTAGAATAGAATCATGTATATAATAGCAGGTAGGAAATCTAGGATTCTGTTTATTAGTTTCCTGTTTTTATTACTTCTAATGTGTGTATTTATAGACTTTGTTGTACCTATTTAATTTTTAAGGAAATACAATATCCTTCTACATGGTATCAGAGCACGATCTGATCCAGACATAGGTTCCTTCGAGATCATCCATGGTTGACGAAGTCATTCACCCAAAACTTAAGGCAGGGGAGGAACACACTCATGTTCCAAACCTAACCGAACCAACCATCCTACCTATTACTGGCTATAAGTTAAATGGCCAAAACTACACCTAATGGGCTCAATCTATTCGAATTTACCTTCAAGGAAAGGGAAAGGAAGAATATATTACTGGTGAGTCAGAAGAACCAGCAAAGGCAGATGCTAGCTACCAGAAGTGGAAACTCGAGAACAGCCTTGTCATGTCATGGCTGCTCAACTCGATGACCAATGAAACTGGGGAAAACTTCATGTATTACGATACAGCTCATGAAATATGGGATGTTGCCAAAGAGACTTACTCTAATGCTGATAACACATCAGTAATATTTGAGATCAAGAGCCTCCTCCATGATTTGCGTCAAGGAGACTCTACAGTCACAAGGTACTATCATACCCTCACTAGATTCTGGCAGCAACTAGATGCCTACGAGGACATTGAATGGAGTTGTCAGGCTGACCAGAAGCAATATCAAAAATTGGTGGAAAAGGACCGCATCTACCAGTTCCTTCTAGGTTTAAACACGAACTTGGATGAAGTACGAGGCAGAATTCTGGGAACTAAGCCTCTTCCAAGTATTCGTGAGGCATTCTCAGAAGTGAGAAGGGAAGAAAGCAGAAAGAAAATTATGCTGGGTGACCCAAACCAGAATTAGAATATTGAAGGTTCAGCCCTTGCAACCAAAGGATACCAGCTGGATCACCATAAGAAGACCCGTAACTGGTGCGATCAGTGCAAGAAATCTGGACATACCCGAGACACCTGCTGGTTCATTCATGGCGAACCAGCAGACATGAAGGTGTCTCGTGGCAAAGATAACCGGGCCAATGTGGCTTCCACCACTACTAGTGGGTTAGATGAAGACAAATTGGGAGGTGTAGCTGAACCAGGACCTTTCAGCAAGGATCAGATGGAGGTTCTATAGAAACTTCTCCAGCAAACCCTTCGAAATGGGAACACACCTTCCTCCACAACAGGTCTGTTAGCACATAAAGGTAATATATTATATGCTTTATCAGTTAGACATCACAAACACAAGTCCTAGATTGTAGACTCTGGAGCCTCGGATCACATGACAGGTGACATTAATCTCTTTGATCATTTTGATCCATGTGAAGAAGGTTCTTCAGTAAGAATTGCTGATGGTTCAACATCTAAAGTGGCTGGTAAAGGATCAGTTGTGATATCAAAAGATATCACATTAAATTCTGTTCTCTATGTTCCTAAATTAGACTGTAACCTCTTATTCATTAGTAAACTTACTCGAGACCTTAATTGTGTTACTAAGTTCCTCCCAAACATGTGTGAATTTCAAGCCATAGATTCGGGGAGGAGGATTGGCAATGCTGAGGAATCTGCAGGTCTTTACTTCCTTCAAACTGACAACATGAAACAGTCAAAAGGAAATAGTTATGTTGCGAGTGTTGGAAAAAGGGAAAATAATGTAATGTTATGGCACTATCGCCTAGGCCATCCTAATTTTCTGTACCTAAAGAAAATGTTACCTTCAATTTTCAATAAAAATTCACAACCTTTACAGTGTGAAATTTGTCAACTAGCCAAGCATGCAAGAAATAATTACCATACACAACCTTACAAACCTTCTAAACCTTTTTCCCTTTTTCATAGCGATGTTTGGGGACCCACTAGAACCAAAGCTATTATTGGGAGTAGATGGTTTGTTACCTTTATAGATGACCACACAAGGACCACTTAGGTCTTTCTCATGAAAGAAAAATGTGAGGTCACAAAAATATTTGAGTATTTTCATCAAATGATTCAGAATCAATTCCAAACACAGATTTAGATTTTGCGAACTGACAATGGACGAGAATATTATAATACAAACCTAGGATTCTATCTTCAAAAGTATGGGATCATCCACCAATCATCTTGTCCAAATACACCTCAACAAAATAGTCTTGCAGAGCGGAAAAACAGACACTTACTAGAAGTAACTAGATCCCTCATGCTGTCAACAAATGTACCAACTCAGTACTGGGGTGATGTTGTTTTATCCTCTGCATACCTTATTAATCGCATGCCTTCCAAAGCTCTCAGCCATAAAACACCTCTCCAAACCCTCCTACCACATTGTCCTCATCCTCATCTCTTTACCAACCTAACACCTAGAATTTTTGGTTGTACAGCCTTTGTCCACAATCACCAACCAAATCTCAGTAAACTAGAACCTAAATCAGTAAAATGCATCTTCCTTGGATACTCTCCAAACAAGAAAGGATACAGATGTTATTCCTCCACTACAAACCGCTTCTACACCAGCATGGACGTTACTTCCTTTGAAAACCAGGCCTTTTACTTCACCGGTGGGATTCAGGGGGAGATACTGGATAAAGAATTTCAACCGCTAGAGCCTGAGTAACTCTTAGAGCATGCTGTTCCAACGCTGCCTAAACTCATAGGAACTCAAATGACCCAGCAAGCTGTTGAACTAGCAACTGCAGGAATTCCTGTGGTAGAAGGAGCTCAGGATGCAGCACCATCAGATCTGCAACAGGGTAAAGAATTGTTGGTGTATTCGAGACAGAGAAAGACAAATAGGGAGTTAAAGACCTGCACCTCTCCAAAGCAAGGTCAGTCTTCCAACCAAAATCCAGAAGCCTCAAAGTCCCACACAGGTAACACTCATTCTGATCAGTCCCATGACTACTCAGTCTTAGATGAATTGGATAAGCCTGTAGCCTTGAGAAAGGGGGTGAGGTCATGTACCCAACACCCCATTGGTAACTTTATGTCCTATGAGAATTTGTCACAGGGATACAAGGCATTTGTCACTAATTTGGACAGTGTAAAGGTGCCTTATGATGTCACAGAAGCACTCCAACAACCTCAGTGGAAGGCGGCTGTTGAGGAAGAGATAAATGCCCTGGAGAAGAATGGAACATGTGTGTTCATGAAACTGCCAGATGGGAAGAAACTAGTAGGATGCAAATGGATTTTTTCTATCAAACACAACATGGATGGCACAGTAAACCGGCACAAGGTCGGATTGGTGGCTAAGGGATTCACACAATCCTATGGAGTGGACTATGAAGAGACATTTGCTCCTGTTGCGAAGCTCAACTCTGTTCGAGTCATCCTGTCCTTGGCAGCAAATCTGGACTGGCCTCTTTACCAGCTGGATAAAAAAAATGCATTCCTAAATGGAAATCTTGAAGAAGAAGTCTACATGAGAATCCCTCCAAGGCTAGAAACAACAGAAAACTGCGGTCAAGTGTGTAAGCTCCAAAAATCCCTCTACGGTCTCAACCAATCACCTAGAGCATGGTTTGATCGCTTAACCCGGGTAGTAAAGAGTTACGACTTTACCCAATGCCAAACTGATCACACTATGTTCGTAAAGCATGCAAAGAATGAAAAAAATGGCTTTATTCATTGTCTATGTAGATGATATCATCATCACTGGGGATGATGAAGAAGAGATTATAAAGCTGAAAAGATTCCTTGCAAATGAATTTGAAGTCAAAGACCTTGGATATCTAAGGTATTTCCTTGGGATGGAAGTGGCCCGCACCAAAGATGGTATTGCTATTTCTCAAAGGAAATATGTGATAGATTTGCTAAAGAAAACAGGGATGTTGGGATGCAAACCAGTAGACACACTTATAGAGGCTAATTCAAAACTTGGGTTTGAAGAAGGAAGTCCCCTTACAAACCGAGACAGATATCAGAGATTGGTGGGAAAACTAATATACTTGACTCATACTCGACCTGATATATGCTATCCAGCTAGCTTAGTAAGTCGATTTATGAATAATCCCACAGAAAATCATATGAAGGCTGTCAACTGAATTCTGCAGTACCTCAAGAAGGCTACTGGAAGAGGACTATATTTCAAGAAGAATACTGGCAGGAAAATAGAAATCTTCACAAACACAGATTGGGCTGGGTCTGTCACAGACCGAAAATCAACAACTGGGTATTGTTCCTATGTCTGGGGAAATCTAGTAACTTGGACGAGTAAAAAGCAATCTGTAGTTGCAAGAAGTAGTGTTGAAGCAGAGTTTAGAGCCATGACTCATGGTATCTGTGAGGGGGATATGGCTTCATTGGATGCTCAAGGAGCTGTGTGTATTATTAGAACATGCCATAGAAATCATGTGTGATAATAAAGCAGCCATCAGTATTACAAGAAATCTGGTTCATCATGACAGAACCAAACATGAAGAAATAGACCGTCACTTCATCAAGGAGAAGATAGATGATGGTAGTGTTATACTCGAATATACTCCTTTAAACCAGCAAACAACAGACATTCTGACTAAAGGAGTATCACGAATTAATTATGAGAACTTAAGATCCAAGCTGGGGATAATTGATATTCACCACCCAGCTTGAGGGGGAATGTTGATAATCTGTTTTATTTTAGGATTGCATCTACTGCCATTATTAATGTAATAATTCTGTTTTATGACAGATTATTTCTTTACTAGAATAGAATCATGTATATAATAGCAGGTAGGAAATTTAGGATTCTGTTTATTAGTTTCCTGTTTTTATTACTCTTAATGTGTGTATTTATAGTCTCTGTTGTATCTATTTAATTTCTAAGGAAATATAATACCCTTCTACAATAATAATAAACACACCAAAAGTAAATAAAGATTAATGAATTTGAGAGTTTAGAGTTAGGACTGTCTTTTTTTTTTTTTATTCTTTGGTTAAGTTAGGTTGTGAGTTTAAACTTTAAATATGAGTACATGTTAATAATATATATATATATATATATATATATATATAAGTGTATATTTTCAGTCGATAAAGAGAGGGCAAATGATTATTTGAGGCCTTATTTTGAAGTGTTAAATGGGTGAAAGAAGAGAGAAATGAAAAAAATATATAACTACTATATTTATAGTTATATAAGTATTATTAATGAGTTTTTCATGCATTCACGTTATTACAAGAGTTTTGAAAATTTTATATAAAAAAAGTTCTCATGTAAAAGCAAGAGATGTCACAAAATAAGTGTTTTTCTTCTCTGTTTTTGCTTAAAAAAAAAATTATTAGAAAGTAACTTATCTTTAATTTTTGGACCAAAAACTATGTCAAGCATGACATTCTTAATTTCTTCTTACTTTGTTTAATAGGTGTGGAGTGACTTATTGTTCACTTAACTGGCTATTCTAGTTCTGATAAGTCATAGCCACTCGTATGAAAGAGCCAAGAATTTTGGGCATGTGATCCATGCTGATGTGATGCTGATACAGCTTCATACGTAATTTTATCCTCATTTTTAGTCTCTATTTTTTCGTTTTTAGTAATCTAACTAACTAGGCCAGTGGTTGAAATTAATATTTTAATACAAGTATTTGTAGTAACACTTTTATATACACAAATTTTAGGATTAAATACTTGTTCACATTCTTAAATAATCAGAACACTTGCGTTCAACGTAAGATACGTTGGTTTAACCATTACTTTTGGGTGTCACAGAAAGCAATAGGAAAAGGCAAACTCCAACTCTCCAAGCAACCTCAGCTGCATCACATTCACATCCATCTCTGTTTCATTCTAACTTTTCTTCCAGCTAAAAGGATTTGATTTTATTCTGATTTACTAATTAGTATTGTGCTAATCTATGGCTTTGTTTTTATTTTCCCTTGTTTTCTTCTATCAAAATTATTTTTAAAATAAAAATTATAGGGTTGAAGAGAGTCATGCATCATTCTTTTAATTCTTTTAATTACTAGAATGGTGCATGACTCTCTTTTTAATTTTACTAGAGTCGATTTCAAATCTTTTTAAACAAACACACAGTGAATGTTTGAATTCACGTTCGTGAATCTGATGTTACTTTAATGTTATTCACAGTTTTTTTTTTAATATTTTTTCTATTATTTTTTAATTAAAATTTCATTTTAATAACTCATAATAACATTAGAGACATTTAAATAATTCCATCTGAATTATTTTTCACATATAGTCAACCTCTCAAAATTGAGGGCAATGTAAGGTTTCAAAACCTGAATTATCAATAATTAATGAGACTTGTGAATCAATTCAAATGATTTAATTAGCTAAATTTATAATTAATCAATACATAATACAGTCAATTTGGGCAGACACAGGACAGTCCAAAATTTTATCCAGAACAGTCTTTTAATAAAATATGGTTTGAAGTTTGAATCCAAGTTTTTCGGTTTGATTTGGACAAAGTAGGTGTTTTAGTTTATAGGGAAATTGCCAAACAATGTCGATGCCCAATTGTTATTCTTATCTTAAAATTACTTTATTGTATAAAACAATGTCTATATTCCTCTAATCATTATATGTAATCCCCCTAATGATTTTTTTTTAAATCTTCCATTAGTGTATAAAACAAGATAAAATCATAGAGATCTAGTTGATGTTGAAGGGTTTGATTCCTCTCAAAATTTTGAATTTTGTTACATATTAATTTTCAAAGATGATAATTTTGTAATTTGGCCTCCATTAATCAATTATTTTTCTCAATTGGCTATCCAAACAAGAATAATACCAGAAAAATAAATGTATTTTTTGCTAGTTTATTATTATTTTTAGTACTAGTCGTCATTAGGACAAGTTTATTTGCCATCAATCAGTGAATATTTTCAACTTGTATAAATTTTTAAATAAATTTGTTAGAGTAGAGTTTGAATGAATTATAAACGATGTGACTGACCTCTATATACCTACCACAATTGTGTTTTGAAAATTATATTTTTATGAATTTATAATTTATTATATTTGATGTTTTTACTATAGATTATGTATTTTTAATAAAGATTAACGATATAAGTTATCAGCTTTTTAGATAAGGTTATGAATCTTATGATAAATATTTATATTATGGTAGTTGGTTAAATGCTTCATAGTATATTACAATTTTAATGTAGTGCCATGTTTATTATTTTACTTAATAAAAAATTTCAACTCTTTTTATGGTGTCATTCTTCATAATGCAATATATATGCAACTTATCAATTAATTTGTTAATATTTTTGAGATTTTATACTGATATCTTAATTACGCAAATAATATAATTATTAATATTATTAACAATGTGATTTATAAATGAATGGGTGTTAAGTATTTTTTGCCAAGATAAATATTTATCTGGCATTTAAAAAAATAGATTTTTTATAAATAATTTATTTGAGCAAATTATTCATTTGCTTAACCAGATATTGATTTAATATTTTCATTCGTATTAAAATATTTTTCTTTTTGTTGAATGTCAATATTATTTTATCACTGAATTATAGAAGGCATTTGTTAAATTTATGAGCCAATAATAGCTAATAATAATTGTGAGCCGAATTATTTATTTCACTCCAAAATATAATATCCATAACTTGTATATGTTAGTGTTTATTTACTGTTTTGTTTAGATACCTATAGTCAATATTATATTTTTGAGTGAAATATTTTATGGAACTTAATATTATATATAGTTAACAAAACTTTTATATTTTTTATTATTTAATAAAAGTAACATATTGTCTTTTACATATTTTTTGTTTATAATTATAATTTGTGTATTGTTATTACTCTCACGAGATAAAATACCTTAAAATAACTTTTAAATATAATCAGATATTTTTAAAAATAACGCATACTCAATGCATATTTGGTTTAACTTATTTTAAAGGAATTTTTTATCAATTTTTTTTATAGACTTTTAAAGAAGTGATTTTTTTTAATTACAAGGTAAAATAAGAATAAACTGAATTTGCTCAATTAACAAGGAGACAAGTTTTAAAACCCTTTTAAGGTCATTAAACAATTATTAACTCTAAAAATAATAATATATTTTTTTATCTAGACCATGTGTATTCTTAACTGAATATTTATTAACTTAATATAATATCCACAAAATATAAATGAATACTAACATGTAAAATTTGTATCAGTTGTAGGATATATAATACCCATTAAAAATTTTGTTAACTTTAGTTTTAAATTTGTAAATATACTTTGTTCATTTCTATTATTTTATTTATTATATATAAAACAATATAATTTAATTTGTTTAATATATTAAAAATTCTAAGTTGTACGATATGTTTGATTAAATACATAAAATAAAAGTGAAATTAATAATATTTATAATAAATTGTTAAAATTTTACAAATTAAATAATTTAAAGTTATTTTAATTTATAGTTAAGTTTTATCATTAAAATGTTTTATACATAGTAATAATTAATAATAATACTATTATGAATATTTTATGAAATTAAAATTAATTAATAAAAATTTATTTTAAATGATATTTTCTTTAATAAGTTAGAAATTCATCCATAATAAATTGTTATAATTAATGTATATAATATTTATTATTATTATTATTTAAAATAATTATAGATTAAATTGAATAAATATAGATTTTAATACCAATCAAACTTGCTTTTATCTATCTTTCTACCTATCTATATACTGATATGTATTAAAAAACAATGAAATAAAGCATGCTTAATTGAGAATATTTTTAATTCACTTGTGCCAGGTGAATGACATCTACTATCATTGCGTGCACAGAAGTGGATTAGCAATCCAAACAGGAAGAACTTGACCACACACAAAAGAAAAGAAAAACACAATTGATAAACAATGGTTAATTCAATGATCAAGCTGAGAAGTGAGATCCTTACCCACTCTGCCCAAAAACATAAAGAAACTGAAGAAATGGAAAAGTATAAAAATGGAAAAGCACCTCTCAAGGTGGCATTCAGAAAACAACACCCAATTAGTCTCTTCCCCGCAACTATAACCCATTTTTCTGATGTAGACTGTCCCCATTCCCTTAGGTTCAAGTTTCCTCATCATTTGAATATACCCTTTTCATTTCTCTTCACACACACACACACTGCTACCAAATTTTGCTCTTAGAAGAATTTAGAAAATATCTTTTTTGTCAAATGTACCATACCATCCCAATTCCTTAGAGGCTCATCTGTCTCTTAAGAACAAAAATGGAAATCCATTTCTCATAACCTACTCCTGTTTCTAAGGAAACCCATCCTCTTTAATCTATTTCTTCTTCATCCATAGCCTTCATCTTTACAACAAAGATAGCTAAGATTTTTTCTATATATAAATAAAGCCCTGCAATATAGCTCTAACCACAAGAGACTAACTAACCAATTAAGAAAACTTTTCAACATCAACCACCATGAGGGTTGTTGGTATTACTACTAGTATTACCCTTTTCCTCATTGCACCACTCCTTGGGAAGGCAGAATCAATAACCAGAGCAGATTTTCCAAAGGGGTTTATCTTTGGAACTGCTTCTTCAGCTCACCAGGTATGCATCTAAGTTTTCATTCTACTTTTCAATCTTTTCATTGGAATTGTATTATACTAATAGAAATAGCTACCAATTGGGTACTTTTTTTATACTATAGTTTGAGGGTGCTGTTGATGAAGGAAATAAAGGAGATAGCATATGGGATACTTTTTCAAGGATACCAGGTAATCATGAAATTTTTAAGTGGAGAAAAACATCAAATATTCAAATATGTGACATCAAAATTAATCAAAATCAAAATTTTCTGATTTCTAGTTTTGCATTATGATGTTAGGGAGAATTGTGGACTTCAGTAACGCAGACATGGCAGTGGATCAATATCACCGATTTCAGGTGAAGTTGGAAGATATGTTTTTGTTGACGTCAACTTTACTTCAGCCATATTTCTTGCTCCAATTTTCCTTTTTTCTTTTGCCTCAACTAAGTTGCATGTGGCCAATATCCATATAAAAACACCCAGGATAAGAATATTGTATAAAATATAAACAATTCAGAATGAGCACCGTCATAGCTATGATGAGGATAACGTTTCACCAACCATGTGGAATATAAAATCAGCGTAAAGGGAACACATGACATAAAGTTCCCAAGCGTGTCAAGGGTTGGAAAAGATAATACCATAGTTATTGCATTTTTCTTTTTAATATAGAAACGCCCATTAATTTGTTAATTGACATGAACTTTTTTTAAAATTATTCTGTTTATGTGACCTTAGTTTAATCTTTTTTTTTCTCTTTAATCATTTCACATAGGTTTACCCAAAAGTTAAGAAGTACGGACAGCTTAAAATTTGTTGTATCAGTGTTGAACGTACCTCTTGACATGGATACATCGATGGCATGCCCCAATAAGTGTCTGATTAATTAGTAGTAGTTGTTGTAGTGAGTGAATATTTGAGATAAGATAATTTATTTATTTTAATAATATTAATGTATTATAATTTTTTTTACTTTATGTTAAAGATTTAAATTTTAAAATTTAAGATAGTTTATTTTATAATTGAAGCACATACCAATTCCATTTTATACAGAATGATGTAAACTTGATGAAGGATTTGGGAATGGATTCTTACAGATTTTCCATCTCATGGCCAAGAATTTTCCCAAGTAAGTTGCAGTATATTCAAAACCTTTTAATTTTTGTGTGATTTTTAACATTGTCCATTTTAATGATAATGGCTATTTTAATAACTTAAAACAGATGGAACAGGGGAACCCAATACAGAGGGAATAAATTATTACAACAGCCTCATTGATGCTTTACTAGAAAAAGGTTGCTCAATTTTTTATTTGAGAATTTGATTTTAAACATGGCAAAAATTTGCATTAAAATTTTATGTTGTTTTTTTTTTTAATTTTATTTTCCAATCAGGAATCCAGCCTTTTGTAACTCTATATCATTGGGATCTTCCACAGATGCTTGAAGATAAATATGAAGGATGGCTAAGCAAACAAATCATGTAAGTGACTAATATGTTATATTGGACTTTTGAGACAAATGGTTAAGCTTCTTCATATTGACCTCTATTTATTACAGAAAAGATTTTGAGCATTATGCCTATACCTGCTTCCAAGCTTTTGGCGACAGAGTTAAGCACTGGATTACCTTCAATGAGCCTCACAACTTTGCACTTCATGGTTATGATTTAGGCATTCAAGCACCAGGAAGATGTTCCCTTTTGGGTCATCTTCTATGCAAGAAGGGAAAATCATCCACTGAGCCATATATTGTTGCTCATAACATTCTCTTATCCCATGCAGCTGCCTATAGAAGTTATCACCAACATTTCAAGGTTCCAAACCATTCATTTTCATAACATAAAAAATAAAAATTAGGAAAGTAAACCTCTGCTCTGATTCATAAACAGTTAGTGTGTTCCGATTTATTTCTTGATTTTACAAACCTTGTATTGAAAAAGTCATTTGCTTTAGAGTGCATTTGGATGAATAACTCATTTAATAAAACTTTTTTATAATAATGACTCATGTATAAATTTAACAATAAAATTTATTAAGATAAACTAAAAATAATTTATTTTGATAAGTTATTCTAAGAAATTTATTGAAATAAATTAAACATAAGTTGTTTTCCATAAATTATTTATAATTCTTTTAAACGAGATTTTTACCCCATTTTTCTATGATATTAAGGACAACATTTGCAAAATCAAAGACTAAAATGAAAATTTTATAAAATCAAGAATTAAAGTGACAAATACTTACAAACCAACCTCTAAAATTGAAGTGGAGGTTTACTCAATAAAAATGTCAATAATAATTTTGTTATTTGGATGGATAATCCAGCATCAACAAGAAGGTCAAATAGGGATAGCACTAGATGCCATTTGGTATGAACCCATAACAGAACTTGATGAAGACAGAGATGCAGCAGCAAGAGCTATGGACTTTTCACTTGGATGGTAACATTTCTTGTAGCATAAAAAAATGATTGTACATAGCTTTGTGACAACAATTAAGAGCTCATCTTCTACATAAAAGATGTGTAAGTAACACTAATGTGAATCAGGTTCCTTGACCCACTTTTCTTCGGAAAATATCCACTCTCAATGAGAAAACTTGTAGCTGAGAGATTGCCAGAGATTTCTGATGACAACTCAAACCTGCTTGTGGGATCTTTGGATTTTATTGGCATAAATCACTATACTTCTGTGTATACTCGTAATGACAGGACTAAGATTCGAAAACTGGTTATGCATGATGCTACTACTGATGCTGCTGTCATTACAACTGGTAAGCTATTAATGCAAATTGTAATACCCTTTTGTTCCTTCCTTTTTTCCCGTCTTTGTTTTAAACAAACATAACTGAAGCTGAATGGAAGTTTCTGATATTTGCTCTTGTCATGAATCCTAGCATACCGAAGAGGATCTGCAATTGGAGAAAAGGTATGCTCAAAAAACTACAAAGGCTCTGTTTGGATTGATTGAAAAGAATAGAATGGAATGATACTTGTTTGAATTTCAAAGTAGGGTGGATGGAATGAAACATGATAGAATACATTGCATTCAATTTTATACAATTTTGGGCAGGAAAAAAAATTATGTGCAGTTTCTTAAGTACTTTTCGTATTGCTTTTCAAATAGATTGAAGTTCTATTTCGATGAAATCCTAACATAGTTGTCACATTTAAGGTTGTCGCAGATTATCGAGGTAAAAATTTAATTCTAACTTGATAACAACATTTTAGTACTTACCTTAGATTATGGTGAGTGGAAGGAATCAAACTTTTTTTCCATTCCAAAAAAAAATATATCTAACCAATAAAAAGTTACTTTGTTCCACTCCACTCTATTCTGTTTCATCTCATTCCATTTTATTCCACTCATTGTTAGTTATCCTATTTAGGAGCATAATCCAAGGCTAAAATCTAAATGTAAACAGTGCACTTCATGCAAAAATCAATCATTTTTTTTTTTCAGGCAGCTTCAGGTTGGCTGCATATTGTTCCGTGGGGCATCCGAAAGTTGGTTAAACATGTGAAAAGCAAATATGGGAACACACCAGTAATTATAACAGAGAATGGTGAAATACTTTTATGGATGGAGAGCTAATCTAATATCAATTCTCAAATTATCATAAAATTTTTAATATCTATTAGATTTCTTATGGCAGGAATGGATGACCCAAATGGACCCTTTATGAACATACAAAAGGCATTAAGAGATGACAAGAGGATAAGATACCATAGGGACTATCTCTCAAACCTATCTGCAGCTATAAGGTATTATTGCAAATCCTTGAATTCTTACATCTGGGTCTGGTAACAACATTTTTTGGCTCAACTTATTTTGGAGATATAATTGTTTACCTTTTTTAGTTTCCTGAGCGAGTTTTTTAAACATAAGCAAGTATTTTTCTAAAGAAAAATATATCATGTATCAGTAAAAAGAGACATATTTAAGTGTCCCTTTATATTTTAGAGTGTATTTTTAGGATACGTCTATACAGAAAAAATATAAATAATAGTACAAGATGTCATATACTGCATCAATTTTCAATGATTCAAATCATGGATATGTTCTCTAAATTTAAGTAGAACTAAACATGCTATTAATCCTGACATAACGTGAATACAATACAGGCAAGACGATTGCAATGTACGTGGTTACTTTGTATGGTCATTACTTGACAATTGGGAGTGGAACATGGGATATACTGTACGCTTTGGACTCTACTATGTGGATTTCAGGAACAACCTTACTAGGATACCAAAAGACTCGGTGCAATGGTTCAAAAACATGCTCAGATTAGAAACAGAAACGAGTAGTGAAATTTGAATTGCTTTGTCTTACATCAAATGGATTTTGTAATTGTAAGGCTCTTTGGAAAATAGTGAATGAAATGAAATTTACAAAGCAGTAAAAAATGGTAATGAACCCAACATATAGTTGTTAGTTTTATCTCAAATCATGAGAACCTTGTACATCAATTGCTACTAATGAGACATTCATAGTTAATGGAAAGGTCAGTAATATTCCATGCTTTTCAAAGCCCACGGCAGAAACTCAAGGAGAAGGGAGAGATTTTGTTTTTATTAAAAATGGAAGAGAAATAAGGATACTTTCAAGTCTTTGTATACGTAAAAAATAAATATTGAAAGTTTGTTGTTTTCCTAAGTAGCTTCACATAACTCTGTAGATTAGTTGAGATCCTAAATGACTTTCCAATAAGATCAAAAACTTGAATGGGATTTTGTGTAAATTTATTGTTTCATATTTGAGACATTAAGTAGAGTAAATATTGTTAACTTTTTATTTACATTAAATTTTATCACTTCAATTAGAGAATTCATTACTCTTAGTAAGAATATTAAGTTTATAAACTTTCATATAATTGAAACTTTATCAATTAATTTCACACACATTAAGTATAAAGGTGAAATCTATGGCTTTTTGACTAAAATAAGGGGGAAAAAAAGTACTTATCAAAATCGTGTAATTTTAAAACATATTACCAATATGAGTAAATGGTATAGTAGTTGGACTCTTATAAATGCCAAAGTAAAAAATGCCACAACACAACATGTGTTAAGAATAATGATAACTTGCACTATAAACGCTGGCACCTATCCCTTGCATAGCCTCGATGATAAAAAAAATGTATTTATCAAAATTAATTCAATTAAATGTTGATTGGAAGTTATTGAGGGATAGAATAGTCTAAACTCAATTAGTTTTGAAGAATATATTTAGACAATAATTCAATTAAACGTTTATTTGATAATTTTTTATTTTATAAGAAATTTATATTATAAATTAAATCTTAAATTTATTAACATAAAAGAACTTATAAAATTTATAAATTAATTTTACAAAATACACTCTTAATTTCATGTTATAAACCTGGTCACTGGGTGTCCAATCACCATAATAATTTTACTTATTCTTTATTATAATTTTGTATTTCTTTCTTATTTATTTTTCAATTAGCCAAACAAAATATAAATCAAAATAACCTTCCCACTTAAAAAAATATTGTTGGGCAAGAAAAAAATTCAGTGAAAGAAAACTTCTATCTTCATCTTGGAGATAAATATATAATTAAAAATAATAAAATAATATTTTCTTTTACTCTTAAAAAAACAAACAAAAAATAAACTTTACAAACTAGACAAATAAAAAGAAGAGTTCCATCTTACAAAACGAGGAGCATGTTGGCCCATTGAACTACAAAACAAACCATGTGCCCATTTTCAGATGTCACGCAGACCACAATTCTAACGTTGTACCCACCAATCACAATTCACCATGAGTTAGGTCCAATCCACCTTCTCCGCCACCATCTCCATAGTACCTATAAATCCTTTCTCAGACCCAAAATTCTTGTTGCTTTCTGCACTTCATTCTCTTTCAATTCCCTCATCCTCCTCACACTCCTCTCTCTTCAAATCAAACGAACCCCACTAACACTACACAACACAAAACCACACGCGATCCTCTCTCCTAGTTTTCTGCTAAAAAACTTGGTATCAGTTTCAATTGTTTCTCTGACACCCACCAACGATTCTTTTAGCATCATCCACTCACAGAGTTTAGTGTCATCGTGTTACTATTCTCATTTTTCTTCATCGTTCCCAATGAAACGAGGGTATCAGGAATCTCCTTCAACCTCTTTCGGTCCGCCTCAATCCAAAGCTAGACACGATCCTCAAGGTAACCTTTTCAGTGCTTTTTGCACCACCCCTTTTGTTTCTTCCTTTTGATTTCACCCTTTTGAAGGGTATTTGGATCTGGTGTTCCTTGGTTTCGAGACTTCAAGCTGTGACTTTTCAAGTAGAGGAATGTAGAAAAAGAAAGGAATCTTTTGAGGCTTTTGTAATACCTTTGGCTTGGTTTGGAATATTGAGTTAACAATTAACAGTAGAATGTAAATGAAAGTGCACCTAGATTTTTGTAATATTAGGTTAGAGTTTGGGAACTGAAGTTGAAAGTAGTGGTTTTTCTACTTCTTGACTGTGTAATGAACAAGCAAAGTTGCTCGCATGTTTGATGAAAACAGTATTACAGTGGGGGATGCTGTATTGTGCGTTTAGAAGAGCTTCTCGATGGCTTATAGAAATAACTTATGACTGCTACAAGCTCTTTTTAACTTATTGCAACTTTTGGTTAAACTTATTAAAATAAATTATTTTCGGCTTATCCTAACAATTTCATGGTTAAATTTACGACTTAAGTCATCATTTAAAAAGAGTTTATTGAATAAGTGCATAAGTAAATGTAAATGAAGTTCACAATAATTTTGTGATTCTAAGTTTCAGTGTGTAAAGCATTTGTATAATTTGATTGTGGGGAGTAAAGGAAACAAAAAGTAGGGGCTTTCTATGTATTTGTGACTGTATGATGTGTTATCCAAGTTGGTAATGTGTATTTTTCTATCATGTTTCCGTGCATTGGTTGTTGAAAGCTTAAATCAGGTTGTGATTCTTGTGCTTATTTCCATTTGATGCATTGTGTTTAGGTGATCCACTCTTTCTCGAGGATGAAAGCACGAAAATTTTTGCTCGGAAAGTAGCCGATCATTACAGTGCAAGATCCAACCAGACTTTGGAAGAACGGGAGGCTAGTCCGATAATTCATCTGAAGAAACTTAATAATTGGGTATGTGTTGTAGGCTCTAATACATGATTTGTATCCCAGAGTATTACATGATTGTTGATTAATGACTTCATCAATTTTGTTGTTTAACAGATTAAAAGTGTCTTAATTCAGCTGTACGCTCGTCGAGGAGATGCAGTGCTTGACCTCGCCTGTGGCAAGGTGTTGATTATTTTTGTATTGTTTATGTACCACAAGTCATCCGTAGTTTCTTGGCTAAGCATCCTTTGTTATATCATAAATGTTCTTCAGGGTGGTGATCTTATCAAATGGGACAAGGCCAAAATTGGATATTATGTTGGTATTGACATTGCTGAAGGTTCGGTAAGTATTAAATTTTTCTGTACGTCTGTGCACTGGTTTTCCTCATCTGATGGTTTCCATAATTACTTCCATCAAATCATACTAAGATGCAGTTGAGTAGGGCTTTCTCAACACAATAAAATCATTTCTTGGGAATAATTAAGGGTACACTAGTCACCAATGAAGCATCAATCCTTGCATTTGCTTCATGTCTTCATATCGAATATGTATTGAATACTGATACTCTCAAATACTTCACCAGTTCACCAATAAGTATTTATGAAGCATAGTAGTTAATAGTGTGCCATTGTGGCCACAATAGTAACAAAAATTACAGTGTTATGCACTATGGCTGCACTACCATGATATAGGCTTCAGAAGCCCATTTTGACCCCTGAAACAATGTTGTTTAGGCCCTTTAGGGTATGGTAAGTACTATAGTAAAAAAGATAAGGTCAAATGACAAGTTACGATGTATAAATACAATATGCATATATCAGATATGAGTCATTTCTTTGTTCATAGGATGATTCATTATTTCAATTTTAAATTGTAAACAACTTGATAAGTATTTTTGTGTGATAAGAACATTGAGAGAAACACACTACTAAATTTAGTCATTGTTGTCAGAGTCTAAGGCCTCATAAACTCTACACTAAAGTGTCAAACTTTTAATGTGGGACTCAAGTCTTATACCTTGTAATTGGGTTCGACCATCCTATCATGCTCTACAGAGCTGGTTATGCACTTGCCCTTTAACTAGTCTTGGGCAAGCAATTCTGGTGAGACCACCTACACTATTTGTTTGCAATTAAAAGACGTAGTGACATACTCTAATACTAAATTAATGAGAACTTTGAGAGAATCACACCACAAAAGTTAATTGTTGTATTTGAGAGCTCAAGGATTTGTAAATTCCGCATTAGAATCCTATACTTCTAATGCAGGAATCAAAAGTTGCATGCATTGTAATCGCATCTTAACATCATTTCCTCCTAGTGGTAGTAAATTTTCCATCATAGATATATATTGCCCCAACTTTAGGTGATGAACATATATCTTATAGCCCAAATTCTTGCTGTAATGTGGTGAAACATTGTATACCTTTTTGTGTCAAACTATTGCAATTATCAAGTGTGTTTTCCTCACTGTCTGCTCACTGAATTCAACAATCTGTCCAGATCAAAGACTGCCGGACACGTTACAATGGCGATGCTGATCACCATCAGCGGCGTAAAAAGTTTTCATTTCCTGCTCGCCTTATATGTGGAGATTGTTATGAGGTGATGACATTTCTATCCTTTGAATAAAGTGATTCTATGCTTTATGATTGATAACTTAATTAGGTCTCAAGTAAGAATAACTTACTAATGTTTTGAAGTGCAGTTCTTGTCTCTGTTTATTCTTAATGTATTGTTTGAAAACAAATCAAGAAGGGAATAAATATGAAAGGAATGAAAGTGGGAAAGATATACAGATAAATGGAAAATTAGATTCCAACAAACTCTTTCCTTCAGATCCATTCCCCTCAAAATCACTCTATTCAATGTAAATGTATTTTAACAAAGTAGAAGCCAAAATTTTTGACACATTACTGATATTTCTTTGTCAATAACTCTTTATTTCTCTTTTTTTGTTTGTTTTTATTCTGGCTGTGTAACTGTTTTTGGCTTCCATTCCTCTTAAACCTGAACATAAAACAAATTGAGATGTAGGTTAATTTTATGTCTTATTAATATTTTGTAAATAACGGTTAAGAAAATTGTGGGTACCATATAAGTTAATTTTTTTAGTACAACTACTTCCAACTTATTTTTTGAAATTATTTTAACATATGTTTGGAATCACTTGATTAGAGTGGTTCACTGACTTGCCTAAGTAGATATGAACCTGATAGAGTAGTGCTTGATCAAGTCGATTAAAAATTTTGGAAGTTCAATTTGTAGTAGAGAGAGTTACGTTGTGATATTCAGCACTAATACCAAGTTCTGTATTTTGTATAGATGTTCCAATAAGGTCTCATTGCTCATATCATTTGCAATTTCAGGTTCGCTTGGACAAAGTTCTTGCAGATGATGCTCCTTTTGATATTTGTAGTTGCCAGGTGACTGATACATTCTTGAATTAATTATAAATCATTGATGTATTTATGCTAGAAAATGTAATAACTTTAGAAGTGGCTTCTCTGACTCCCAATAACTACCATGTTTTTTCACATTAACCTTCAGCTCATACATTCTTGTTTAAATATTTTTATGCCTTTATGATGGCGATTTATTTGGCATCTAAGTTTACTCTTGCAAAGTGCTTATTGTGCTACAGTTGCCCCAATACAAATTAAATTAACTGGTAATTTAGTGGGATGTCCACCATTTATATTCTTGAGGACATCTTCTTTCCCCTTCAATAAGCAAAACTGCTGTACTGTTTTGTTGAAAAACAAAGTCGGCTTACCCATGATTGTGTTAATACAAATTATGAACTTCCTTCCACCTTGTTAAGTGTATGTTGGCTTCTAGTCTGAAACTTTTTAAATGCTGCAGTTTGCCTTGCATTACTCCTGGTCTACTGAGGCCCGTGCTCGGCAAGCATTGGCTAATGTGTCAGCTTTACTTCGCCCGGGAGGCATTTTCATTGGAACTATGCCTGATGCCAATGTGATTATCAAAAAGCTTAGAGAAGGTTTTGGTCTACGAATTATTATTCTTTTAGAATAAATTTGGTTGTTGATGAAGTCCTATGACATGAACTGATCCATGTAGCTAACATTATCTTGTGAAATAAGACAAGGTGATTGTTGTTGTTTTAAAACAAATTTGATAGAAATTGATAACTTTTTATTAAGAAAGTTAACAAAGGATTGCTTGTGTTTGAGTAAATACTTTTAATTAAAATAATAGTATATGTACGAATTTGGTCTTTTATCATGTAAATTGTCTCAAGGTATATAAAAGACTAAACCTTTTTACATGTCATTCTGCTTATATTTTGATTTGACACAGAAGAACGCCTGTGTTTGTGCAATCAACGAGAAAAGAAATGATCTATTCCACAAATAGCATTTTGCACTTTTATTCTTTCCTCATTGCTTGTGAGATTTTCTATATGCAATTGAATTGATGCAAAGTATTTCGCATGACATAGGCTTCATCTCTTTCTCCATAGTGATATTATTTCATTTGTGTTTTCTTAAAATTTTTATTAATAATAAACAACAAATAATAATAATGTACTGTATTTATTTCCCTATTATTTTATGTAAAAACTTAAAAGGGGGACTAGAGACTCCTATGCTGGATATAAGTGGGAATTTTGCTGGGTATGGCAGATCATTTTTGTTATTCTTGATTGGAGATGCTATTTTCACTGTGAATATGCAGCTGAAGGATTAGCTTTTGGTAACAGTGTCTATTGGGTGCGTTTTGATGAAGAGTTTTCTGAGAAGGTAATGTTCTCCTGATCTATTGCATCATCGTTTTCTTGTTAATGCATGGAGCCTGTGTAATTTTGGAAATGACCTCGGGAATTCTACATCTTACCCGAAATTGTCCTTGTGTGATTCAGAAATTTAAATCTTCCAGCCCTTTTGGAATAAAGTACACGTTCCATTTGGAGGTATCTTTCTTTTTAATCTTCTCCTTTTTCGAAACATCAATAGCTGTTTTTGAATTTACCTGTCAAATCACTGAGATGTATGACTTTGTGTATGCACAAACATAGAGAACTTTTGCATACAAAGATCGTCTCTCTTATTAACACTTGCGTTCCGTTAATACCTATGTTGCCATTAAGACATGATGTCTTGTTCCAGGATGCTGTTGATTGTCCTGAATGGATTGTCCCCTTCCATATCTTCAAGTCATTAGCTGAAGAGGTGTGTATCACTGTCTGTACACCATGCAAAATTTTACGATGATCCATCCACTCCCATTGCCACCCACATCTATAAAATTAAAAAATTTATACCTTTTCTAGGCTAATTATTGGATTGGAAATTGTTGTGCTCTAGACGTCTCATATAAACTTATCTTTTACAGTATGACTTTGAGCTTGTTTTTGCAAAGAACTCCCACGAATTTGTGCACGACTATATGAAAAAAGTGGAATTTGTGGAGCTCATGCGACGGCTCGGTGCATTGGGAGATGGCAACCAAGATCAAAGTAACCCTCAATGCCTACTCTATCTTCTTTCCAATTTCCATAAACTTCTTTTGAACATTACTCTTCCCTGTCTTTTTATGTAAAATCTCGTTTTTTACTTCTTCGGGTTAACAGAAATCCTTGTAATTTAGTACATTTGTATTCTATATCAGGTACACTCTCAGCGGACGAATGGGAAGCAGCATATTTATACATGTCATTTGTATTGAGAAAGGTCAGTGGCAGAAGCATTTGAGTTGGATGGTTCACGCTGATAACGAAAACTTTATCAATTCTCCTTTACTGTGTAACCCTTTCCCTTTAAAGCAACACCTAACATATATGGTTAGTTTTTCATAATTAATATTTTCTTAAAATGAAAAGGATCTTGCTAAGTCAAGAAATCAACGAACATAAAACTTCAGCTACATGAATCATACAACATTATTAAGTTTATCGAGTACAATTAAGTTAAAAATTTCAAAGTGGATTTTTTTATTGAAAATCACAGGAAGAGATACATTAATAGCAATTTTTAATAAAACTTTTTTATTTTTTATTCTTTAACTACGTCACTGGTTAGGATTTGTCATTAAAAAATAAGAAAAAACTGTGAAGTAAAGAAAAATAACTGCAATAAAGTAGGTATTACAGAAATATTGAAATCTGCTTGTAGGCTATAATGCCACTATGTTTAACTTGTTCTTATAAATTGTTGCAAAATTGTTGAAATGGGTATTTTTGTGACCATACAGCGAGGTCAACCAGACAAAAACCAATCTAGTAGCAGAAGGGACCGAGGGTCGATGCATATTTCAGAGGAAGACATAATGTACATTAGCAGCGATTATTAACATGAATAACAGCACAGGACATGAAGTGGCTTGCATTGTCATGTGCATTCAATTCATCTCACAATCTTGAGCTCCAGCAATTTTTTTTGCTGCAAGATGCAGGTTGAATTTTGTAGGGTCCATAATAAATATTTGTAACAAATTTTTAGCCTCTGGACAAGACTTATGGCAGTTTAATTTTACCAAACTCGCTAACATTAATATTTTCCTCGTTGTTATAACAGTCGATAATATTAAGCAAGATCCAGTAGAATGGGTTTCACTGAAGGAACAACTGTTTACTACCACAAAAGACTAAAATTATTACTAATTAAACATGAATCTAAATAAATGCCAAAACTTTTATGGGCAGGGTCTACAGGCACCATCAAAACTTAAAAATAGTATTAAAATAACTTTTGTATCAATTTAAAAACAATATTTATATACCATTATAACATATCTGAGGATTGAATTGGTTATTGCAGTGTTCATTGAAGAATTTTTCTTCTGAGATGAAAACTATATCCAAGTCATTTACGCATTGAATTGTCTTGATTCAGCCTATGGTAATGTGATTCATTTAACTTTGGGTTTAACTATTTCTTACATTATTGTCACCAGATTTGTTCTATGATAAATCTTATATGTAAAACGAAAATTTCAATATGCGGTAGCCAGGGTTTTGAGAGAATCCTACATGTCTATTAAGAGAGATATCAACACAATTTTATATGATTCTTGTCATATGAAATTTTAACATGAGAGAATTCATTCTCACATGCAAGGGACATGTTGCCTTTTCATTCATATATATTAGATTAAAACTCGTTTTCTTGAGAGTTCTTAATTTTTGTGTTTTTTCTCATTCAAAACTTAGTGCATTTCATTTACAATATTTTTAAAAAATGAAATCCTTCAAACAGCTTAGCATGTATTGTCAGTAATTTCAAGTATTCTATTTTTTAAACAACATTTTGGATTTTAATTAACTATGCATATTTTCTTTGTAGTTTTTAACTTTTCCCCAAAATTTTAATTTGTACTCTTTTTCGTTTTACCTGAACATTAAAAAGATAAAACTTATATCAAATTCTCAAATCAAACAATGATATGCATTTTTTATTATGAAAATTTAAAAATTATCCACATGCCGTTATTTGATTTGATAAGATATAAATAATTTAGGGGCATTTAAAAGAGCTTATGAAAAGATTAACAAAATAATTTATAATTCTCAAGTTTTCTTCTTTCTTTTTTTTTATCACAATAAGTTTTATGATTAATTCTCATAAATGCCATGTGATAAGACTCTATTAAAAATAAGCAACTAATTAAACTACTTATCCAAATACATCCTTAACGGAACATTTGTCTATTTTAAGAAAATATGAAATACACATTAATTTTACAACAAAAAAAACAAAACTAATGTTATAATTTAAGTATTCTTATCAATGAAAATTAAAATTGTTTTGATAAAATATTTATATTTTATATTATTATATACTATTAAAGTGAAACAGAGCAACATAAAACCTAAATTTTGTAATTTACAGTACCACAAAACGTCAATCTTACCGCTCTATAACAAGGTCGTCATCACCTTTTAATTTGATAATTACACGTTGCACCTCCAATTCCCACGTGTCTTTCAGGATCTAACATAATTTTGGTTGAAATTTTCATTCCGCACCTTTTATAATTTCAGGACAGAATAGATAGTCATAAGAAATTGCATATTCTTTCCAAAAGAGAACTTCAAAATCTGAATGAAAAATTTCATCTTCAAATTAAATGACGAGCCAAGATGTTTGTAATAGTTCAATCCCAAGTTTATCCAAACAGAAGAGCTAAGGCAAGACATTGAAAAACCATTTAATGATGGGAATAGTGAAGAAATAAAACAAGGGTGATAAGAAAAAGAAGCAACATAAAAGAAACATAACTAGCAAGTCGAGCTTTCAAATGTCAAGAGAAATCCACAACCGAGTCGAAACACTACGTGCCATTCTATTTAGTTTAAAAGCATTTCATACTTAATTACAAGTTTTGAAAACAATTAGGAATCTCGACAAATTGGAATTTTTTCCTTTAGGAGTTTAAACTCTCTTCACCAGTACCACCATTATAACCAGTACCACCAATCCCATGAAGGTTCCTCCCATGAAAGTTTTAGAATCCATGAAACTAAAATTTGAACTTTCATCAGTATCAGCACACTTTTTCTCTTTCTCAGCTGCTGGGAATATGTTCTGAAGGAAGCTTGACATGCTACTAACCAGTTCTGCAACTGTAAGCTTTATATTCTGCAGAAGACCCATGAAATCAAAAAACCCTTTTCCTGAGGAAGTCTCAGGCTCCACCTTTTCAGCATTTTGCACCCCTTCAAAACCAGCCACTTCAGCACCGGCAGTTAACTCTACCACTTTTTCAGTACTTCCCACTGCTTCAAAAGCCACAGCAGTACAATTTGCATTAACGTCCAGCACAAAGAATAAGAAAATTAATGGAAAATTTTTTCAGTATTCCTGGAGTATGTACTCTCCTCTCTTAAAAGCAAACCATCTGCTACTACAGGAATACCATAAAATTTGTTCAGAAATAATGGAAAGACGTTTGACAAAACCTTTTTTTGTCTTTTTTCGGTTTTTACACAAATATGACATTCTTCATTTGGTTTCCTATTTTTGAACGTGTATATGAAATAGTAAAAACTTCAGCAATCCTATTTTCACTGTTTTCTCCTGTATGAAGTCTTTTGTGTGTGTATGGAGGGGGGGGGGGTTGGTTGATAAAATATAATAATTAGTGAAAACAGAAAAATTAAAATAAGAAACACTTTTTTAACCAAACATGCCTTAAGAGACTCATTAAATATAATGATTACCTGTTTGGTGCGATTGGAAGAAATTATTGATGGCAGAATTTTCCATGACTGCTTTCCATACATTAGGGTCAGAAGCAATAGAAGCCACAACAGTCTGGTTGGAACCAAAGACAAGTGAATTCCGTTAATTCAATAAATGAAGCTAAGCTTTCATTTAATAAACATTTTTCAATATTGCACTTAACAGCTTTCATTTAATAAACATTTCAATATTCTACAAAACAGGATGGCAAAAGAGACTTTCGTTTGAACATAAAAAATTTTACCTGGGCCTCAGGACTTGTACTAAGCAATTGAAAAGCCTGAATTGCATGCTTTGGTACCGAAGGATTTGAAATAGCCTCAATGACACAAGATTTGGTCACTGGCTCATAACGAGTAGGAGATAGAACAGAGACTTGACTGTCGGGAGATGAGCCCTCACATTTGGAAGAATCAGAAGAAAGATATATTCTGAAAAATGAAAATTATGATCTTAGGATAGAGAAATGTATCATCAGATCAGATCTAAGATAATCAAAAATATGAAAAAAGCAATGACATTCAAAATACATAATATAACATAATCATTGCTCCCCGCAACTGCACTCAGCACCCAAGAAAGGGAATTCAAATAATACTTCTCCATCAAGCAACTTTTTGACAACCGAAAGGTCCAAAACTAAATACTCAATTGAATTGATAGACAATGAATAATTCAATTTGGAACACTGCCCAAAAGTAATTCAACATTACCAATTTACTTTTACAGAGGATAATAATTACCTCTAGACACAAAGATAACATAAGCAACAAGAGTTAAAAAGAGGAAGAGTGGATGACAATATTTTTCCAAGAGTAAAGATTCCTTATTTGACATGAACTTCAAGTATAACTGCACCCTCAATGAAGTCAATGCCAACAAAGTTTATCCCCAATATTACCAAGAAATTGATGAGTTTATGTCTGCAATTCCAACCATTTATATTATCATATTATTATGCTAAAAATCACTTCTGAAAGGAAAAAAAAAGGAATTATAATGATTAAGCATGGCTGTCATAGATGAAAAAGGACAACAACAAAAAGCGACCCTAACTTCATGAAGGACAAATTCATTTCATCCTTCATGATAAAACTATGATACTAAGAAGTAAGAAGATCAAGATACTCACGACAAACTTAATTGACCAAGTGAATAAATAGTGATAAGCTTGCCGGAACTAGCATATACAATAAAGACTACCACAGGTCACAGGCATCACCATTTTTGTTGTGTTAAAGCAATCTATTTTATAGTCTTGAAACCATGCTCATGTATTTTTACAAATGAGAGGAAGAGAAATGCCACAACACTATCTCTAAATACTCCTTCCCATGTACACTCTTCAACTAAAACCCTTCTTTCACACAATGTTTTGAGCGAAATAAGATGCATTAAATTACACGGATCATAATCCTTAATTACTAGGACCCACTCAATATCGACCCGATATGTGTTATTATTGGCATTTCCCATGTACATAATTGACTCAAACCACATGCCACTTTACAAATTCTCAGTTTCAATAAGAAATGTGTTCCAGTAATGTTTTTTTTAAAAAGAGGATTTATATATAGAAATTAATTTTGATCCTCTGACAAACAACAAGGTCTTTATCTTAGTGACCTGCAACAGGAATCACACGACTTCAGTGGACTTGATCAAAAGCTCTACCCCTTTTAACAAGTGCATTGTTACGTTTTTCAATTAAAAAAAAATTAGAATTTTAATTCCTTAACCCGCTAAGTGAACGAACCCTATTGAAAGTTGAAACGCAGTAAAAAAAAAAAACCCCTTTACCAACAGGAAAAAACCTGACAGGAACAGCATAAAAATGAATACATAAACACGAAAAACACAGTACTTCAAAAACACTAAAACCAAAACAAAACCTTCAAAATTGAAATAGAAACCACAAATACATAAAACCAAAAATAAAACTTCCAACAAAACCATAATCAGCAGTAAAAAATAAAATAAAATAAAATAAAAGCCCTATACTTATCAATAGCGTCCTTCAGTTCCGTGGTGGCTTCCTTAGCTTCCTCGAAACTCGGGGCAGAGCCGAACACCATTCTCGGCACGACCAAATCGCCGTCGTCTTCGAACTCCCAATCCTCCCACGACACGGTGTGCAGCGGCGCAACCTCAGCGGCTTTCGATCCTTGCAAAGACACTCCGGTAACCGACGCGGGTCGCGACGCTTGACGCACCGATTGCTCAGTCGGGAGCGACGCCGACGATCCCCGGAGGCCGGACCTACCGACGCCGAGGCCGGCGAGCTTCGCCGCCGTACGCATAGCTCCTCCGCCACCCATTTTTCTGATCACTCACTTGAAACTCGAAAGAAACAAAACTTTATCTGAGCGAAATGGTCGCTTAGTTTACACGTTTAAGTGTTTAACCATTGCGATGAGGACTTTGAGTTACACGTGGCATTCCGAAGACGAGTCGATCTTTTTCTTTTCTTACCATAAAATTATAATAAATTTTAAGTTTGCTTTTTCTCTTAATTTGTAAAAAAAAAAAATACTTTTTCTTTATCAGTCATTTTAAATTTAAATTAACTATTATTATTTTAATTATATTTTAAAATAAATTAATAATAAATTTTTAAGAATAAATAAGAAAAAAAAGTGTATGAGAAAGTTAAATAATTTAAATATAAATAAAAATTAAATTTAGATAGTTTTATAATAAACACAAAATGTCAGGTTAATGTTACAAGTACTACGAAATTTAACATTATAAAAATGTTGCAAACGCAAATTTTAATATTATACTCTGTTGTGAAGTTTTTTTTTTTTTTTTTAATTTGACTCTCTAATCCATTGTCTTAATTTAGCAATTTATTGTTTGTTTGTTCTGTTTCATTATTTAAAAGAAGTATGTTACAAGGTAAATGATATTGACTCCATTAATTGAGTTATTAATAATTAATACTTTTAATATATAAGTATTATTAAATTAAATTATTTAAATAATTAATTATATATTTATTTTAAATTTTAATAATTTATAAATTTTAAAATGAATAAATAATATAATTATTTTAATAAATACATTATTATATAGATAAAATTGAAAATAAATTATTAAAAAAATTTAAAATTTAAGTAATAATTAAATTAAATATAAATAAATAATTAATATGATAAAAAATTTAAAATACTTTCATTCGAAAATAATCAGCAGCACTTTTATTTAAAAATTGTTTTCAAAATATTCTTATTTAAAAATTAAGACTCACAGTTTAAATATAAAGATTAAACATTTGAAATCTAACTGCGTGATTTTCATCAAATAAAAAATAAATTAAAATTTTTAAAATAAAGTTAAAAGATTAAAGTGACAAGTTTACGCAAAGAAAAATAATTATCATTTAATTTTCTCTTTTCAAATATTATTTCACTTTCATTAAACTGCGTGATTTTTATGAGCATGAATGCTACAATTTCCAAGCACATCAAATCCTGAAACTTGAAGAATAAAATTAAGAATAAAATGATCTTAATTCACAACTAGAGGTAAAATCATTATAACCTCAAACATTTTCTAATTGAAAAAAGATTCATGCTTATAACTTAAAATTGTAGTAATGTGTTTCACATATTGAATATGTTTATTCAAATATTTATTTAATAACTTTTTATTATAAAAATTATAGTTATTCATCTAATTAGAAAATTTATTAAAATAAATTTTAAAATGTTCATATTCTTTTTAAGAAAAATTCTAGTGAATGGAGAAACATGCTGTTACATTTCATATAATCATTAATAAATAGCGTATGTTAGGAAAAAAAAAAGGTTCAGTCCTTCAATTTTATTTTCTTTGCAAATAAACATCTTATACTATAAACTTATTTTAAAAATTAATATATAAAGTCTATTTGAAAAAAATTAAATGCATATTTATAAAAAAAATCATAATAAACTAAGATATATATTTTAAGCAAATATTAATCAATTCTCCTTAAACTCTAGTCAAAGAATTAAAATTTCTAAAATATTAATGTAACCATAACATAATTTAAAAAAGAACTGTTTGTCAAAGGTGTAAAAATTAAGGATTAATTATAAAAAAAATAAATTTGTATTTATTTATAAAATTGATAAAGTTTAGAGAGCAATTAAAGGAAAATTGAAGTTCAAAATGTCTAATTTCACTTATGTATTAGTTTATGTGATGATATCATTGTTTTAGGAGTTCAACTCAAGGCATCCAATCTCTCTCTCACTCACACATGTAACACAAGGAAGGTTACTATGGTCTCAAACAAAGTACATCAGTCATTTGTTGATAAAAAAATATTTAAAATTTAAAGTTTATTCTTTCATAATTTTATATGTGACTCACTCAAAATCCTAATAGCTAGTGCCATACAACATGTCACAATTACTTGATTTGAAATTTCCTATCTTGAAAACGAGGTTTGTCAATTCATCCATTGCCCCTTATACCTCCATCAGACGTTAGTCAAATGAACTTCGAGATACCTCAAAGGCACCTTAACATATTGGCAACATCTTAGAAAACTAGCCTCAACACCTTTGCAGCTTTCAGCATTCTTAGACTCAAATTGGATTCTAATTTTGATGATAGAAAAAGCACTTTGACATTTTTTCTTATTAGTAATATTGTAGATCCTAGTCTTTAAAGGAGCAATATACATGTACAAAAATACACTATCATACCCTTGATTCAGTCATTGTTGAACTACAGGTTCTACTATCAGATGTTGTGCCTAAAAGATCTATATTGGATAAGGCACTACTCAGTCCTACTTACAAAAAAAAAAGGAATTGAGTACCCCTTCAACTTAAATAGTTGAGTATCGTTTCAGTCAAATTAAAAGGTAATTAATCTAATTAAAAGATAATAATTATATCATTACCTATTGTAATTAAAAGGCTAAAATCAGAGTTAACTCATAAAGTCCATTAGCCCATAATAATGTCTATAAAAGGAAGATAAGAGGTATAGATAAATAGTTGACTTTTAAATATTAAATATTATTTATTGTCTAAATCGAGACCTAACTTCATCATCAAAGTGCATTTTGCAGGTACACCTCTCATGTTAGATAGAATCAACGATATAAGAAATGACGTCATCTTATCTCAAAAGGAACTTAAAAATTAGTGTTTCATTATCAGAAATAAAATCTTTATGACAATCAGAGTAGTGTGATTTTACTCACTCATAACCACATCCTTCACTCTTAGAATAAACATTTCAAGTTTAATCTTTATTTTGCTAGAAAAAAGGCTCAACAACACGTAATTTCTATTTATCTATTTAGCCACTTAGCAAGTTGCTCATATTCTCACATGGCAAGAATAATAGAAAGTTGAATCAGTTGCCAATGTATTATATTAATCAATAAATTGTTTGATCATTGGCAGATTTAATTTAGAATTCAAGCTCTATCAACGAACTCTCTTTACTTTTCTTCTTACATTCTATCTTTACTCAATTTGACATACCTTAATTAAAATCAAAGAATAATAGATTAATTATGTTTTAAATAACGTTTGATCTTTTACTTTTAGGAAAAGTAACCGCAGGTTCCATCAATGTACATAAACTAATGTCTTTGATATTGAAAAAAATGCATAAAAGGACACAATCTGCGACAAGTGAAGGAGAGGCAGCGAAGTTCACAAAGCCAATGTTCAAATCAATTATATATTCACGTTGTTTTCATTAATTTTTAAACATTTTAACATGATTTATAGTTTTCTTGTTTTTAGCAACTTTACTTTAGTGCAATTATCAGAAACAAACATTCGAATAAGGCTTTTCACAAACAAATAACAATGAAAGGACAAACTCTACCTTGCTATATCACCAAAATCCCGGTCGTAAGAAAGAAAATCAAACCAGGGTTCGATCGATTAATAATATTCACAAGAATCACATTTTCAAAGTTACTATCTTGTTTCGAATGGATATAGTAATTTAAGGGTTTGTAGTTAGTAAAATTATATTTAATGAAACAAAAGTAACTGTGTTTAAATTATAATAATTCATATAAATATTAGATGATATATGCGTATGAGTAATGAGTTTAACATAGACATTCAATCATTGACGTGTATTTTGTCTTAGTTGTGAAATGTGTTATTAGTTTGTATTTTAATTCTCCTATCTTGACGTTAATTGTTTTGTATTTTTAGTGTTATTTTAGAGGTGTAAGCACGATTAAGAGGGAGAATGCTGATTTGGTGGAGAAGAATCAATAAATCAAAAGTTTAATATTAATTAGTAAAACATACACGTCTTAAAATTAATTAAGCTAATACTAATATAATTGAGTTGCAAGATCGTTCCTAATGCTAATTAGATTTTGCTAAAAGGTGTCGCTGGTAAAGATTTATTGTCATTTAGTAAATAATTTGAATTACAGAAATAATAAAAGTAAATATTTTTTACATTCTCAAAATATTAGATATTTTATTTCCATTTATTAAATTTAATTTTAATTCCTTAAATAATATGATAAGGGGGAAAATTTTTATAATATTTTTTGTCCTTTTTATAAGTTGTTTTAAAAAAAATAATATTCTTCAATGATTTTTTCTTCTTGATTGAGAGCAATATGCTTAAACACAACCCTATCTCATTCACGAACCATTGATTCCATTTGAGTTCGACTTTCGCGGAGAATAAAGTATGATATGAAAAATGTGCAAATATTATTCAAAATATCTTACTATCCTATTGACATATAAATGCTACCTTTCAAATTTCAATGAAATGGACTATTCAGAAAAAGATGCATTATCAGTCTACCAATAACAAAATCATGTGTCGTAAAGAGTTTAACTATAATATATATATATATACTTGTAATTTTTTATTTAAAAAATAATAATTTTTTTAAAAATATTGTTTAATGTAATTTTATCTGACTTAAAAAAAATTATTTTCGTTAGCTTAAAAAATAAAATAATTTTTTTTTAAAATTTATATAGTTTTTACTAATAATTTATTTTAATACATATAAATATTTAAGTAATAATGCATCATTAACCACAAAAATTATAACCATATTGATTATATATATATAAAATAAAAGTTTATATATAATAAGTTTTGATTAAAACTTATAAAATCTAATACATAAAACATCAAAGAATAACATTAAATGTTATAATTATAACTTAAAATTATATAAGCTAAGAATGGGGGGCTTGATTTGATGTAAAAAAAAAGGCATTAAGGAAGGTGCAAGTGAGAAAATGGAGGGTCAAAATAGTCAAAAAAGTGAAGAGGGCAGTGTGGTGGGCCAGCCCAAAGTTATCATACATTAAAAGGTGACCCCACACGTGACTGGCCCACAGTTCCCGCGTGAAGACGCAAAGTCCCACTGTCCCAACCCAAACCCTCATTTCCAAAATCAAAGCTTCGTTTACATTTAAATAATTTCTTAACTTTCCACCGAAAAGAAAAGTTAAACGCCCCATAAAAACACTTATCATCAAAATCATAATTTTGTGCCGTTGCAATTCATTAACTCATGTTGCATCCAGCAAAGCAATCAAGTTCTTTTTCTATGTTTGTTTGACTCCAAAGGCTTCAATTAATTTATATATATTTACACATTTCCCAAATACCAACCAAGTACAATCCATGAGATATATGCCACTTACATAGAATATCCCCATAATTAAAATAATTTTTTCAACCTTGATAATTCCTTGCATGTAAAAGTAACGTGCCAAACAACAAAGGTTAAAATATAATATAACCATTTATCTATAGAAAATGGCATGTGAAAGAAGACTTGCATGCCATTGATGATGCTCAAGACTCAAGAGGAGTTCAATGCTACATCAACACTAGAGCACCATTAGTATTACCCTTTTCAAATAGAGGCTTTTCTACTTTCAAGTATCTCAAAGTTGAAGATTCTTTTGCCACATATATGTGTACGCAAGTGTGTAAACCTAGACTATTATGGTAACTTTTTGGACCCAAGAGGCGATTTTTTTTAGAATAAAAGACGAATCCTAATCATCAATTCTTCAATATGTTATTCCCTAAACAAAAAGTAAAGAACAAAAAATTCCAGTTGTAATATCAATATGCCAGAAAGGCCAAACTGAAGGGACAATTAACATATTCCAAATGCCTTTAATTTTTTTTCCCATTTTCGTTGGCAAGTTTCCTAGTCATTGCTTTGGGAAAACATAAACCTATATTTGATCCTTTGCTTTGACACTTATCATATCTTTTATCTTCAAACAGAACAAGCGGTGAATGAACAAAAGTTAGAAGATTACAACTTGTAAATTTGATTAGGACCTCAGATTCCATAGTTTTTTTTTCTCTCTTTGCCCCCTTTCTCTCCCCACATCTTTACATGCTCTCAACAACCTCAACCTCTACGCTACAAACACCTACTCATTCATATGACTATAGTTGCATTGCAAGGCTAAAATCATATAAACATGACATAGAAAAAGACAACAGCTGAAGCTTGAAAACATTGTGGCATCTTTTTCTACCTCAAGGCCTCAAATCCTTTTTCCTTCCTCACATGATTCCTCAACTCACCTGCACAACCATACAATTAGCCTCAACCACGAGATTATTGCACATAGACAAAAGAATCCTGTCTTCCAAGCCTTGGAAATGCACGCAAAGTTGAAAATGATAATAAAAAAAAGCCAAAAAATAACAAAACAGAAAGAAAAAGAGTAAATCAGTTCTTGTAATTGTAAATAACCATTGTGCAATACTTGACTTGACAAAAATCTCACTTTAATCTTTAATTTTTTAAAACTACTCATTTTGAATTTTTTTTTCTTCATTATATATATATATATATATATATATATATATATAAAGACTAAAATATAAATGCATTTTGTAAAATTAATAATTAAAATGAGATATTTATAAAGTTTAAAACTAAAATATATTTATTCAATAAAAAAAATATAATTAACCCCACCCCATGATCCTGCTCTGCATATCTGGCCTAAAAATGTTACTGTGATGCTGCAGTACCCTCAGAAGCTGACATATTATATAGAATAATGTACTTTTTTTTTCCTTCTAATTCAAAGGAAAGTTCCTCTCTATGGTTTTTGTCTGAGTCTTTTTTTTTTATTGTCAGTGTAGTACTTAGAATGAGAAGACATGAGAGAGATAAATACACAAGAACCAAATAAATATTGAAAGTGACTAAATTAATTACAGTAACTCAACAATTTTTCAGTTTGTGAAACAGGAGTCATGAATGTAGCTGTGAGAAAGAAAAGCTGTTTCTTTTGCACAAAATAACGGAAACCTCAATCAATACAAAGTGCCAAAACAAATTTCACTGTCCCTCACACTCCCAAAAATAGTATTTTTTTAAAAATAAAATAAAAAAGACTCCGGCAAGAGCAAACAGTAAATTGAAAAGATCAAACAATTCAATTGCATATATTGTGACCCAAGATTGTGCATATCTTGTTTTGGACTTTAGTTTCAAAAGGGTAGTGGCAGATCTCTGTTAAAATCTTGTTCAGGGTAGTTTCAAAATGATCCAATTGAGTGAATTTACCTTCTGGCTTGCAGTGAGGTGGATCTTCAAAGAGAGACAGAGAAAGCTGTTTGTGGGCAACTCCAATGTCAAATAGTATCAACCCTGAAGATGGATCATTTACTATAATGTCTTTAACAGGTAGCCACACAAACAACTCTTCTTGTTGGAGACCCTCCACTCCTATGAGGCTACCATAGGTGAGGTTAGCAGTGACAACTTGTTCAAACAGGACCCTGTTCTCGTACTTTGTCAAGCAAGGTGCATCTAGGAACACTTCCAAGTGTCCATTTTCTGAGAAAGTATAGGACTTTACCTCCTCTGGTAAGAGACCAGCTGGTAACCCTTTTGAACGGAGAAGATCATGGATGGAGGAGGAAGAGTGAGAAAGTTGTGGAGAGAGAAATAGGAGGAGAGAGAAGGACAAAAAGACTGTGGAGGGAGTGTTAAAGATTGCCATGGTTGCTTAGACCAAAAAGAGAAAAGAACATGAGGGGGTTTAAGGAGAGTTTCTTTTTGAGAAGAGAAGGATGGAAATTGGAAAATGTAAAGACTGTTTAAGAAAAGGTTGAGAATGCGTGTAGTGACTATGTTACCCTTGGTTGGTGACTTTGGTAATGTCTTTTGATGATTTTGAGGTTTAATTTGCAACCATTTTTTATGTTCCTTGTATATATATATATATATATATTAGTTACTCTACTTAAACTATCTCAACCACATCTTACGTTAATTTGTTCTTATGCTTATAAATGTAGTTGTTGGTCCTTTGCTTGAATGTATCTCGTAACTTATCTTGAAAGTTCCAAGCATTGTTAATTAGTACATACTAACATAATTACAAAGCTTGCTTGATCTTAATTATTGTCCCCTTACCCTTCCCCCAAAGTAAAAGCAATATACTTTCATATCAAATGTATACTGTCAAAACTTTCATTTTCAATACGTATATGGTTTTCAACATTTAATGATGATACTTTTACACAGCTCTGTTTTCGTTGTTACCTTATACATATTTTATTAGATAAATAGTTTTTCTTATTACTTTTCTTTTTTAATATAAAGGGGTGTGTAAAATGGAGTTTAAGTGTAAAAAATGAGATACAAGAATAATATTCTCATCCATGTTATAAGGAGAGAATATTTATTATTACTCATTTTTATTTTCACTCTATTTATTTTTTATTTAAACATTCATATTATTAATTTAATTTATTGATAGAAATTCATTTTATATACAAAATGTTTAAATAGTAGTGGCAGTAAACATTTTAAACCGACAATAAGTTCACTCTATAAATAGTATTTTTATCATTCATAATAATTTGTTGTCACCATCTTAGTTAACACATTCTTTTTTCAATATTTCTCTAAAATATTTTTATTAAATAATTAAATCGAATTAACAATGTAGTATCTCTTTTTTGGTACAATAGTAACCTTCTTTTTTATACAAGTATCAAATATTTTAAATTTTAACTAATGATCAGAATAATTCAAATTTAAATATACAAAGTTTCTCATAAAAGGTTCCAACATTAATAAAAATGATAATAAACATGAAACAAAAAATCGTACAAAAACAATTAAAGTACAATTTCAAATAAAAATTTAAAAAAGATATTTTTGAGGTGAATGTAGTAGATGACAACGAAATGCAGTTGCATGTTGTAGAAGGTATAGTGAGATACACACTAAATACCAAATAATAATAATTAATGTGGCCCAATGAGCTGACGTGGCACTCTTATTAGTTTAGTGGAGTTGAATGATGAAAATGGATGGACATTGACATGAAGATATTATCAATGAGCACAGGCAAAGTGGGTGCATTAAGAAAGCATAATCAAGACTAACATACAAAGCAAGACATAATCATGGTTAGATCACAAAAGGGTGAATTGGTCATTTCAGAAATGGAGAACAAACAATAGTATATGACTGTGTGGAGAGTAACGGTCAGAGGAGGTCAGAAAACTAGCATCTTGTCAATTCTGTTATTCATTGGTGGGTGAAACGGTCATTTCTGGCTTTCATGCTTCTGGTAATGATTCAGTGTGCAATGTGCATACTGCAACCTATTCATGTACCCTTAGATTCATTTATGCCTAAGCCTATCACCTCATCGTTTCGCGTTAAAGGGGCCCTAATTAGGAAAGTTCACTTTCGGTTAATTTTCAATTTTTATTTTATTAAGATATTATAAAAGGACAACTACTTTTCAAATTTAGTTGGTTTAAAATATTATCATTTTTTAGAAAATTAAATATGTCAAATATTAAAATTATAATAGTCTTTATTAATATAGTTTTATCTAATAAAATGAAACTATTAATATAAATTCTGAAGGACTGTACTTTATATATATATTTTCGAATTTGTAGGAGTATATTTATATTTTTATTAGTTAATTTAATTTAAAAAATAATAATATAATAAAAATTGTTTAATTTTTTAATATTATCTTTTATTGAGTATAATTTTTTTAAGTTGTAACTAAAATATAAAGTATAAATTCTTGTATAATTAAATTTTTTTGATAATATATTATAATTTTATAATTTATACATTGATTTTTTCATTACTTTTAGTAAATTTGTTATTTTTATGATTAGAGATTTACTTGAAAATTTTATTATTTTCAAATTATTTTATATTATCTAATTTTTTTCTTTCTCAACTTACAAGTATGAAACTATTAAAATAAATTTATTTCAACTTATATTGTAAATTGTATAAATAAAAATAATAAAATTATTATTATTTTATTAATTATTTATATTGTTGACTTCAAAATTTTATTTGCTATAAAATTGTCTCTAAAATAAGTATTTATTTTTATTTAAAAAATATATAAAGTGCTTGTAATATTTAAAAATTATAAAAATAATTTTAAATTATTATAATTATTTTTTTAAAATATCATACAAAAATAAATATATATTTCAATTTTTTTATTTATATAATAAATTATATAATTAGACTTTCAAATAAATTAAACTTTTACTTATTTACTTACAATATCAAATTGTAATCCTCTAAATATAAATCTAACTCTATTTTAATTGTTGAAGCAAAATTTATTTCATTAGAAAAATGATTATTGGATGAAAATATGAGGGTCGCTTACATGTTCCACACTGTGACATGGTTTAGCACATTTTCAAGCCAACGTCATGAAGGTGACATTTGGCCCACGTGTGAGTTGTGCAGGTGCCACATGCCTGTACTATCTTTTCTGGTATTATAAATTTAAATATTTAAAATTTTATACATTTTTAATTATAAATCTTAATACAGATTACAATGAATCTTAAAATCAAGACACATTCTTTTTCTCATCATAAATTGTGTTTTATTATATTTTTCTCATGTAATAACACAATTAATAGTTTTAAATGTATTAAATTTTTATATTTTTATTTTAAGATGAGTACTATAAATTGATTTAACTCTTCATTGCCACTATTGCCTTAGTCAGCTAATATCTTTCAATGTTTTTATAGCTTAACAGCTTCTCCACCAATGCAATCCAACACCCTCTCCTACTATTTTACGGCATAGTACTCCGTTTAATGCTTTGTAAGTAAAAAGAAAACCTCGATATTTATAACAAAATAATAAAAATTATAATAAATTAAAATTAAAGATAAAGTTAATCAAGCATAAAAACTTGAACAGTTCTTAATCAAGCATTAACCTTTTAAAATATGTAATCTTAGTGGAAATCAAATAAAAGGAAAATCTTTATGCGATGATATTTCTTTAAAGGATTTATAATTTATCAAACACAAATTATTTGAAAATGGCAAGCATTGGATGAGTTTCTTGGCTGAAATTTGATTTAGAATAAATTGTATAACTGCAAACATTTTAATGAAATATTTATTACATGAAACTTCATATCATAAATTTAACCATGAGAATTTTTAAAATAAATAAAAAAATTATAAGAATTGCATAAAACACACACGTTATTAATCAACGATCCACAACCACACACCAAAACTAGTGTCTTTTTTTTTGGTCAACTCCATCTTACCAAAACTGGTTAGAAACTGTTATATCCACGAACTTTCAGCATTATTGGGCTGGCAACTACTTTCACTTTCTTTTGTTCTTTTCTACGACTTTGGGCTCAGGTCCAATGATCAGATGGTAACAGTATAAGAATTAACTTTGGTACGCGCAAATTAATTATTCATTGTAGTAGCTGAATTCAGAGGAAGGTTCATATGCTTTGTTTCACCACTTTTTATTAATCAACATTATTGGTTATATTTTTACTTATTTGATGATTTTTTTTTCTTTTCATATCTCACCTTAGGCCAGAATGGGACTAAAATACTTTTTATAGGTTTTGAATTATTTTTATTTCTTAATTTTTGAGAGTAAATTAATTCTGATCTGCTTTTAATATGGTATCAAAGATGCCTACTTCACAAGTCATAGGTTTAATTTTGGTTGCAAGAAGTTTGTGTCAAGGTTTAAAATGCAATAATCCTTTTTTATTGAGTTAGCTTCTCAAGAGCAAGTTAAATTTAGTATGTTTCTGATCAATATTCTCAATTAACTACTTGATTCTAAGTATCATGAGAAAAAGTAAAAGCATTCAGCTTTGATAAAACTTACTAGAATAAACTCTTTAATTTATGTTAAAAAATTTTATGATCAAAATTTATAAGATAAACTCTCATTAAAAACATTTTAATTAAGTTTTGTTCTTAATTGTAGTAAAATCCAAATATAATTAGAGGAATGTTAACAACATATTATTTAATACACTTTTCATTGATGGTTAATATTTATTAAAAATTAAAAGAATATGAAAGAAGAATAATAATTTAAAAGTGAAAAAGAGTGAGACTTGTATACTTTTTTTTATAAATTTTAGAAAATTATGTTATAAAGAGTATATTGTTTAGTGTATTTAATCTGTTTAATCTGCTGTGATTATTCCAAACTATCAAATACCAATTTCCCATGCCGTGTGAGTGGTGAACACATTGAAAGGTACACAGATGGGGGCAATGGCTCTCTCTTCAATATGACTAACAGAGAATATGATGGCTTAGTTTGTGAGCGGTGTGATTCATGTGAAATTTCTTGTATGACCCCACACCAGTAATCTTTGTTGATGTTCCAATTTTCTCTCTTCAAGCCTTTCAGAAGCTATGTATGAATGTTCGTGTTCCACTTCAACCATTCAAGAACTATATATGTAAGTCCAACTGTGGGAAAGAAAGCTGCAAGATATTTGATTGTGTGATTACGCGTGGTGACAATGTGCTTGACTTTGAATTCTAATTAAATCATTTCACGGAAATGAGTTAGACCAAATCAAACCTTATCTCATAAAATATTTAAATGAAATAAATTCTAAAATTACTTAAGATAAAGTTAATCCTCATTAAATCTTTTAAAGTATATACAAAATATGCAACGGTTTAGACATTAGTTGCATTCATTATATAATCATGATATTTTTACATATAATGGATCGAAATATTACTTGCAATTTTAACAAAATTTAACCCCAGACATGTAAACAATATCCTTCACCAGAAACAATTTTATTCGAGCTCAAAACATTCACAACATGACAATTAAATTTTTTCACAGATAAGACTGAACCCCGGAACATCATTTAAGGAATCAAACACTTAAAACTTGAATTAACTACCCGTCGGTTAGTACTAGAAATTGAAATGAAACAACAAAAATATGTCAAACTTGTTATTACGTGTAAATTTTGTGGACCACTTTCTTAATTGGTCCACTCTATAACCACACAAACTTTCAATGTTATTCAGACAGTGACTGTGAACCACAATATTCAAGTCTGCGGTCCTTTTAGCAACACGGATTATAAAGAAACAAAACCCCTAAACAACGAAATTTAGTGTCATTGAAAGTTCTACTGGAACTCTTATGAATTTCAGCATTTATATAATCAAGTTAACATTTAGTATTCAAAGGTCCAACCACACATTAGTGACTCTTCATCGCTCAGCAATGCAATTGTCCACCCTTTTGAGTTTTGTGCACCAGCTGATTCCATTATGGCTCATGCATGGTTTCAAATTGTTGTAAATTTTATTGTCCTAGCTTCTATATTATATTAATATATAGTAGTTCAAGCTTTCCTTCTTTTTATTTTAATCTCTAACTCTCAAGCTTTGTACTCAATGAAGTTTACTCTTTTTTTAATGAGAATCATAGTTTATATACTATTTATCCCTTCCATAATAGTTTCCACACCAGCATACACATCTTCTATTTCTCAATCTCAGTCCCTCAGATATGGAAACACCATAGTTTCCAAACAAGAAACCTTTGAACTTGCCTTTTTTGATCTAGGAAATCCAAACAAAATCTACCTCGGTATTCGGTATAAGAGTATTCAAACTCAAAACGTTGTTTGGGTTGCAAATGGTGGCAACCCAATCAATGACACCACAGCCATCTTGACACTAAACTGCTCTGGCAGTTTGGTCCTCACACACAACAAAATGGTTGTTTGGTTCACGAATTCTCCACAAAAATTGCATAATCCAATAGCGGAGCTATTAGATTCTGGCAATCTTGTGATCAGAGAGAAAAACGAAACAGACTTAGAGAAATTTCTGTGGCAAAGTTTTGACTACCCTTCTAATACAATGTTGGCAGGGATGAAAATTGGATGGGACCTTAAAAGGAAAATAAATAGGAGTCTCGTTGCTTGGAAGAGTGACAATGATCCAACACCAGGAGACTTATATTGGGGTATTATGTTGCATAGTTATCCTGAGATTTATATGATGAGGGGCACAGAGAAATACCATAGACTTGGACCATGGAATGGCATGAGGTTCAGTGGTATGCCAGAAATGAGGCCTAATCCTGTTTTTAATTACACATTTGTCTCCAATAAGGATGAGGTTTATTACATGTGGACACTTCAGACTCATTTAATAACAAAGGCGGTGCTTAATCAAACAAGTCTTGACCGTCCTCGCTATGTGTGGTCAGAGGCTGAAAAACAATGGAACTTTTATTCCACTATGCCAGGAGGAGAATACTGTGACAAGTATGGCGCTTGTGGGGTCAATACATATTGCAGTACTACTGCATCACCGATGTGTGAGTGTTTAAAAGGGTTCAAGGCTAAGTCTCCTCAAAAATGGAACTCAATGGATTGGAAAGACGGCTGTGTCCTCAAACATTCGTTGAATTGCAAAAATGATGGGTTTGTACTATTGCAAGGGTTGAAAGTGCCAGATACTAAATACACATTTGTGGATGAGGCTATTGATCTAGAGCAATGTGCAACCAAGTGCTTGAATGATTGTTCTTGCAAGGCATACACAAATTCTAATATAAGTGGAGCAGGTAGTGGCTGTGTCATGTGGTTCCGCGATCTAATTGACATCAAACAATATCCAGATCCAAACAATGGGCAACCCTTATATATAAAGTTGCCTGCTTCAGAATTAGGTATATACATTATTAAATTTTTGCTATTAATGCTTTTATAATTTCTTTTCACCAGCATTTCAATCTTGTATTTGATAATTTAAGCTAAGTATTTCAATATGGAATTTAACTGTTGTTGTTTTGTTGGATCAAATTCAACCATGAAGATTCTGCAAGGCACAAAAGGAACTCTAAAATAATACTTGTTACCTCAGTGGCTGCAGCCTTGGGAATGCTTTTGCTTGGTATTTATTTTGTCTACAGAAGGAACATAGCTGGTAAAATTGTTCTTCTCTTCTCTCACATTTCACTGAAAAAATGGGTCAATAGTTCTCTATATTGTTTTAAATGGAAATTCTGTTTTTGGTCAATTCCCTTGAGAATTACAGTTATTCAAATAATTGGTTTTTAGAGTATTTAAAGCTATATATCCTTTGAACTTTTGGTTAGGTGGCATATTAACATGGTTCTGTTGTGTGTCTCGTTTCATAGCGGTAGAGTTTAATGACTTGTAAGAGAGAAAAAAAAGGTTGACATAACACTATTATTATGTTTTCTTTTTCCTTTAGGTTCAGATATACTTATCTATTTTTATTGGTTTCAATTCTCTTCCCTACTTTTGATAATTAATATTGCTAAAGGTCTTTTACCATTTTCCAGAAAAGTCAGAGGCAGAAAATAACTATGAAAATTATGTGGATGATCTGGATCTCCCATTGCTTGATTTGTCAATAATTATTGCTGCCACTGATAACTTCTCAAAGGAGAAAAAGATTGGGGAAGGCGGTTTTGGACCTGTCTATTGGGTAATCCAATATTGAGTTATATATTATTTGCACACATTTTTTTATAATTTTTTCTGTATGTTTCTTCATCACATCACTTATCTCACATTTTTTCTTTTCTCTTCTTATTTCTCTCAGTTGTAAAAGAATGTATACAAAAATAGAATTTCTTTTCAATATTTGGGTACTATTACATTACTAACAACTAAAGAAGTGTTAGTTTTCTAAAAAAGGCATCTATCATATGAATTTGATTATGCAGGGAAAATTAACAAGTGGACTAGAAATTGCTGTGAAGAGGCTTTCAAAGAGCTCAGGACAAGGAATGTCTGAGTTTGTAAATGAAGTCAAATTAATTGCAAAACTTCAACATCGAAATCTTGTGAAGCTTTTAGGCTGTTGCATTCACAAACAAGAAAGAATGTTAGTTTATGAATATATGACTAACGGCAGCCTAGACTATTTCATTTTTGGTATGGAATATAAAAACATCTTATATTATGATTCTGTACATTTTTAAAACTACAGTGATAGCTAGCTTAGAGTATTTAATGCTGAATAATATATTTTCTATGAATAACACAGATCCTACCAAAGGAAAATTTCTAGATTGGCCAAAGCGTTTCAACATAATTTGTGGAATTGCTCGGGGGCTTATGTATCTTCATCAAGATTCTCGATTGAGAATTGTCCATAGAGATCTCAAAACAAGTAATATTTTATTAGATGATACTTTGAATCCTAAAATATCAGATTTTGGAATGGCTAGAACTTTCAGAGGAGAGGATATTGAAGGAAATACAAGTAGAATTGTTGGAACATTGTGAGTGTCTATCCATCCAACACCATATATATATATATATATATATATATATATATATATATATATATATATATATATATATATATAATACAATACAATACAGACATATAACACGTGAATATTTTTCCTCTTAATGATTTGTTGCAGTGGATACATGGCACCGGAGTATGCAATTGATGGGCAATTTTCTACAAAATCTGATGTCTTCAGCTTTGGTATTTTACTATTGGAGATTATAAGTGGGAAGAAAAATAGAGGAAATCATCGTAGAAATCAATCTCGTAACCTTGTTAGTCGTGTAAGCACTTAGCTAATTTTTAATTTAACCATGATACAATTGACATGCATGTTACTATAACATATACTTTTGGTAATAACTTTTTTCTTCTATTGTGATTTAGGCATGGAGATTTTGGAAAACAGGCATGACTTTACAAATTATTGACCCAAACATAGAGGATTCATGTTTTGCATATGAAGTGTTGCGTTGTGTCCATGTTGGACTCTTATGTGTGCAAAAATTCCCAGAAGATCGACCTACAATGACCTCAGTGGTTCTAATGTTAGGGAGTGAGATGGAATTAGATGATCCTAAAGAGCCAGGTTTTTTTACGAAAAATGAATTTACTGAAGGAAATTCAAGTTCAAGTGGGAAAGTTGAAATGACAATAACTTCATTAAGTGCTCGGTGAGAATCAATGAGATAATTGTTGCACATATTGCTCTAATGAAGTGTAACTAGATATACATTTGTGTAAGTATATAGATGCTCTAATTTTTATTTCCATGAGAGTTCGTTTAGATATATTAAAAGGTGGAAAAAAACCATGAATATAATTATCTCTTTCACTTGAAGCTTTATTGTACAATTTGAATTTATTTTAATGGCATTTGAAATATGCATTATTTATATTCATATTTGGGATATATCAGTTTGAAGCCATAAACAAGATTTTGAAAATACATAAGTCAATTTGGAGAATATTAGGTCGAAGCACTTAAGTGCCCTTAATCTTTTGTGAAATCAAAGTTAGACATTCTTGTATTATTTTATTTTAATTTTTTTTTTAAAAGAGAAATTTTTTGTTCTTGTTCCGTGAAAAACAATGCTGAGTTTAAACACTCATACATAGTAAATTTTATTAAAAAGAATATTTATCACATTTTTATAACTTTAATGTGATAAATTTATTTTTTTAATAAAAAAATATTATTATTCGATGTTTAAACTCAATTTTAAAAACTATAAAGTTAAAAAAACACATTTTATTATAAGCTCTATTTGTTATATAGTTATTATGAGAGGTAAGATTTTATAGAGTCTTTAAAATTCAAGGTGATATGACACACTATTATTACTTGATAATTTTTACATATAATTTTTTCTAATTATTTATCCTCTAAATTTTTGATGTTTTATATTCAATTTTTCTTAATTCTTTCTTTTCATTCTTCTCTTTGTTTTTATTTTTTTTATAGTCTTAATTTATTTTTTAAACTGAAAATACTGTCTTAACAAAGCACTAATGAATTATTAAATCACTTAAAAATATATTTGTTTTTTACATTGTTTGTAACGTAGTTAATATTAGATAGAATTAAAGTAATTTTAATTTTGAATAACTTCTTTTGACAGTAACAAACGATATAAGTATTATTTATTAAAAATAAATTTAGAATTACTTGATTACAAAACTTACACTAAATGGTTTCACAGTTCAAAAAGTAAAAAAAAAATTGATAATTTACATTATCATAAATTATTTAATTTTATTAAAAAAATCAAACTTAAATTTCTCATTGAAAAAATGTTAGAATATATGACATAGCTAAAAATATCTTATCATATATTATTAGATTATTTTTTTTTATGATTAGTTTCATATTCTCCTTATCTCCTAAGATTGGTTATCACATTTTCATATTTTCTTTTATTTGTTTCATTGTTTAGTTATGATTATAATTAGTATATATAAGTTTTACCCTTTAAGCTTCAAGAGCATTGATCCCATCACGTCTCAATATATTTCAATTGATATTAATTTTCTTTAATCTCTCTTCCTCTTTCTATAATTAAAAGACGATAATTTCAATACAATATTAGAGTGATATTATCTAATCAACCTTCTCCTAATCTCTTAAAATTTTGAGTTCCATGTTAATTATTTTCATGATTCTTCCTTTAAATGAATTGTTAATTTCTCCTGTCGTGTCAATCTTCCAACAATTATCTTGTTGTTGCTCCTTCTCATGAGTTCGACCAACTTCTAGTCATGTTCTTCATTTCAACATCCTTCCTCTTCCTCTCTCTATAAGTAAAACACCATAAGTTTTAAAAAATGGGGTTAATATGCCTAATATTATTAATTAAGATTATGGTTAGAATATTTCTTACGCTAGCTTTTAAGAGAGAGAGAGTTAGGCCAAATTTATTTTTAATATAGCATCAGTCTATTAGTTTTAATATTAGCTCACTTACATGTGCTTTACAAACTTCATGTACTATATATTCAATCTTAAATGGAAGTAGAACAATCAAGATGTTCAATATTAACTAAAATGTAATTAAAATATTTTTTATAAGACTTAAATCATTTTTTTTCCGTTAAACTAACTTTTGACGGTGACTCAAATCTGACCCACATGTCTGTTGAACTAACTTTTTCTCTACGTGTGATGGAGGAAAAACCTTCAAAATCAAACTAATTTTTTCACTCATTTTTTTTTCTAAAGAAAAGTGTTTTATAGTACGACAATGTTTCGTATGAATGTGTTATATAAAGGATGTGTCAAAGAAAGAAAAATAGGATATGGACGAAAATTATGTCACTGTATTCTTATTTAGCTTTTGTGATAAAAAATTCACAGTATCTATCCATTTCCTTTTTTTAGAAGGAAATTTATAGGGATTACAAGCTTCTCGTTTAGTTATTAGGTAATTCATTATTTATTCAAATGATAGTTGACTACGGATATAACGCTAAACAACAAGCTTCTAACTTAGATTTTAATTGAATTTGCAACGAGTTCAAGTACTTGGCTATTATTACAAAGGGTAAGGATGGGACCACCATTGAAAGAAGGTTAAATACCTCATAATGAGAACAAAGGAAAAAGGTTACAAAAAGTAAGCAACTCATATGCATAGTATTTGGAAAGTTGTATTATCATAGCTGCATGGCATAGGTGTCAAGAGAATTGATTAAGATGAAGGGATATTCTTTGATCAAAGAATCACGCGGCTTTGTATAAGTGGACCATTTCAAAATGAATTAGTATATAGTTAGATTAGTCATTCAGTATATAGTTAGATTAGTCTTCGAATGATAGTGTAACATCAGTCATATACTCATTAGTACTTAAGTGATAAAAAATATGTTTGAAGTCCTTGAATGTGAATTTCTTTAATAAAATTAGTTCCTATGTCATGAATTTTGTGGAGTAATTTGACTCGCTGAATACTCATCAGTGGTCACTTTGAAAACTAAATGTATATCTATGAATCGTGAAGATGTAATTTTCATCACTGGACTAATATGATCGGCATTATATTTTTTAAGGATTAATTAATTTGACTGTTTACCCTTTTTTAAATAATTCACCAGTATAATTAGTCAAGTTCCAATAAATTTTTAAGATTACAATTTAGTCCTTTTATATCCACTCTGACCATTAAAAGGATCATAATACGACTCCATGTTTGGTTTGTTCTAACTTGATCTGCCATTGACACAAAGAAGCAACACATGATCTTGGAAGATTGCTGATGATCCAACCCCAGAAGACTTATCTTGGGGTATTATGTTGGATCCTTATCCTGAGATCTATATGCTGAAGGGAATAAAGAAATACCATAGAGACTTGGTCCATGGAATGGCATGCGTTTCAATGCTACTGCATTACCAATGTGTGAATGTTTTGCTGAGAAAGAGTTCTTTAACTTCCATGATGTACTGGAGCTGATTTAGATACATAATGGGCACAACAGGGTGCGCAAAACAGAGTAGTGTTGTCAAAAGTTACTGAACCGCAGGCAAAGTTTGGACCATAACTCATGTTAACGATTTAGTAAAGACTTTGACTTTTAATCATGTACTCAAAAGTTGGTGTGTTCACCAACCTATCCAGTTCAAAAGTAATGTCTTTGTATTCGTATACTATTATCATACATGCAGGTTAGCTACTACTTGGCGTGGACAAATGAAATATGTACAAAAAAAAAAAATCACATGCTGGGCTAAACGCGTACGTAGGTGCCTAAGTTTGACTTAGTCAAACTGCATTGTGCGTTTATGAAATATGATACACTTTGCTGAATCCATATCATCAGCATCCAAATAGCACAGTAGCACTAAACCCATAGTTCAATGGACAGTGTTTATTTTATGATTTTTGTTGCATGTATACTCGTTCCCTCTCTCAATATTTCCTCAGCAATTAGTTCTCTGAGTGTGTCACAATCTATCAGTGACGGCAATACCTTAGTGTCCAATAGTGGAGCTTTTGAGTTTGGTTTCTTCAGCCCAGGTAGTTCTAAAAAACGTTACCTGGGGATTTGGTTTCACAACATTGCTGTTATAGACGCTGTTTGGGTTGCAAACGCAGCAAACCCAGTTAATGATACCTCAGGCAACTTAACACTCAACAACACAGGCAATCTTGTGCTGAGCCAAAATGGTTCTGTTGTTTGGTATACAATTTCAACCTCTCAAAAATATGCACAGAATCCAGTGCTAGAGCTTTTGGACAGTGGCAATCTTGTGATAAGAAATGAAGGAGAACTAAACCAAGAAAACTTTTTGTGGCAAAGCTTTGATTATCCATCTAATACACTCTTGCCGGGGATGAAGTTGGGATGGGACCTTCGAACTGGTTTGGAACGGAAGATAACGGCATGGAAGAGTGAAGATGATCCCTCACCAGGAGATCTTTCTTGGGGTCTAGTTCTCCATAGATATCCAGAGTTTTATGTGATGAACCGAACAGAAAAGTACTGTCGCGTTGGACCGTGGAATGGTGTTCATTTCAGTGGCTTAGCACTTCAGGAATCAAATCCATTCTATGAGTTAAACTATGTTTCTAAAAACGATCCTATGTATGCGTCTAACAAGGCTGAGATGTTCTACTCTTATGCTGTCAAGAATATTTCTGTCGTTACCAGAGTCAAAATAGTTAAAGACAGTTTTCAAACTCAATTGTGGTTGGAGAGTCTATCAAAATGGAATCTTTATCAGAGCACCCCTATTGATCAGTGTGATATGTATGGAGTCTGTGGAGCATATGGGAATTGCAATATTGAAGAGTCACCACCTTGCCAGTGTTTGAAAGGGTTCAGTCCAAAGTCACCAAGAGAGTGGAATGTAATGAAATGGAGTCAAGGATGCATCCGTGATAAACCGTTAAGCTGCAAAGACAATGGCACGGATGAGTTTGTCAAATATCTAGGCTTGAAAGTTCCTGATACTACACAAACTTGGCTGGATGAGAATATTGATTTAGAGGAATGCAGAGTGAAGTGCTTGAATAATTGTTCTTGTATGGCCTATACTAGTTCAGACATAAGAGGAGGAGGTAGTGGTTGTGTCATGTGGTTTGATGATCTCATTGACATCAAACAGTTTCAAACTGGTGGGCAAGATTTATATATTCGAATGTCTGCTTCGGAGTTAGGTAAAGATTTTATTGATATTTCTTAATAATTCCATCATTCTTCTCAGTTTCAAATATGAAGCCTTTTTGTTTGATCAATGCCTGACCATGAAGAGCCTCTGCCTCAACACAGGGCGCAACAACAGAGGGAGAAAAATAATTGCTACCATAATTGGTGCAACATGCGGGGTACTTTTATTTTGCATTTACGTCATATACAGAGTCAGAAGGAACATTGCTGGTAAATTGTGCTTCACTCGTGTTTTTGTCAGTTTTTACTAAATTGTGGCAGTTCTTTTTTTTAATATATATTTGTTTAAATTGAAAGAAGTTAGAAATTCTTATAATTCTCAATACACTCTTGACGAAATCATGGCTTAATGGAGAATTTCAGGCAAAGTGGCAGTTTAATAACACAAAAATCTCATGGTTTTAATGATCTAGAGTTGGAACTTGTTACAGATTTAAGAAATTCCAACCACAGTCTCTATTTTATTTCCTTCTTTCAATCAAATATTGTTGCATATTTATCTACTTCAACCAGTTTCAATCCCCTCCTTATGTTTCATAATAATTTTGGATGTCTTTTTCGTTTCTTCCATTTTACAGATAAGTCAAACACAAAAGATGACATTGAAAGACATCTAGAAGATTTGGATCTGCCATTGTTTGATCTGCTAACACTCACTGTGGCCACTAACAATTTCTCGTTGAATAATAAGATTGGACAAGGCGGTTTTGGACCTGTATATAAGGTAATTCCATATTTAAGCACTTAAGACAACTGGGGAAGTATAAATGTTATGAAAAGCATCTACTCAACTGAATGCAATTATGCAGGGAAAATTACCAAATGGACAAGAAATAGCTGTTAAGAGACTTTCAAGTAGCTCTGGACAAGGAATGGTCGAGTTCGCAACAGAAGTAAAACTGATTGCAAAACTTCAGCACCGAAATCTTGTGAAGCTTCTTGGTTGTTGCATTCAAGGACGAGAAAAATTACTAGTATATGAATACATGGTTAATGGCAGCCTAGACTCCCTCATATTTGGTATGTAATACGAAGAATGCTTAAATTTTGGCACAAACGTTTTTTTTTTTCTTTTACTATAGTAATTCTTAGTGGCTTATTAAGTTTGAATATACATGGATGAAAGTATGATAATGTATTTGCTATGTAAAAAGCAGATAAAGTGAATGGTAAATTGTTGGATTGGCCGCAGCGTTTTCACATAATATTTGGAGTTGCTAGGGGACTTTTGTATCTTCATCAAGATTCTCGACTAAGGATTATTCATAGGGATCTCAAAGCCAGTAATGTTTTACTCGATGAGAAGTTAAATGCAAAAATATCAGATTTTGGAATGGCTAGAGCTTTTGGAGGAGACCAGATTGAAGGAAATACAAATAGAGTAGTTGGGACATAGTGAGTGTCTGTCTAACTGTATACATCACCATATTCATTTAGTTTTTACATGTCATGTGATTATTCTTTCTCTAATTGTTTCTTGTAGTGGATACATGGCTCCAGAGTATGCCGTTGATGGGCTGTTTTCAATCAAATCTGACGTTTTCAGCTTTGGTATTTTATTGTTGGAGATTATATGTGGGAACAAAAATAGAGCCCTTTGTCATGGAAACCAGACCCTTAATCTTGTTGGTTATGTAAGCACTCAGATTGCTATTGATTTACTTATGCCAAAATTGAAAGGCGATTAATGTTTTTCTTCTTTTATGATTAAGGCATGGACACTATGGAAAGAGGGTAACACTTTACAATTGATAGACCTGAGCATAAAGAACTCCTATGTTGTCTCAGAAGTACTGCGCTGCATCCATGTTAGTCTCTTATGCGTTCAACAATACCCAGATGATAGGCCTACCATGACCTCTGTAGTTCAGATGTTAGGGAGTGAGATGGAATTGTTTGAGCCTAAAGAGCCTGGTTTCTTTCCAAGGAGAATTTCTGATGAAGGAAATTTAAGCTCCAATCAAAATGAAATGTCTTCAAATGATGAATTAACTATTACATCTTTAAATGGCCGGTGAAAATTATTGAGTCACCTGCACATGTTGCACCGACTCATAAAGGGCAATTATTCAAATCCGATGATAGGATTTAATGCAAGCCTTACAGGGAACTCCAAAAGCTCTGAATAGTTGCTTGAGAATGATTCAATGGATCAATTTTTGGTGATGTTTCAAATAACTCCATTTCATTATTTTGTCATGACTTGTTTGTAAATGAATCTGGCAAATTCATTAGAGGAATATGTTCAATGAATATAGTTTATTCTTGAATATTCCTCCTCCTTTTACAAATTAATCCCAGAGCTCTTGACAGGTATGAACTTCTCACAATTCAGTTTCCAGCTCAAAATCTGTACAATGGCAATTTTGTAGTTTTACTGAAAAATGGTGGTGTTTTGATGGGATGGTTTGTTTTGCCAGCTCTTATAAGCATAGGCACTGTTCTAATTTTCTTAATGTTACAATTAGTACTTGGAGTTCATTGTGTACCTCTACATATTGTTTTGGGAAAAGGGATACAGATAATAAATATTGGTTGTATATATTTGTCATTAGGTAACTATCATTTTAATTTAATGTAACTATTGTCAAATATCTATTTTTAATTTTAGTATAGGAATTTTAATTTATCCTCTACATGAGTTGTATAGAGCTTTATGAAATTTATTTAACTTAAATGAATAAAAACAAACAAGTCTTACCCTGGACTGTTAGAATTAATCGTGCTACCGTAGAGTATAGAATCTAGCCACTCTTTTGGATTTCGTACTTTTAAGGGACCTTAACTAAGGCTTCGTGCGTGTACAAGGAAGAAATGACCAATAGAAGCTTGATAAGTGACAAACTTTACACTTTATTGAATGTAAACGATGAGAAAAATAAATAATTTTATATAACTATAAGAGTTTTATTATATAAATTTTGTAATTTTTAATTAGTTATTATAATTTAGATTAAGTTAGATTTATAAAGTAATTTTTAATTTTATTGTTTTTAGACTCACATTATTATAACTATGGATTTTAGAAAAATTTAAAATGAAAATTATAAGAAAAATATTATACTAGTCTGCTTAGAAACTAATACATAAAACAATAAACTTCTTTGATAAAGTAATAAGATAAATTTATCAAAATTTTGGCAATTTTTTTTTATATTTTTTTATTCAAAAATATAATAATATATCCAAATTGATTTATAACTTAATCAAACTAATCAAATTCCAAAATATTATAATATCAAAACTAAAATATTTAATACGTTTTTGGACTAAAAGGTTTAACTATTAAACAACTGTAGAATGTAAAAAATATAATAAAACAAAAAGAAAAAATGTAAGGCTATCAAAACAATGAAGGCCCACCAACGAAAGTTCTACTAAGAAGAACTGATATTCTTATTAACTTGTAACTCTACTATCTCATGATTTATAAATATTAAATAAAAAAAATTGAGTTATAAATATTCAATAAGAACATAATAATCATAATAAATAAAAAAGAAAAAGAAATATCACATGAGTAATTCGCAATCATAAAATATATGATTGTGATTAGAAGTTTTCAGTAATTAACACCTATAATTGCATTATTAATTTCAGGATATCATAATGGTGTAGTATGTGATAATGCTTAAACTAGCATTATTAACACCAAATTTTATGCAAAAGCTATAAATGACACAAAAACCTGAGATCTGAACAGTTTTTGACATTTAGCAACTTTATCTTCTAAAATTCTCTCTCTTTGCAAACCTTGAGGTAGAAGCACTTGCATCCTTGAGGAATCAAGTGTCTAGTTTATCAATTTTCATGGAGCCATTTTATATTTCTTCTTGTTTTATGATTTTTCTTTGTGTTGTTATGTGTAACTAACTTTTTTAATTAAGAAAAGAGAGATCTAAAACCTAACCTATATGTAATCTGAATTTTTACTTTTAATTCAAGTCTATTTATTTTAAATTGATTACTTATCTTTGCTTTTAAGGCCTCCATAAATTGGCTATTCTTAGTGGATCATAAATTTCTATTTGTAATTGGAAGATTGGGATAAGAATTAAAATTAAGATAAAGCAACATGATTGGAGGCACTATAGAGGTCAAAATTATGAAGTCCTAATACTTGTTTCAATTAGGATTTTCTAAGGAATTAGGATTTTTAATTTGAAAGAAGGGTTGTTGAGTCAAAGAATTGACTTTCAATTATACTTTTAGGTTAAGTTACTTAGGTGAAGATACAGTGAACTCATTTTCTGACGCTTTTAATATATTGATTTTTGATCATAAGTGTTGCTTTTGATAACTGTAAACATAAAAAAATCTTATTATCTCAATATAAATTTTACGATAGAATTTACCATAAATTTCATAATTGCTTTAGAAACAATTATCATTTCATTTAAATTGTTAGTCAAGTAGTAGAAAAATTGGAAAATTAATAATTGAGTTTCAATCTTCGTGAAAACGACATTTGACTGAACTATGAAAATGATCTTTACACTTGCCGCGATTTACACTCAACAAAGCTGAAGCAGATATAAGTATTCTTTAACAGTTAGCCAGTTCTGACAATAGTTACGACCTTAGTATTCTTGTCCTTATTCAATATAATATCAGATTTAACACAGCTCCACTGGAAATAAATTTTAACAACAGAGAGGATGTTGTTCAATCTGCATGGAAACTTATTCTAAGTCAGTGCTCACAATTGGTTTCAAGGTAGTTCAACCAAGTCTGCTAATTCTCAAAAAGCAGCACAGAATTTGCACAGTTTTATGTTATAAAATACCATTTACTCAAATATATGTGTGATATGTTTATATGTATGTTATGTTTACCTCAAACATTCTCACTTCTCGCTAATATTCTTCATCCGTGGGTGTTTCAGCATGATCACGGGAATTTGACTATGTAAAACTATTTTTTTTTTATAAGCACAAGAGTTTCATTAATTAAGTACTAGGAGTGCTTAATCCAAATTTACAAGTATTAAGTACCATATACTAAGTCTCACAAATTAACCCAAAAACAAACAATCTCTCATTGACCTAACCTTGTCCTATATAATAAGAAGGAAAATATGCTTTGAAGTAATAAATCCCTGTTATCATGCAGGAAAGAGCAATTCCATGGTAAGGACGGGTTCAGAGCACCAAATAAGGAATGAGAAACAGACTGTTTTAGCATGAGCTGTAAGAGCTTGCCATGTCTTCAATTTAATCATCTTCATTACTTTCAGGGTATCCAATTCACAATTAGAAAAAATAATTTCATTTCTATATTTCCAAATATACCACAATGTCAAGCTTCAAATAACCAAAGTTACTTTCCACCGTTTCTTACCCGGTACCAGCTTAGAAAAACTAATAGCGTTCTATACTAAGGAAGAATATGAGCATATTGAATCATTCAACCAAGCTGAAATGCCCTCCACCCTAAACAACTATTATATTGGACGATTCAGGTTTGATGGTCTTCTTTTAAGAAAATAATAATAAAACATTTGAAGTTTGAACACATACACGTATGAGATGGGGTAAAGACTTTGAATTGTTTGCTAAAATCAAGGGTTTTTGTATTCATTTTATCAAACAAGCAGGTTATTTGACTACTTTTGCTTGGAATGACCAAAGAAAAAGCTGTTTTGTATGCTTATGATACTCGTAGTTGAATTCTTATCATCAACTTTCAAAAAACTATCTGACTCAATGAACATTCTTTCTTTCATGATTATTGTTCTAGCAATTAATTCTATAATTGATGGGCATAACCCAAATCAGATACTTTCTTCAGCAATGTCTAGTATTTTATGTGATACATATGAAGCCTGTGGTGCCTTTGGTATTTGCATAAGTACAGGACAAGTGTGTCAATGTTTAAAAGGGTTCAGTCCAAAGTCACCACAAGAATGGAACTCATCAAATTGGGCTAAAGGATGTGTCCGTATTAAACCGTTAAGCTGCTACAATGAATTTAGTTCTGAAACCACAGATGGGTTTATCAAATATGAAGGCCTCAAAGTGCCTGATACAAATCATACTTGGGTGGATGAGCGTATTGATTTAGATTTATGCCGATACATCTGCTTGAAAAATTGTTCTTGTATGGCCTATGCTGTTTCAGACATAAGCTCAGGTAGTGGTTGTGTAATTTGGTTTGGGGATCTAATTGACATCAAACAGTTTCCAACTGGTGGCCAAGATCTATATATTCGGATGGATGCTTCAGAGTTAGGTGAATACTTTGTGAACATTTCTCCTAAGCACTTACATGATTCCTCATATTCACTCTTTCAATTTGAAGATTTATTAACTTTTTTTTCTTTCCATGAAGATTCTCTGGTTCAACGAGGCCACTACAGAAGAGTGAGAACAATAATTGCTTCCACAATTGTGGCAATATGTGTGATACTTTTATTTTGCATTCACATGGTTTGCTGGGTCCGAAAGAACTATGCTGGTAATTTATTCCTCACCTCATTCATTATTTTTACTAAGATATACACATATGTTATACATACATACACACACAAAAACAAAAACAAACACATACATGGAAGACTAGAAATACTTCTAATTCTCAAGAAACACTATGTAATCATTGATTGACGAGGAATTAGAGGTTAAGTGGCTTTTTAACATGGCAATGAATCTCAAACTTGCTACATATTTAAGAAATTAAATTCACACAAATATATTTTCTGTTTCCTTCTCTAAATTGAATGTTGCATGTTTATCTACATTAACTGGTTCAATCCCTCCCCATGTTTCATAATGTTACTGAATGAATTTCCCTGTCTTCATTTTTATAGATAAGTCAAAGATAAAAGATAACATTGAAAAATATCTAGAGGATCTGGATCTGCCGTTGTTTGATCTGCAAACAATCACTACTGTCACTAATAATTTTTCATTGAATAATAAGATAGGACAAGGTGGTTTTGGACCTGTATATAAGGTAATTCAATATTTAAGTACTTAACAAAGAAATGTATACATGTTGTAAAAGCATCAACTCGTGTGAGTGTGATTATGCAGGGAAAATTACCAGATGGACTAGAAGTTGCTGTCAAGAGACTTTCAAGTAGCTCTAGACAAGGAGTGACCGAGTTCATAACAGAAGTAAAACTGATAGCGGAACTTCAACACCGTAATCTTGTAAAGCTTCTTGGTTGTTGCATTCGAGAACACGAAAAGATATTGGTATATGAATACATGGTTAATGGAAGCTTAGATTCCTTCATTTTTGGTATGTATCATGTGTTTTCTTTTTTTCTTGTACTTCTGTCATATTTTGTGGTTTATCTTGAATCTCTAATATTGAATAACATATTTGCTTTATTAAAAAAAGACCAAATAAAAGGTAAATTGCTGGATTGGCCACGACGCTTCCACATAATATTTGGAGTTGCTAAGGGGCTTTTGTATCTCCATCAAGATTCCCGATTAAGGATTATTCATAGAGATCTCAAAGCAAGTAATGTTTTACTCGATGATAAGTTAAATCCAAAAATATCAGATTTTGGAATGGCTAGAGCTTTTGGTGGTGACCAAATAGAAGGAAACACCAATAGAATAGTTGGAACATAGTGAGTATTTGTCTAAAACTATACAACACCATATACTTACTATTTTACTTTATGTAAATTCATTTTCTTTAATTGTTTTTTGTAGTGGGTACATGGCTCCAGAGTACGCTGTTGATGGGTTGTTTTCGATCAAATCTGATGTTTTTAGCTTTGGTATTGTATTGCTGGAAATTATATGTGGGATAAAAAATAGAGCTCTTTGTCATGGAAACCAGACTCTTAACCTTGTCGGTTATGTAAGCACTTAGATAAATTTTTTTTTGTTGATGCTAAAGTTGATATGTGATTAAATTTTTCCTTCTTTTGTGATGAAGGCATGGGCACTTTGGAAACAGGGAAATGCTTTACAGTTGATGGACTCAAGGATAAATGACTCTTGCATTATCTCAGAAGTGTTGCGGTGCATCCATGTTAGTCTCTTATGCGTGCAACAATATCCAGAAGATAGGCCTACCATGACCTCAGTAGTTCAAATGTTAGGGAGTGAGATTGAACTGTTTGAACCTAGAGAGCCTGGTTTCTTTCCAAGGAGGACTTGTGATGAAGGAAAGTTAAACTCAAAGAAAAACAACATGATTTCAAATGATGAATTAACCATTACATCTTTAAATGGGAGGTAAAAATTAGGGTTACCCGCATATGTTGTGCTGAAACATAAAGGGTGATTAATTGATTATTTAAAATCAACAATAGGTTTTACAGCAAGCCCTACAAGAAGCTCTAGGAACTCCGAATGGTTGCGTGAAAATGATTCAATATCAATTTTTTGTTTCACGTAATTTCATTTCATTTTTTTTATGAAATGCTTGAAAATGAATCTAGAGAATTCATTAGAGGAATGTTTCCAATAAATTTTGTTCTTAGATATCCCTACTGATATAAATCTACAGAATGTTTATGACATCTTGTTATACAGTAAGTTATAACAGATACATGTCCTACTTTAGGCTTCATTATCAATGTGGCTCATCACTGTGCGAGTGACCTTACGTACTTATCCATAACTGCTACGACAAAATATTCATGGTTCGAATAAGATGAAACATAGAACACAAAGCAAGCTTCCATGAAATTATGTCACATATCATAGGGTAATTCCTAATAGAAGATAGCTGCTTCTTTTGGCTTGTACTCACAAATTTGGATCTTGGTTTAGTATTTCTTCCCTTTGAATCATGCATGTTAAAGAAGTTCTACGTTGATTGATTCTTGCAACTTTGGATTTCGTTTAGATAGTATCAAGCTGTTAACATGAATTTCCATATCATTGGTCACTTGCTGCAATTATAAACAATGTGGTTAGTTTTTATTTATCTTATTTTGATAGTGAGTACTTGAACTTATAGACGCATTACTTCCTTCAGTATTACCTACTAGTCTCTCATTCTTGGTTTTAATAATTCTCTCATATGCAAATGCACACTTGATCTTACTTGCCCCTCGATATTAAATGTGAGATTTTCACCTTTGTCCTATGCTTTCATCTTTTGCTGTTCATTTACTAACAAGAAGACCGTACATGAGAAGCTGATTTATCTTACCAAGAAAATTAAATTTCAAAAATCACATCATCAAGTGACATATTTTATCAGTTATTTAGAAGATTGACACACTATCAAAATTTGAACTATGAGAAAAATTAAGGCCACTATAGACTACATAGTTTGGGTAAACTAGAATTACTATAATGAGAATAGAGGCACTCCCAAACTTGAAAAATTTCCTTGCTAGATGACATATTAATAGATAACTTTTTGGTAAGTGCACAAAATCGTTAAAGTAACAAAATAGATTTTTGGTCCATATAAATTAATGTCAAGTACCAAATCACAAGAATATTACTAGTTGGGTTGAACACAAAGTTGTAATGTGAACTAAAAAATTAACTAAAGTGCAGAATATAAAAATATAAATGCTAAAAAACTATAATTAACTATAAAAATGAAATTTCAAATGTAAGGAGCTAATTAATAATAAAACTAAATTGTAATATATAACTAAAGAAGATAATGAAATTGAGTTGTAAATTAATTAAAAGGTGGGTTGAGTTTAGAATTCCTTATCTTTTTCCTATTGCATAAAATATGTATATAATCTAAAATACAGCTCAATTTAATGGTCAGGTTTCTAAAATATTCAACTTCAATTCCTTGGTTAATTAGTTCTAAAACGCATTTAGCTTCTTAATCCCTTAGATAAAACTAAAAAAGTTCAGCATTAAGATTAAAACTCAAATGACTACATTATTAAAAACTTCTATTCCTAGATAATTTATAACAAACATTTTGATTTCAATCCAAGAAAGTTCACAACTTTTCAACAATAAACTCCTTTTCATCAACTCAATTCACGTAAAACAGAGAAACATTAAGTTCAGAATCAAAATGTTAGATTAAAACTTATATCTTGAGTTACATTCAATGCTTAGTTCATTGCAATAGGTAAAAGAATAAATTCATCCTTCCTCAACTCCAAGATATTTAGCAAGATATAATGGAAATAAAGAAGAACAAACTGAAATATATTGCAAAAAAGAAAATCATATTCAATAGAAAAAGCTTATAACAGAATATAAAGTGTAGGAAGTTATTGTTCCATTACAATTTAAGGAGAATGAAGGGATGTAACCCAACTTCTCATCAAAATCCTATAGCAAAGAAAGAAAAAAAATATCCTAGCTAACATTCCTACAAAAAACTATACGAAAGCCTAATATTTTGTGCTATGAAAGTGTAATGGTAAAAGTAAAAATAAAGATAAAATATGTTGTCTTTAGTAAAAAAATATGCTTTTATATGTTCTATCAGCATTGTGTCCCCATAATAAAAAATACATGTGTCCACAAATTTGTACTACAACAATTCAACTTCTACTCTTTAAATCTAATTGTCAATTTTCTTATAATCCCTTAAAAAATTAAATGTCAACCATTAATATTTGAATAATTTATCAAATTTACAGCAATTACACGTTTCATTGAATATTTCAATTAATTACATCAATTTATAAGTTTAATTCAATGAAATGAACCAAATTTTTTTTAATTTTCTATATGAGTCAATGACTTATCATTAATCCATAACTAATCCTACTTACACAACTCTTACGTTGACAATTGAACCTAATCTAACAGATAATAAGACATCTACATTCAAGTTTTACACTATAAAGTCATCTAAATTCAAGTAAAACATAAGGCATGATAATCATAAAACATTGTGAATGCATGAGTTCTATAAACAACTTTACTCTCTCTGTGGGAGCACGGGCAACATTTATATTGTTAAAAAACCTATTAGTACAATCAAATGACTTCCAATTTCAAAATTAAAAAGTAATCATTATTATTATAGTAACAATAGAAAAAGAATTGCCAAAATAGTTATTATTATAGTAACTAGTAGAAAGAATTATTATTATAGTAATAATAAGGAAAGAAAATTGAGCAACAGAATCACGTTGTGTATATGCGCGTCACTGTAACTTAAAGTATTGAACACGGAAATTTTAACTACTCCACAACTATTTTATTAGATTATTCATGTGTGATATAGCACGCATGGGTCTTCTTTTGAAAAAAAAAAAGAAAAGAGTTTGAACATTATATGAGGACATAGTTTGACAGACTGGTCCACTAAAATGATGTTGCATGTGCTTGTCATAACCATATTAAAATAATAACACCAAAGACAGATCATGTGGAGGCATAGGTATAGGTAAGTTTGACTAAGTACAAGGAACCATATTCTAGCCTTCTTGGTCATCTTTTGTGTGCTTATGATAGATACACCTAGTTAAATCCTTATCATCAACATCTAAGAAACATCAGTGACTCAATGGACATTCTATCTTTCATGATTATTATTGTACACATACTTCTTCCTACTTTCAAATTTTCCATAGCAATTAAATCAATCAATGTGTCACAGTCTATCACTGATGGCCAGACCTTAGTGTCCAATGGTGGAGTCTTTGAGCTTGGTTTCTTCAGCCCAGGTAATTCTACTAAACGTTATCTTGGGATTTGGTATAAAAGCATTCCTATTCGAAATGTTGTTTGGGTTGCAAACAGGGAAAATCCAATCAATGATTTCTCAGGCAAATTAAAAGTGAACAGCACAGGAAATCTTGCGTTGAGCCAAAACGGCTCTGTCGTTTGGTACACAACCTCTCAAAAACAAGCACAGAATCCAGTGGTAGAGCTCTTGGATAATGGAAATCTTGTGATAAGAAATGAAGGAGGACCAAACCAAGAACAGTACATTTTGTGGCAAAGCTTTGATTATCCATCTGATACACTCTTGCCAGGGATGAAGTTGGGATGGGATCTTCGAACCAGTTTTGAACGGAGACTAACATCTTGGAAGAGTTCAAATGATCCATCATTAGGAAACTTATCTTGGGTTCTAAAGCTCTATAATTATCCTGAGTTTTATATTATGAAAGGGAAATTGAAGTACATTCGCATTGGACCGTGGAATGGACTTCATTTTAGTGGCTTATCTGATAGAAAACCAAATCCATTATATGATTTCAAGTATGTAGCAAATAATGATGACAACTATGAATCCAATAAGGATGAGATGTTCTATTCATTTTTCTTGAAGAATTCTTCTTTCATTGGTAGTGTCAAAATATCGCCAACCAATCTTTCTATCTATGTATGGATGGAGGATAAGCAGTCATTGATGCCTTATGAAACAATCCCACGTTACTTCTGTGATGTGTATGGCACCTGTGGAGCCAATGGAATATGTACGATTACATATTCTCCAGTATGCGTATGTTTGGAAGGGTTTGTTCCAAAGTCACCAGAAGAATGGGGCATAATGGACTGGAGTAGAGGATGCATCCGCAGTAAATCATTAAGCTGCGACAACTATGATTTGCATGAATTTGTCAAATTTGTAGGTTTGGTAGTACCAGATACATCACAAACTTGGATGGATGAGAATATTGATTTAGCGGAATGCAGACTCAAGTGCTTGAGCAATTGCTCTTGTACAGCATACGCTAATTCAGACATAAGAGGAAAAGGTAGTGGCTGTGTCATATGGTTTGGTGATCTAGTTGACATGAAACAGTTTCAAACAGGTGGGCAAGATCTATATGTTAGGATGCCTGCATCTGAGTTAGGTAACATTATTCCTTTATATTGCATTCTTCTCATTTTGGAAAATGCATGGTCACTTCTTCAATATGAGGTTTTAACTTCAAGTTTTTTTGTTTGATCTATGTCAACCTGAAGAGCCTCTGCCTCAACATGGGCATCACCAAAGAATGAAAAGAATAATTGCCATCACCTTTGCTGCAATTTGTGGGGCGCTTTTACTTTGCATTTATGTCATATACAGAGTTCGGAGGAACATTACTGGTAAATTAATCTTCACTCATATTACCACCATTAAAATTATTGAAGACCCTCTCTACTTATGTGTGTGCGCGCCCGCTCAAATTGGAATTTAGAAATACTATCTAATTCTCAAGAAACACTTTTGGTATAATAATTTCTTATGGTGAATTTGAGGCCAACCAGATTTTTAACATGGCAATAGGTCTCAGTTTTTTAATGATCTGAAGTTACAACTTGCTACAGATCTAAGAAATTGAAATCACACAATAAACTAAATGTTAAATATTTATCTACTTTGACAATTTGAATTCCTTCCTCATGTTTCATATCCTTTCTGAATGCCTTTTCTCTATCTTCCATTTCCCAGACAAGTCAAAGACAACAATAGATAACATTGACAGACAACTAGAGGATCTGGATCTGCCGCTGTTTGATCTGCTAACAATCACAATTGCCACTAATAGTTTCTCTCTAAATAATAAGATTGGACAAGGTGGTTTTGGACCTGTATACAAGGTAACTCAATATTTAAGTACTCAACAGAGAAAGAACAACTAATGAAGGATTGATATTATAAAAAGTATCCACTCTCATGAATGTGATTATGCAGGGAAAATTACCGGATGGACAAGAAATTGCTGTCAAGAGGCTTTCAAGAACCTCCGGACAAGGAATGCCCGAATTCATCACAGAAGTAAAACTGATTGCGAAACTTCAACACCGAAATCTTGTCAAACTTCTTGGTTGTTGCATTCGAGGACAGGAAAAATTACTAGTATATGAATACATGGTTAATGGAAGCCTAGACTCTTTCATTTTTGGTATGCAATATGAAGAATGAGTAGATTAGATGCGCTTGTGTTTTTTTATTTCATTCATATATGGCACGGCCTATTAGTCTTAAATATCTAATATTGAATAGCATATTTGCTTTGCAACAAAACAGATAAAATAAAAGGTAAACTACTAGATTGGCCTCAGCGCTTCCACATTATATTTGGAGTTGCTAGAGGACTTTTGTATCTTCATCAAGATTCACGATTAAGGATTATTCATAGAGATCTCAAAGCGAGTAATGTTTTACTTGATGATCAGTTAAATCCAAAAATATCAGATTTTGGAATGGCTAGAGCTTTTGGAGGAGACCAAACTGAAGGAAACACAAACAGAGTAGTTGGGACATAGTGAGTGTTTGTCTAACTATACAACACCACATTTGTATTTTTCTATTTCATGTGATTGACTTCACTCTAATTGTTTCTTGCAGTGGATACATGGCCCCAGAGTATGCTGTTGATGGGCTATTTTCAATCAAATCTGATGTTTTCAGTTTTGGTATTTTATTGTTGGAGATTATATGTGGGAACAAAAATAGAGCTCTTTGTCATGGAAATGAGACTCTTAACCTTGTTGGTTATGTAAGCACTCAGATAACATTTTATTTATTGTTGATGCTAAAGCTGAAATGAAAGTGAATAACATTTTCCTTCTTTTATGATTAAGGCATGGACGCTTTGGAAAGAGGGAAATGCCTTACAATTGATTGACCAAAGCATGAAGGACTCCTGTGTTATCTCTGAAGTGCTCCAATGCATACATGTTAGTCTCTTATGCGTGCAACAATATCCAGAGGATAGGCCTACCATGACCTCAGTAGTTCAAATGTTAGGCAGTGAGAAGGAATTGGTTGAGCCTAAAGAGCCTGGTTTCTTTCCAAGGAGGACTTCTGGTGAAGAAAATTTAAGCTCAAATGAAAAAGAAATGACTTCAAATGATGAATTAACCATTACATCTTTAAATGGTCGGTGAAAATTCATTGTAAGCATGGATCTAAGACAGAAGTTATAATTAATAGTGTTGAATTAAATGTTTATCCATGACTCACTCATTAATTTTATTTAAAATACTCCTATTATTAATTCGGTTATAAGAGAGAAAAAGTGCATTTTAGACAAACATAACTTAAACTTAAAGTGACAATAGATACATTGATAAATTAACTCTATAAAATTTTACAAATTTAAAAATTATTTTATATTTCATCAAATAGTTTATTTTAACATATCTATACTTGTTAATCATTTGTCTAAGCTATTCAATAGGGTAAATAATTTCATTCTAAGTAGACTAATGGGATTCTGTTTATTAAAAATTGATACAATTTTTAAAAAATGTTTTAACTTTATTAGGTTACTTGAGATGGAGGTATTTTCCCCCATCGGGTGATTTAGACAGACTCACTTTTTGAAATATAAAATACATATTAGCTGTAAGATTATATTTTTATGAATGTTTAATTTATTTAAAATTTACCATTAAGATAATATTATATGATTCAATAATTGAATTAATAAAATTTAGTATCTATAAAAAATATTAAGTAGAATAAATTAAATAAAACTTACTGGTAGAGTTAGAAAAGGGATCCACTTACTTTATGAAAACTTACTCTGTTTAACAATCTTCTATATATTGACACCAAATTTTATTAATTTAATTGTTAATTTAAGAGTTCTTAATGAGTAGATCAAGTTTGAGATTAATGAATTAGTCATTTAGTCCATAAATTAAAAAAGAATAATCTGATGTTTGTCCTAATTTTACAAAAATGTAATTTATTTTAGTCTTTTTTAAATGTAAAATAATATTAAAAGATGACATAGAAATGAATTTTTGAATATAAGATGGAGGGACCAGTTCTGTCTCAAGAATTGAAATGGAGTTTGCTTCTACAACGGAGAGAAAGTTTAGATATCCATATTTATAGTGGTCCTAGAATTCTATTTTTCTCTATATTTAAAACAAACATAAAAAAATTTGAGACCATGACGATCGCAAAGGTGGTCAACTATGGCAGCATCCCTTATCTCTTCGTGAGAAATTATGCATGTATATAAAAAGAAAAGATTTTGTTACCCTCAGATGACTGAATGTAAGCATCTCAAAATAAAAAAAATTTATAAAAAAATATATAATTATTATATTAAAATTATAAAAATATAACAAATATTTTTTAAAATAAAATTTTATTATTATTAGCTGCTTATTCTTAATATTAAAAATTAAAATAAAAAGAACTGGTTATGAATACAATCTTTCAAGCATATTTTTGAACACATTTTATAATTGATGAGATTTTTAAAAATAATTAATTTATAAGATAAATACTTTGAGTTTTCAAAAAATAAACCAGTGTGTTGAAGAGTCTATTTAAAACAAGTATATGCCTACTTGCCAGCATTTCTCTTAAAAAAATCATAAGGGAGGTTGCGGTCAATTATGAGAATCTTCCACTAGTTAATCACTCTTAGTTAATCATTAAAAAAACAAGGATAAATTCATTTCAAACATTATCATTAGCTTTTGCTTATGTTCTTTCACTATCCTATTTTTCTTTGCTATTTAATTCAAATTTTCTAACATTCTCGTCAGCTTCATGGACTATTTTGGTTGATGGTTCAAGCAAGTAAACTAAGAGACATAAAATGTCTAACGATGGTGAACCAATGGAAACAATTTGACGAACACGTACAACTCTTGTTATGCAAGCAAGTTGAAATCTATATGGCTAGTAAAATAAGTTCATAGAATGCTATGCTTGACTTCGTAATAGCATTCAGGTGAGTTTCTCTTTCTCTGCTTGTTAATCACACATTCTACTCCTGTCATATCAGCTTTAAAAACATAGAATACAAGATGTGGAATTTAATGGACTTGCTTTTTCTCGTGATTATGGTTGTTTCTATCATGAGAGTTTCTATAGCAGTTGATTCTATTAATGTGTCCCAGTCCATTAGTGATGACAAGACCTTGGTGTCTCAAGGTGGAACATTTGAGCTTGGTTTCTTCAGCCCAGGTGGTTCTAACAACAGTTACTTGGGTATTTGGTACAAGAACATCCCAGATAAGAAAGTTGTTTGGGTTGCAAATAGGGAAATTCCCATCAATGGTTCCTCAGGTATGTTAACAGTGAACAGCACAGGCAACCTTGTACTTAGCCAAAATGGCACTGTTGTTTGGAATACAACGTCTAGAAAACAAGCACATAATCCAGTGGTGGAGCTTTTGGACAGTGGTAATCTTGTGGTAAGAAACGAGGGAGATGCAAACCCAGATGACTATTTGTGGCAAAGCTTTGACTATCTGTCTGATACAGCATTGCAAGAGATGAAGTTGGGAAGGAACCTTCAACTTGATATACCTTGGACATTAACATCATGGAATAGTCCAGTTGATCCATCCATAGGAGACCTATCTTGGGTTTTACTGTTACATGATTATCCTGAGTATTACATGATGAAGGGAACAGAAAAGTTCTTCAGGATTGGACCTTGGAATGGCCTATATTTTAGTGGAACACCAGGTTTACGACCCAACTCTATCTTTGATTTCAGCTATGTTGCCAATATGGATGAAATTTTCTACACATATACCCTAACAAACAAATCTGTTATTTCCATAGCTGTACTAAACCAAACCACCAATAAGTTTTATCGCTATGTATGGGCAGAGGGTGATCAAAATTGGAGGACTTTAAATTCCATCCCAACAGACAACTGTGACACTTATGGCCTATGTGGAGTCAACAGCAATTGCATGATTACACAAGTACAAATATGCCAATGTTTACAAGGGTTTAATCCAAAGTCACCACAAGCATGGAACTCAACAAATTGGACTCAAGGATGTGTCCGCAATAAACCATTAAGCTGCAAAGACAAACTCACAGATGGGTTTATCAAATATGAAGGAATGAAAGTTCCAGATACTACATATACTTGGGTGGATGAGACTATAGGCCTAGACGAATGCAGAGTCAAGTGCTTGAATAATTGTTCTTGTATGGCTTATACTAATTTAAACATAAGTGGAACAGGTAGTGGCTGTGTCATGTGGCTTAGTGATCTAATTGACATCAGACAATATGAAAATTCTGGGCAAGATCTATATATCCGGATGCCGGCCTCAGAGTTGGGTAAGGATCATGAACTTTGCTCAATAATACTCCCATTGTTCTTAAAGGTTCAATTGCAACTTAGAAAACCTTAGTTTACTCTAACTTTGGGTTTTTTTTATTGAAGGATCTAACCAAGAACCTGGACATGGACACAAGAAGAACACGGCAACAATAGTTGCTACTACCATTGCTGGAATTTGTGTGGTTCTTTTACTATGTACTTATTTCATCTACAGACGCCGGAGAAAAACTGCTGGTAAATACTTGTTTAACTACAAAAGAATATGACTTCACTATTCTATATGTAAAATTTTTAATTATAAGTACTACAAATTGAAAATCCTCATGGTTTAGTGATCATGTAACAGCGAATAGCAGGTAAAGTCTCATTAATACATGCCATAGGATCTGATTCATATTACGAGCTACAGTTTAATAACATGGTAGATATTGAATGTAATGAGATCATAAAATATACTTTTGTTTTTCCTTCTCTTATATTAGTATGTATCCATTATAATTATTTCAATACTCTCCCCACGTTTTATAATATTACTGAAGGCTTTTCTTTATTTTGTAGAGGATTTATTAACAGAACAAAACAATGAAAGACATGTGGATGACTTGGATGTCCCATTGTTTGATTTGCCAACAATTACTGCTGCAACCAATGGCTTCTCCTTAAAAAATAAGATTGGAGAAGGTGGTTTTGGACCTGTATACAGGGTAATCATTCTTTATGTACTATTACCACAGAAAGAAGCTAGAGAAATATAAATATTATTGCGAAGCATCAACTCATGAGTGTGAATATGTAGGGAATACTAATGGATGGCCAAGAAATTGCAGTGAAGACTCTATCTAGTAGCTCCGGACAAGGATTGACAGAGTTTCTAAATGAAGTGAAACTGATTGCAAAACTACAACATCGAAATCTTGTGAGACTTCTTGGTTGCTGCATTCAAGGACAACAAAAAATGTTGGTTTATGAATACATGCCAAACACCAGCCTAGACTCCTTCATTTTTGGTATGGAAAATCAAGCTTAGATTTGGCTGTTAGTTTTTAGTAACGTCAGCGATATAAACGGATGGCTAAAGTTGAATTTTCAATATTTCATAACACAACTCATTTGCTTTGAATCAAACAGATGGTATAAAATCTAAATTGCTAGAGTGGCCTCAACGCTACCACATAATTGATGGCATTGCGAGGGGGCTTATGTATCTCCATCAAGATTCCCGGTTGAGGATTATCCATAGAGATCTCAAAGCAAGTAATGTTCTACTTGATGAAAATTTGAATCCAAAAATATCGGATTTTGGTATGGCAAGAACTTTTGGAGGAAACCAAACTGAAGGAAACACAAATAGAGTAGTTGGAACCTAGTGAGTGTCTCACTATCTAGCACCATTTTGTTTATTATCATTATTATTGTCATTTGCAAATATATGATTTTATTTTCTTTTAATGATGTCTTGCAGTGGGTATATGGCACCAGAGTATGCTGCTGATGGGCTATTTTCAGTGAAATCTGATGTCTTTAGTTTTGGCATTCTAGTGTTGGAGGTTATATGTGGAAGGAGAAATAGAGGACTTTATCATGCAGATGACAGTCTTAACCTTGTTGGCCATGTAAGAGCTTAAATACATTTTCACTTTATTCAGGGTTTGTCTAAGTTATCCCATTGGATAAATAACTCCATTTCAGGTGAACTACTGAAGTTAAGATATTATATTAAAAATTGTAGCAAGTTTTTATCTAACTTTTTCTAGACAAAATCTCATTAGTCCACCCGAGATGGGGTTATTTTCTCTTTCAGTGTTTCAATTCACATTTGAATGATCATAGATCCACATTTACATCAAAGTTAAGTAGACAAACCCATTTATGAATGTGACATTGAAATATATCCAACAATCATATCTCTATTGTTTTTTGGTTTGGTGATATAGGCATGGACAACATGGAAAGAGGGCAAGGCAATAGACTTGATCGACTCAAACATAAAGAAGTCATGCAATGAATCAGAAGTATTGCGTTGCCTCCATGTTAGTCTTTTGTGCGTGCAGCAGTACCCTGAAGACAGGCCTACAATGGCTTCTGTGATTCTAATGTTGGGGAGTGAAATGGAATTGGTGGAGCCAAAAGAACCTGGTTTTGTTACTAGGAATGTTTCAGTTGATACAGATTCACGCTCAAATCAGAAGGATGCAAGTTCAACTAACGAAGTCACCATTTCCTTGTTAGAAGCTCGATGAAACTTTTTCAAAAGTTGGTTGGAGATAACACTAACTTGGTTGCTCGTTTGAAAGAAACAGGGGAGAGAGATCATTTTATTCAAATGTTTTGTTTGGTTCATAAATTTGGAGTGAAGAAAGGAAATAGGGAGCTAATATCTCTTCCCTTCTATATTCACATAGTTTTCACTATTTGTTTAAGAGTTGTATTATTTTTACGATAAAATTCTACAGCAAATTTTTATAACAATAAATATCTCTTTATATTTTTTATTACATCACCTTTGAGTTTCCCTTTTTTTTTTTTCTATCTCGAGATATGTTATTCTCATGATAAATTTATATAATAACAAAAAAATAATTCCTTATTCTCTTTCTGTTTTTCTCTAATTTGTAATAAAAAGAGCAATGCTAACGTTATTCTTCCTATAATTAATATTTTAAAAAGTAATCATTTTATGAGATATTTTGACTTTTTGAAAAATAAATCAATCACAAATAGTGTTTTACTATACTTACATTTCATTTTTTTTTCTACCTACAAAAGTTTATATTTTAATCCTTACACATAAAACATCATTTTTATTTTAATTTGCAAAAAAAATATTAATACAATTATAAGCTTAGTGGATGACAGTTTATGAAAACAAAGTCTTTTACACAAATAGTAAAATATAGCTTTTTTATACAAATATTAAAAGACAACTATCCAATATAAAAACTAAAATACCATATTAATCATTCAAATATTTTATAAATATAACTAACTTGATGAAACGATAGATAATTTATTTTATTTTATTTTATTCTAGAACAGCCAAATCTATTTTTTAGTGGAGTGTATAGATTTTATTAAAGAATCAATTATCAACAAATCCTTGGACTTTTAGTTGTATATACGTTGTATTTCAATCAAACAAAATTCAACTACAAAATTCAAAGTCATGTTAAAGCAGAACATTCTGAAACACGCGGTTCTAGAACCCAGGTGGCGTCAAATGTTGCAACTCTAAACAATGACTCTCAGACCATATAATTGTCTCATTGGATGCACAACAAAGTGCAAAGAAATGTTATTCATTGCTTTGACTCTGCGCCAAGTTATTTATTTATAGGCCTGTCTTCAAATGAGACACGTATAGTTAATGTGCTTTTATTTCAAGCCCAATATTACTGAAAAATCATTTTATTATTTTCAGTTTTTTAAATTTAATTTAGTATTAAAAAATTATAATTTTTTTGATAAAATAAAATATTTAAAAGTTTAATTTTAATGTAATAACGGTTTAAACATTATATTGTGAATATGATTTTTATATTAATTGTTATAAAATCAACCATTCTTGCTTTCATGGTAACCAAAGAATATGAAGGCAGTAGTCTCTACGCCGTAAGCATTGATACTAACATGGCATTCACATCCACGAGCTTCCTGGCTCTAAGCGCAGAGTTACGGAGGAAAGAAAAGAATAAATAAGAAAAGAGGGAAGCAAGCAAAAATGAAGGTAAAGAAGGAAGAAAGAATAGAAAGAAAAGAAGATGAAAGAACAAAAGGAAGGAAAAAAAGAATGATGAAAAAAAAAAAAGAAGCAAAAAAGAAAGAATAAGAGCAAACAAAAGAGATTAAAAAAGAGATTAAAAAAGAGATTAAGGTGCCAAAGAAAGAAGAAGAAAAGAGGGTAAGTAAGAAAGAAGGTAGATACACGGAAAAAAAAAACATAAAAAGAAAGAAGGGAAGAAAGAATTAAAAAAAGATAACAAGAAGAAAAAAGAAGAAGAAGAAAACAAGATAGAAAGAAAGAAGGATAGGTAGAAATAATTAGAAAAAGGAAGTAAGAAAAAAAAATGAAATTAAAAAAGAAAGAAAAAGTGTAAAGAAGGAAAGAAAAAAGAAAGAAAATAAGTAAAACATAAAAAAAAAGAAAAGAAAAGAAAAGGAAACATGAAAAAAAAGAAGACCAAGAGATAGATAAAAAGACAAGCTATTAAGAAAGAAATAAGAAAAAATGTATAAAAGAAAGAAAGAGGGAAAGAAAGAAAAAAGAAAAGAATAAAAAAAAGACAAAAAGAAAGGAAAAGGAAGAAAGAACGAAAAAATGTAGGAAAGAAAGAAAATGGAAAAGAAAAAAAAAACAAAAGAAAGGATGAAAGAGAGAACCAAAAAAGTAAGAAAGAAAGAGAAAAAAAAACTAAAGAAATAATGGAAGAAAGAAGGAAAGAGGAGAGAAAAAGAAGAAAGAGAAAAAATAAAAAAAGAAAGAAAGAAAAAAAGAGTGAAAGAAAGAAAACAAAATGGAAAAGAACACAAAAAATAAAGAACAAGAGAAAAAAAAAAGAATACAAGTAAAAAAGGAAATAAATAAAAGGAAGAAAAAAAGATCAAAGAAAAAAGAAATGAAGTAGAAAAAAAAATAAAGAATGTAAAAAGTAATAAAAAAATAAGGAGAAATGAGATAAAAAAAGTATGAAAGAAAGAAGTGAAGAAAGCAAAAGTAAAAAGAAAAGGAGAAAGAGAAGAAGAAAAAAAAGAAAGAAACTAAAAAAAAAAAACAAGTAAGAAAAGAAGAAAGAAAGAGAGCAAGAAAAAAAAATGAAGGGAAAAAGAATGGAAAGAAAGAAAGAAAATTAAAAAAATTAAAAAAAAATTAAGAGAGATCAAAGAAAGAAAGGGAGAAAACAAAAGAAGTAAGAAAAAAAGAAAACAATAAAAAAATAATGGAAGCAGAAGAAAATAGGGCAAGAAAAAAAGAAAGAAGGAGAAATGCAAGAAAGGAAGGACATAAGGAAAGAAATTATAAAAAATAAAAATAAAAAAGAAAGAAAGAAGACAAGAAGAAAGAAAACAAGCAAGAAAAAAAAAGGTAATAATGCAAGAAAAATTGAAAAGAAAGGAAGAAAAAGAAAAAAGGGTAAGAAACAAGAAAAGAAGGCAAAAAAGAAAGAAAGAAAACAAGAAAAATGAATTGTGTAACTATATGTAAATTTATATAAATGCAAGAAAATAATGTATTCTAATGCCATGTATCCACAATAATAAAAGGGAAGTAATGAAAGCAGCTTACAAAGAGGCAAAGAAGAAGAATTGTAAGGCACTCTTCCTAATATAACAATGTTTAATGATTAAAAATTTGAGAAAATTGCTATTGCTACTTATGCCAAGGAAGCATGGGAAGCTCTTGAGAAGAGTTATGCCAGTGATAGGAAAATTAAGAAGGTGATGCTTCAATCTCTTAGAAGATAATATGAGTTGTTTCAGATGGAGAACTCAGAGAAGGTATCTGAGTATCTTACCTGATTAATCACTCTTGTCAATCAAATGAAATCCTATGGAGAAACCTTCAAGAATCAAGTCTTAATTGAGAAGGTGTTGATGACTCTCACTCCCAGGTTTGATCATATTGTGGTAGCCATCAAAGAATCCAAAAACTTGAAAGAAATGAGTGTTGAATAACTCTAAGGTTATTTGAAGGCTCATTAGATGAGATTGGTAGACAGAAGATGTGAGAAATCAACTGATCAAGCTCTCTATACCATGTCAAAAGGCGGAGGGGCACTGATAAAAAGAAAGACAATAAAGGAAAGGGTAAGTTTCAACAACAAGGCTGGTCACACAAGAAGGATTACCAAGAATCTGAGAAGAAATCAGAGTGGTAACAAGAATGGTAGTGTAAAAGGAAAGGGAAAGAAGCATAAAGGTGATAAAAGCAAGATTGTATGTTAGAATTATGAAAAGAGGGGTTGCTTTGTTGCTTAATGCGGGTTTGTTAAAGGAAAGCAAAAGAAAAAGAAATATGATGTAGCTCACATGGCTCAGGAAGATGAGTTAGAAGAGGAACCTGTATTGCTGATGATGACAACTTCTAGTGAATCCTAGGTCTGAAATTTGGTACATTGTGTTAAGGGTCTAGTAGTATGTAGTTTTTAGTTAGTTTTAATCTTCTTTTCTTCTTCTTTAACTTCTTATTTTTCATTTTCTCTTTTAAAATTATTAGAACTCTAGTTTTTATAATTTTTCTTATCTTACTGTTATTTTGGGTGAAAATTGCTGAAGTTTGGATGTTGATTGCAGGTTATTCAACGCCAAGGTACAGACCTATGTGTGCCAAGGCACCACCCAAGTGTGACAATGTGCTCTTCGGTCATCCTGTGCCAAGGCATAAGCTTGTGTGTGTTAAGACACTTATCACGATTAGCTAATGAAGTTGCAGGACTTTCAGTGCCAAAGTACAGACATTTGTGCACCAAGGTGCAAACTGTAACACCTTAATCTAATTTCAGAATAATAAATTTCGTAAAATGGGAATAATAAAAATGTCATTTAAATATAATTTTCCAATACAGAGTTTCATCAAGATTTATATATCGTTAACTACTATAGGACCAATCCAATTACATTGTAATTCCAAAATAAAATCTAAGCCCTATAACAGTTTCATCCACCCCTTCACTGAGTCCGGTACTGATCGTCTTGGTCACCTGAAAAATAAATGTAAGGGTGAGTACTCTACATTATCCGTCACACAAGCAATCTAGAGACTCACCTTGCACACACACATGTACTCCTACATATTCTACTCAAAGATTAACAATCACGAGCAACACCTTCAAGCAATTCATTTCAATTCATAACCGATGTACTAATGGCACCAAAACATTTCACACACGCGTGCATTCACTGCATGTAGCCATGCTCACTGTTGCACTATGATCACAGTTTCACACCATGGATGATTGACGATTAGCCTCACCTCACGGATACCACGTGGGCAGTCACGAGTCGCTCGGCAAAGGTAGTGGTCAGATGTCTAGTCAAGAGGAGAGTGTGTGGCCTGTGGTGCACCCCATGCTCACTGTTGGTGTCATCACCACTCTCTCTTCTCCAAGGTATTTCTACCGTCCCCATCTTTCATACCTCCAGTGTATCATTAAACCATTCATAGCATCATTACAATGGCATTTAACATGTCCCATTCACATACATTTCAATTGCACACAATACTCACATTTGTATATGACACTCA